GTCATAAGCACAAATTATGAAATCATTACGTGTGTCTTTGACACGGAAACCTGAATTTAAAGTCATCTTTGCAAATCAATGCGCCAATTAAATTGCACTTTGCGTTCAAGAAGGTTACTTACTATTTACGTAACAACAGATGAAAGCCCGTCTATTTTATTAAATGAAAAATAACATTTTCGATCAGTATAGTAAAACATTATTTATAACTTGACTTTAATTACGGATAATGTACAATAAAAGTAGAAACTGTCTTAAAACTAATAAACATTTTCACAATAACTTAGAAAAATTAAACAGACCATTCGTTTGTACTTATGACGTTATAAATGAGGCTGCTAGAGGCATAGTGGCCTATAACAAAAAAACATGATTTTCAATTAGGAGAGAAATAAAAATTCGCAATTAACTTAGGCGAAAATTAATTTGTTCTATTATTTGTGTAAGAATTATGTTAACAAGTTTCGGTCACTGTGCTCTTGTAGATTAACATTCTTATACTATAAAAATATAAATAAGTCAAGTCATAAAATTGCAGTTAAGCTACATTGGCTCTAGCTGCTTCATATGTGATCTTATTTTGTTTTATAAGAAGCTTATTCAATTCCAAAGCCCTTTCCAAAGCCCAAAACTAACTGTAATATGTACTGAATTTACATTTAAAATGCTAAACACGAAATAAGACGTCGATACGGTACCGCTATTCGGAATTCACATAAATAAACAAACGCTTGGGCCATTCACATACACTCCATACATGTCTTTGCTGAGAACAATTGATGTCATTACTTAAAGTAAGACTTTATTGTTATTATTGGAGATAGAGGCGATTGTTCTTTAACCGAAGCCGTATCAGAACTACCTGTTAAAGCAAAACTTAGGTTCGGTTTAACACAACGTTTGTTCTTAAACGCAAGTCTGTACTACGTCACATATTCTATAAGAAACAGACGGCTCCTTATAATATATTGATAATAGTAGTCGTGGTCGTGGGATTGATCCCCACCGAGCTCAACGAGTTTGATTTCAATATTTAATTATTCTGTAACATGTTGGAATTTTGTTTGGAACCTGGATATTAAATGAGTGGTAGAAATATCGAAAATTGTGTCCGGGTACGACCACCGTACACAGATGAAAACGCCGTGAAGTTTAATCGCGTTTCGGTACACTTCCGAATATCCGAATATCGCTGGGTCATTTCGATCTTGGCGGTCCTCCATTATCTTGTAATGTAATTAGATATTAATAGCTATAAAATTCATACTTCATTGAAATTCGGTTAAACAGTGTGTGAACCGAGTTTCAACACATCTCTAGTTACTATCCTACCTACCCCAAAAGTATGACTTAGTTTTCGGAATTCGATGAATCTTACTAGTTGTTGTTTGCTTTCATTAACTTGTTTGTCGTGAAGATAACTTAGTACATACATATAAGAAACAAAAGAATACATAAAACATTGTCGAACAACAGACAAACTTGTAAGAAGAAAAAATGTTCTTACCTATTTTGTATAAACAAAGTTGAAGATTGTGTTGTTTAACAAAATACAAATTTTGTAACAATTGTTTACTAACTCGTCATTATATCGTTAACTCATGTTCGGAAAAACGTTGTTTAATGGCTCTTTGTAATTATTTAATTGTTCAAATACACTTGCTCTAACAACTATAGTAATTAATAGCTTTATGTAATTAGACAATATATTTACTAGCCAAGCCCAGTGTTCCGTAGCTAAACACGATAAAACATATTTGTATCAACAAACAAGCTTTGATGAGATTTTGCCACGCTAAAAAATAATTAGAAACTTAGAAACGGTACCAACTGGGTGGATATCACCTGAACAAACTCCGAGAAATATGCAATTTGTTTAGTACATATTATTGTAAACCATAGACTGTAGTTAAAATGTGCTAATGCCAAATACTAGTGCCAAATGGAGAGCCAGGAATCAAGAAGTTCCAGGGCGAGTGACTCCCCTGGAGATACTATGAATGACGTGTATGCTGCTTGGCGTGAGTAGATTTTAGTTTAGTCCACGTGGCATGGTAGTTTAATCTATTAAATAAGTTAAAAAATCTTTAACTAATATCCAATTTAACATGTTGCACATCATGGCATTATATAAATTATAAATCGATTTTTGTTTGAAAATAATTAAGGAACGGTCATCCACAGCGTTCGGTGCTGCTGTTAATCATTTGAGGTTCAAATTCTCTCTGTGTTTAAATAAAACACTTTAACGGTTTAAAACGCGATATATTAGTTGAACTTATTTAAAAATGATTTTTAACTTCGGCCCGGCGTTTCACTATAGACAGTCTCTCTGTGTTGGTAAACTTTTTGAATCTAAAATCGATTTTTATTTATTTAATGCTATGATGTGTAACATGTGAAAAATATTAGAGTTTGCAATTGGTACTACTTTGCTATCAAAAAAAGCAATTTTAGCGTGTTTAATTTTTACATTATCACCGCTTTTTTAATTAAATTGCACTTTTTTCATGGCCTGTTTTTTAATAGAGGGTAAGAATTGATAGCACTATTAGATAACCCAAAATGTCTTACACGGTGGGCAAAGTACGCTTGACGGTTTAATCTGTAATGCCGAAAGTAGAAAGCTTAACTAGTACAGTATGTAATAAATTATAAACACTTAATTATCTTTAAGAATGAAGAACCTTCCTCATTTCACCATTCGTAGTTTACTTGAATGACGATCATAAAGTCTTACCCAGTTTAGTCAAGTCAGTTCAAATAATCATTTACATAATGATATGTAGATTATATGACCTCCACGTACGGCTAGCGGTCTTGTCGCGAATGTCTTAAAACCTCATTTGATGCAAGGCTCTCGAGGTAAACTCGAGGTTTTGTGCAAATGTCTTGAGATGTACTTGACCACTTCGGTTGTAAACATCGATAGTATTCTTTATTAGTTAATTATTATTAATTATTGCTTACTTATATATATATATAATACGTGGAAATGACAATTTAACATGTGATTTATATTCAATATGAAACACAGGCTAATTCAGTACGAAATGGGCATGTCTATTATCTCTATTGTAATACAGTATTGTAAAATGAATTGTTGACCATTCTGAAATATACTAACTTATTACGAATTGATTTTAACTCACTAGAATAGTACAATTCTTGCATACATATTTTAAGGTATCTTGAATCATTTTCGCAGCGAACGCAACGGAAACCCTCAAAGATTATACATTTTCCCGGCTTGATCCACACTTTCCACTGTTTTTTCGCTAGTGTTAGTAGCAGATGTTTACCAGCCTTCCTCGATAAATGCTCTAGTCTAACCAAAACAAAAATATTTTTTAATTCGGACCAGTAGTTCCTGAGATTAGCGCGTTCAAACAAACAAACGCTTCAGCTATATTAGGACAGAATTTTATGAAAATTTGATTCTTAAGATAATAAACAAATCTTTATCACGACTATCAGGTACTAACATCACAATGTTAATAAACACTCCCAATCAAAACCTCAATACAGATCGTGACGTGAAAATGCAGAATTTTCACAAAGAAAAGCTATTTATTAAAACCACATCCATGATTGCTCGATCGTGATAAAGCTTCAACTTAATCAAAGAGCTATCTCACTTCGATATGTGTTATGGAAATCAACATGTTTTCCACACTATTGGCTATAAATTGTCTGTACCGTGTGAACGTTTCCAAGTGTACCGGCAGTAGATAATGATCAACTGTCTAATTGCCGACATTCCCCACCAAGGGACGGCCGTTTTCTCAAGGAGTCATAAAACCGTAAAAAGAATTTAAGAGAAAGCCTCAATCACTTATAGTGTAAAACGGTTATTCAATTACCAACAAACAAACGAACTATTAAATACTGTCTGTAGTTTACGCGAGTAGAACACATTTAAATAAAACATTTTAACAATTAAAAACGCGATATATATTAGTTAAAGTTATTTAAAATTACTTTCAAACAAGTTTGCAAGTTATTAATTTTAAACAACTAATATATATCGCGTTTTAAACAGTTAAAATGGTTTCTTTAAAAACGAACTATTGTACATGAAAAATATTATTAAATACATTATTATTGTATAAAATACGTATTACTTGAATACCGGTACGAAAAGTGATATACCTAATTTTTGATACGAACGAATCTTGGTGAATACATTATATTCTTTTTTCATACTTGTAATATTATGTATAATTTAATTTTGCGAAAAGTTAGCAAGCCTTATATGAGGCGGCATTTACAATCATTTAAGTAAAATGACTCAGATATTAACAGCTGTTAAGAAGAATTTAAAGGCTTCCAACCTTGTTACTTCTTTGTAAGTGATAATAATGTCAAGATTAAAAGAGCAAATAATATTTATTCCCAGTGTTAATTAGAGCCGTATTTGAATTGTTTCTTACATCTATATATTATCTGAAACGTCTCAAGTTAATTTAGTAACAAAATCTCAGGTCATCTAAATTGAAGCCCTTATACGGTAGTTCAGGAAGAGCCAACGAGCTATTATTAACACTACAAATGAGAAAGTGTGTTTTTGTTATCACTTTACGTGCTAGGGAACAACTTTGTTTAAATAAGGTTGGATAAATGGACAGAGAGTATACCACTGAAGCCCTGAAATATGATTTTTTTCGGTTTTTCTACATTCTTTTTTTTTTCTACATACCTCTGTTTTTCGCTCCTATTGGGCGCAGCCAGATAAATGGTCCAACCGACGCAAAAATAAATTTTCAATTCGATTCGTAGTTCTTGAGATTACCAAACCAAAAAAACTGCAGGTTTATAATATTCGTATAGATATTAATAAACGAAACATCTTTGTTATCGTGCCTCTGAAACTTTTTTTTTTGATTGACATAAGTAATTCATATATACCTACTAATGTATACCTACCAATAGTTCAAAAATTGTCTTAGATCCAAAAGATATTGTGTACTTGGAATTAAATATTCTGTTTTTTTTTTCAGATGAAATGCTAGAAAGTGAAGGGGCGGGGCTGGCGGCCAGAGTAGCTGAACTCGAAGTGCGATGTTCGCGACAGGCTGAGGAGCTCTTATGTCTCCGGTCGACCCTGGCTGATGCTCTTAGGAGACTAAACGCATTAGAAGGTCGTGCGCCAGCAACTACTACAACTCAAAGAAATGGTGCATATTCAGGTAAATTTGTCAAAGTTTTTATATCGAAAATAAGATAGCCTGGGTGGGTCATTTGATGAATACCTGCCCTGGGTTAAATGCTGCGAAGACATAAAATTATATTTTCGTTTACTAGGTAAGGTTAAGGATCTATCTGAGATCTCGTTTTCCCTCGTGGTCCGTTTTACTGGTTAGTTCTTTTGCAAGCAAGTACATAGTTGATCAGACGTCTGTGCCCTGCCCGACCGAAACAATGTATTGTTTCCTATGGATGCGAACCATTCTCTCGCGCTTAAAGTAATGTCAGGTAATACATTTCCATTTGGCTATAGAGGCCGTAAGAACAATATAAAATCTATCAAATGTGCCACGCAGGAAAATATTACATGATATCGTACTACTACTATTCTACTACTATACTATTCTCTCAAAGTAGTAAAATCTAAACTGGTACTAAAAGTAAAGCATGAGAACCCTTCTATAGATGTTACGTCTAAGGTTATCTTATTTTTTTCAGGTTCTTCAACAGGGACACCAACACGTGAACTGCGTGTCAGACAGCCGGCATACCGGGAACCTGCTAAGCGAACCTCCAGCTACGGTTCTAGCGCTTCTTCTTTACCGCAGCGGTAAATATATCTTCTCTTTAAGGTAGACAGACAAGTACAAAGACCAAAGCCATATACCATCTTGCCAAAATGCGCTGTCAACGTATTTTGGATATTCGGAAATCCACACACTGAAACTTCAACGCGTTGCCATCTATGGACGGCCGTTTCGGACGCGGACGGAATTTCGAAAAGTATTCCCACCATCCATTTAATATCCAGATGTACAGACTATGTTTATATTAACTGGTGAGCAAAACTCAACTCGAGTTGCCATATTGATTTATAGCGCCATCTCTTGGCGATGTTAAAATCTTTACTTTTCCCAGGTTTTTTAACTCTTCTACCAATTCTAAGCCAACTATTATACAAAATATATTATCGCACTTTGCAGCAAAATTATTCCGCTATTTGTATTTACAAACCCACAAAGACTGTGAATTAAACGTTTGCCCACACAGATGACATTTGGCATTTACTTACAAAAACTTGGTAAATTTTTTTCTACAGAAGAGGACCACAGCACCAATCAACAGGCTCTCTGCAGTCTGATTCGCCAGCGTCTTCCTCGTCTTTATCTCCGGCGCCCTCTCCTTCGCCAAGAGCTACTCCAGCCCCCCACCACGTACCACATGTGACCCAACCTTACAGGTAAAATTCATTAAAAAGAGTTTGAGATTGAGAGGGATTAATAATTACAATAAAGTTAAATGATAGTTCAACCTAACAGGTAATGTACAGCATTTTCGCCTGAGTCAAAGACTTTTTCTTTCATTCATTAAAGCTTTTCTGCGTTTTTTTGCTGTCAGTGGACACCACTAATATATAATGAAATACATGTTCTCATAAATCAGACTTTTTGTGAACTATGCTTGTATGACATTATATTTAAACAATAGAAACTGTCATTAATTTTAGAAATTTTAATATTAATATTAATTTTATGGAAATTGTAATTTCTTAAAAATTCTTCAAGTCACAAGCACAAGCTTGAACCTTCATATCCCTATAACCATAGAATAAACAGTCATAGCAATGTCTTTGCATGTTTGTTACCGTGGTTAATAGCGAAACATAAATAGAGATTGTTATATTCAGTTTGAGTATGTTTTATTGCACTCATAAGAAACATGACGAATTATAAAAGTTAATCTTTCTTACCTTTAGTTTCACTATGTAGCTCCGTCAAATTCTAGGGGAACAATTTTCAAGTAACATAGGTATAAATAATTTAAATCGGTTTGAAGCTAGTGACAAATGTCTTAGAGAATTGACCCCCAGTTTGACTAGAATTTACACATTTAGGCTATGCCGCTTAGAATAGAGTAGTAATGCTTGCTTCCCATGTAGATCGCGCAATAGTTCCACTTCAAGCAATCAAAGTCCATCTCCTGGAGCTACTCTTACTAAAAGATGGAATTCAACTGGTGACTTCAATACGCAGGGCCTACTGCCCAACGCCAGGTAAATATAAAATGGTTAATGCTGAAGTAGAATAGTTATAGTACCGTATTACCTGTGTTATTCCTAATGTAGTAGGCAATGATAGAATGGGTCAGTAATTGAATTGAAACATTGAAATGGGAGTGGCTATTTTGGGCCATAAGTGGACCAGGACTCCCGTAGCGATACCGTAGCGAGCTGGCGTTGTGTTTAGTAGTTCTGGTTGACTATCGCCTCCGAAAGAGTGCGATTTACTACACTCCCCACGTCACTATTTCCCGACGTGGAGTATTTTTCTATTTTATATAAAAATCTACTATGAGGATCAGTAAATATAATTAACAGTAAGAATTTAGTGAATATATTCTCATTGCATTACTAAATGTTCTTATTGACCCTTTCTATCTATATTTCTATTAACGCCATCTTTTGTAATTAAAAAGAGGTGTTCCTCGCTAGCAGCCTTAAATAGTTATTATACATATACTTGTTAGGATTATTTTTTGTTTGTTTATTTTTCTGTACGCTATATACATGTCTCTATTTATTTCTTAGGTTTACAACAACAAAATCGTTGCTTAATTTGTATTCTAAGCCGTCACAAAATGGAGCTATTTTGAAACACGGGTAAGTTTTCAATGGGGATCACAATCTTTGGTGGTGGTTGGTGTTTGCTCATAATGTCATAGTTTAATTACAACCATTCTTAGTTTAATTAAAATAATAAGTGGGATTTCAATCGTAATGTATTTTAATAATAGACAGTCAAAAACGTAGTTTAAGTCTTGCCATATATATATTATATTCTTTGATAAGAAGTTATGCTTATTAATATTAGCAAACCAATAATTCAAAGTGAAACTTGATTTATCATTCAACTAGCATAGTACTGGGAAAAACTCGATAACATTTATCAGATAAAGTAGTTTGTGTGTGTTATCCACATTCCACGAAACATACCTTATTTGTTTTAGTAAAAGGCCTACATTTTACAAAAACCAATTTCGTTGTACAGTATTTATCGACGAAATTAAGTGTCAACCATGTTACATTTTCCTATATTGTAGCCTATTATTCATATATAATTAATACAAGTATTCATAAATAATTCTGATTTAGATCGATTTATTTCAATGCGTATCTTAAAGCTTCATTATCTAATTGCGTTACGTTTAAATAAAAACTAAGCTAAAAAACTAAATGGCAATGAAAGTAGGCTCTGGCGCTAATTAAAGAAAAGAAGCAGTTTTCTTTCTGGTTACCGGACGTCGAAATCTGTTTTGAAATTTATCTTGTTTTAAAAAGAAAATTAAACATGGCCCCTGAGACAAATTTAATACAACCCCCGTGATCATTGCTGTTGGGAAGCATGCGAAACGCCGAGTCGTAATTAAAATTAATTGTATAGAAGTCTACTAATACATTTCGTATTTTAAACCGTTCAAAGTCTTTTATTTGAATGTGAACGTACTCATGAACTTCAAACATTACTTGCAACAAGCTTTTTTTAAATAAAATGGAATATAAATAATATATTTTTTAAGTAAAATTGTAATGTTCCTTGTTCCGCTTTAAGTAAAAAACATACTCTCCATTAAAAAGGTTGCTTTTGGTAATTTAGATGTTTAAAGTTGCTGTCTGTAGTTTTTTAAACATTTTAAGGGTTGCAAACGCGATTCATATTAGTTAAACTTATTTAAAAATTATTTTAACTACGGCCCGACGTTTCGGATGCTTCGCAGCAGCCGTGGTCACGGGGAGACAAACGTCAAGCCGTAGTTAAAATATTTTTAGTAGCCTTACAAAGTTCTCTTTCGCGATCGGCGTTACTATGTAAAAAAAGAAGTCTATTATTCCGTAATCGTACGACGTTTTACAGAATAAGAACAAACCATCATTCCATGATTCACTATACTAATGACAGATAGCAATTTCGCTACAATCGCGTAATCATCAAACCGCAACACGACCACTCATATATTATTTAGTACATTGCGCGTTACGTTCAATGAGACATTTTTATTATATTACTGTAGTCAGTAATGAACTTCATTCAATAAACTGGTTTCGAGCAAGACTGCTGGACACAGAATTGTGGGTCGGTCTGCGCACGCGCAGTGTATTATTGTTTGTTCGAGATACCGGCCGCTTCTCACGTTCAACCGGTTTAAAAAAAACTTATTTGCATTCGAAATTCAAAACAAGTGACATAATTTTAAGCGCCATGGACGACAGGTAAAACCGTGGACAATATTAAATTTGATCATAGACTATATAGACTTCTTTTACAATGTTTATTTTTCTTTTATTATTTTTTATAGACTTACCGCCTAATTGCTTTGGGATTCTCTGCGCGTGAATTTTACTTAGTCTACTAAGGTTTCTAAGGCTGTATCTGCACGGAATTTTAAACATAGCGATGTCATTCACCCCTATGTAAGTTTTTTTTAAATAGATACGATAAAATCGTTCGCCTGTATGTTTTTGAAAACTTTACACCTGAACGGAACAAATAATGATTTCTTATCATGTGTATATGATAATCTTCGTTTCGCAGAAAATTTAAAGGGAACCGCGATGGGGCTCTCTTTGGTACAATGGCGGTCGTGGGTTCGATTTCAACTGGTTTTAAAGTACTTCTAAAAATATATAATATTTTAAACATGCTAAGCCCCGTCTGGGGAATCTATTTCTTAAATGGGTGTTAAGAATAACGGAACTCTAGGTCACAGAACCATTACATATACATTACATATACATATATGGAAATCACAGTCCAAATACTTATGTGGATTTTTGAATGTTTAAAGCCAAGCCAGTCGACAGCGCGTCTTAATAAGAGTTTATAGGAAATTCACCAATCAAGAGAATCCAATATGTTTTCTGTCATAGAAAATATTGGAAACCACAATTAAAGAGATAACATCTGCAGTTGACCGTGATTCACAAAAAAGAAAGCTTGAACGTACAGAGTGTTGTGCCTTTACCTTATATGTGCAGAACGCGAATCGAGATAAGAACGGTCTTGAACTTTTAAAATTCAGTATTTACACTTAACACCTCTTTTTTCATTACAACGATATCGTTTCCACTTTCCTGCTGAACATGGGCTTATAATATATGTACTTAATACACTAAAGACAACAATTTTAACGGTTTAAAACGCGAAACATTTTTCTAAATTTAATTTTGATCAATGAAGTAGATTTTTTTATTAATTAATTTGATAAATTAATTAATGAACTGCGTCACATAGGAAGCCTTATGTCGTGATTTGACTAATATTTCACGCTTTAAATCGTTAAAAATGTTTTATTTAATGGGATTAGTTATCTTTAACGTGGTTTTCTGTATACTTATTAATAGGCTTACTAATTAACCTCGGGATGTTTGCAATTAAGTATTATTATGTGTACTTATAATAATTACTAACCACTTACAAATTTAAGGTAGGTACTAGAAAAAAATGTAACACGCTTTACCTTTCTGCATTTTTAAACTGTTTCTGTTTTTTTTTATAGTGACTTAGATATTTTTGTAAAGAATTCCCGTTTAAGGTCACAAGTGTATAATGGACTTAGTACTATGCAACAAACAATAAAGTTACATTTATCAATAAATTGAACATAATTATTAGTGAACAAATTACGGTAAAATAGTATAAGATTTAAGAAAGCCGATTTGTACAAAAGGTTGCCTGCCAGTATAAAAAACGCCCAGTCAATTAACATACTTAAATCATCATTAAAATTGATTTTTAAAATTAGTTTAAAAAATACTATTTTTTTCCTTCTTACATACTGTCTTATTGTTTTCTCAATAAGATTATGTATATTCCTCGAGAATATAAAACCGAAATAGTTCTTTTATAAGAATTAATATTTCTTTGTCAAGTTCTGGTTTAAATCTCGAATGGTCAATATTTCTTATGTTTAAAAAATACTGCTTTCTAGATTTTTTGAGATTGTGATCGATCACTATCTGAGATAACGTACCTACATCACGTGAAACCAAGCCTCTTACTACAATGTAAGATGAAATTACATTCTTCATTATAACGAAGCAACATACCTACCTCATATGTATCAAGTGGTACTAGTCAGTGATATCTACATCACACATTTTTAACACCTGACTACTGCGCAGCTACGAAGAGAAGAATGAGTTTGGCTTGTGTACTAGCACTTTGTAATTCTATAGTAGCGCCGGAACTTCTAAGTTTTAAACAATTTAGAAATTTAAGAGGCCGAATTCAAACCTCAAATATTTTGAATACGACAGTAGAAGTAACGTAGAGTTATTCAGCTCGTGGTTATTAAATATATAAAAAAATATTTGTTTAATATTCACTACGTCAGTTATATTGTGGTGGTTTGATTATAATATTCTTGAATGAGTCTTCATAATTTTATAATTAATTTCGTCTGCGTTTTCAGCACCCATACCTGTCAGTACAATGAAGAAGATGGATCTATTAGAATGTACTTGCGTGGGCGGCCGGTGGTCCTGTATGGACCCAGCGACCAAGACGCTTTGGACCCCGCGAAGGTGGCTCCACCACCACAGAATAAACTCAAACTTGAATGGGTCTATGGATATAGGTAAGATTTACAATTTAATCGAATTCTCTTTACAAATGAAAAGTTTTAATCAGATTAAAGTTAATTACAATTTTAACGGTTTAAATTACTTTTAATTTCCATTGTTATTAAATGCTGTGTCGTTACATAACATATAGTAATCGGCTGTCTAATGAAAAAGTAACATTATTGATTTAAATTGTTTGATGAACTATAATTTTGTTTGGCCGTTATTATATCAAGTAATATTGGTTAAATATATTGTTTGGTCCACTGTCACGCGAAGGTCACTTCGTATAAACATTACAGCCACAGTATATTATTTTATCAGAGTGATGGCTTTGTAGATAATGGAAAAAGGTTTTTCCTCGTATAGCTTTCTAAATTTATGTCATTATTTTTCTAGTCACTATAATTGTCCTGGTAACATTACCATTATATTTAATTTGGTGTTATTTTAAAACTTAAAATCATCTAACTTAGGGAAAATGTAATGAATATTTAGGCTTGTCAAATATATATTAATAAAGTGTTTGTAATTGTTTTGTCTGTACGCATTGAAAATGCATTAAATACTGTCTGTAGTTTACGCGAGTACACATTTAAATAAAACACTCTAACGGTTTAAAACGCGATATATTAGAATCAGAAACGTCGGGCAAATTAGTTGAACTTATTTGCCCGACGTTTCTGATGTTTTGCTGCAACAGTGATTAAGGAGAGAAAATGCATTTTTTAAACTTTAGTTGACAATTTTATATACTATAAATATATGTAAGTTTTATTTATATATATAAACTAAGATCCCTATATAGATATCATTTAGTTTATCCTACACTTTGAAATAAGAAGTTGCTTATTGAAATTGCATACATGCCAACTAAAGCATATGCAAAAATTTGATGATATTATAGTACCTGCCAAGAAGAAACCAATATCTAATATACATATATTAATTATATAAAAAAATGTCTTGCAATTCATTAAAAAAAGTGTTATTCGTATATACAATTGCCATATTGTATATTATCTCTACCATTATTACTACATTTAGTAAAATAATTCAAAACATAGAAATAGAAGAACTACCTGACGCCTCGCTTAAATGATTGTGTAGCAAACTCTATTACAATAATTAAAGACATTATCAATAACCATTATATGTCACCACTGGGTTAATTTTCCAATTGAGTTAATTTCGGCGCTTCACAGCACACCCACGGGACGGCATTCTAAAGGTCATATTGTTTGGAACATGTTCAATATACATAAAGTATATCATTGTTTTTCGGGCTGCTCACCCGACGTGAGCGAGAAAAGGTTCTCGACGTTTCGCCATCACGTGCGGTAGGTGTCATCGGGAGATGTTAACTCCTCGATTGCTCGAAGAGTTATAAGCAAAAGTTAAACCTCTTCTCGCTCACGTCGGCTGAACAGCCCGACAAACAATGATATGTTGAACGATGGCCGTGAAAGCCTTACACAATTTATTATACATAAAGTACTTTATTATTATTATTACTTGGTTACTAAATAAATATTCGGTATAAGTGAATTAACGAGGAGAATAACTGACAATCAAAACTATACTAGCTGTGTCTTCGTCCGCTTAGAATAGTTATTTTAATAAAAAAATTTAGGTTTAAATTTGTTTTTGAAAATCCCCTCTTCTTTTTAATTTTTTTGTTGTTACCGACGACGTCGATCTCGTCCCGTCGTTCTAGCCAGTTAGGTAATCTTAAAAGAGAGACATATAGATTATTGAAAAAGAAATCATTCCTTCATACATATTTTTTGGGTAGCCTAAACGGTTTTCGCAGCATATGCATCCGAAATGATTTTAACCGATTCTTCCACATTTCCCGCTGTTTCTGTCACAGCACGGTGTTTTATAGCCTTATAACCTTCCTCGATAAATGCTCAAATCATAATCACAATACGATTTCATGACATGTACATCCCGAGATTAGCGCGTTAAAACAAGCAAACATACTCTTCACCTTTATATATTAGTATATGTATACTAATAGTAGCATTTATAAAATATATTTTTATAAAATAGCATTTAATCGCTCAAAAAATCAAAAACGGGAATTTGCACAGTCTTCAGTCACTTACCTTTTCTACCCCAGACTATTATAGATAATAAATTAAAATATCTTCTACTATTTGCGTCACTATATTCTCGGACAAAACCATGGCATCGTTTTCTAAAGCCATGACTCGCTGAATAGGTACGTAATTTCCGTTGAATCACAAAGCGCATAATGCGAGGATTTTTGCGCTCCAGTGGTCCTAAATGCGAGCTAGACTTATAGAAGTAAATTGTCACCATTTGTAATATAATTAAATGTTAAAAAAATGACACAGAACGTTTTACGTCTCAGAAATACATAGGGAAAACAAAAATAGCTGCTAAGCCGAGTAGCTAACTGTTAGAGGTCTCAATATTTATTAAAATGCTAAGAACATTAAATTAAATAACGTTTGAGTATCATAATGGCTTATTTTTAGATTTTTTCTGGTGTCGAATGCCGGGAAAAACATAATTATTTCCTATTATATTTTTCTCAATAAGAAGACAATTTCGGTCGCACATTGCACAGATGTCTGTAAATAAAATTCCCAATGCATGGTGCATAGATGGAACGGGATTTCAAGCTATACCCACGTCTGAAATTCTCATTCCAGAGGTAAAGACTGTCGCAGCAACCTGTACTTGCTGCCAACTGGTGAGATAGTGTACTTCGTAGCAGCTGTGGTAGTGCTGTTTAACGTTGAAGAACAGTGCCAAAGGCATTACACTGGTCACACGGATGATGTAAAATGTATCGCCATACACCCGAACAAACTCATCATCGCGAGTGGACAGTGTGCTGGGCATGACCGACTAGATGCTAGGGTAAGTTCAGAACCAGTTATTATTGGTATTTCAGGATAACGAAGACCGGGTGAACAGTTCACATACAATGTTGACCATATCACCCTTTTTATGATGGAGGAAGACCATGGGGTTCTCTTGATGGTAGGAAAAATACCCCAGCCATTTAACATATAACAAGATGCACTGTCTCACCTATTTTGGCTTAGGATATTTGAAAATCCACAGACGAACGCAATGCGACTTAACTTCACGGCTCTTTGATCGGGCGTAGACGTTAGTTCCTGTTCCGGACTGAATTTCTATATTCCATCCATTTATATATTTCAGGTTTCCAAAGTACAAAATGTTTCAGAAAAAATATTATAGCAGTTGATTTCGCGAGAGTTTTTATACCTACATGTTCAGCCAATAATGTTCTATTTGCCTTTGTAGCCTTATTGATACATTATATGATCATATGATAAAAGGTTATATTTAAGAAAGGTATTAAATTAGCAAACAGTAGTTGTATCACTTAGTGACGATGCTAACGCCACCTAGTAATTTTTGCAAAAACACAATAGATGGTATGAAAACTCTCTTATGTTTTACGCCATGTTGTTAGAAATATATTTATATTTACACTGGCTACAAGCAGCAAGCGACCTGTGCTGCTGCCTTTTTCAATTGAACTATCGCGTCTTGCGCGTCATCTTTAAAATTGTTCAATGCAGCAACCAAATCAACCGTAACACTTTTTTAGTTTACAACATAAGTTTATTCAAGCAGAACTCTTCGCTTTTAAACAATTAATGCACAAGTCTAAGTTTTTCTTAAACACCGTCTGTACATGCGAGTAGTACACATTTAAATAAAACACTTTAGCGCTTTAAAACGCGTTATATATTAGTTAATTGGGCCCCTCTTTGCCATAGGCGTGGTCACGGGGAGACTGGTCGTAGTTAAAATAATTTTCAAATAAGTTTAACTAATTTATATACCGTTTTAAACCGTCAAAGTGTTTTATTTAAACAAATTTTTCTTTCTTTCAGCCACACATCAGGGTATGGAATTCTGTATCCTTAGCTACCCTGGCCGTCATTGGTGCCGGGCACATAGAGCGCGCTGTGGCATGTCTCACCTTCTCCCGTGCTGATGGCGGTTCACTCTTGGCCGCCGTAGACGATGGACCAGATCATACAATTAGTGTATGGGAATGGCAGAGACCGGATAAAGGACACTGTATTGCAGAGACTAAGGTATGTTTGTACATGTAGTTCTTTAGGCTATCGAAAAATAACCCAACCATGTAACATCTAACATTTTGCGTTGTTGTTCTTTTGCCTCTTGATATTCGGAAATCAAGAGACTGTAATCGAAACGAGATTTAACTTCCCGAATTGTATGTGTGATCGGTGGTTCCTGACGAACGGAATTCTTAATAACTACCTCATTCAATACAGATCTCCGGACGAAGTTTTTAAAAGAATATAAATTTATGACATATACATGTATACACCCGCAGGGTACTGAATCCACGACCCATTGATTATTCGCCATACATTGCGAGCGAGTCCTTATGTTTGTTCTACTAATCGATTTATTTAAAGTCTCCCGTGGTGTGGTATCCCCGATTTTACATATTTTGTCTCTTACGCTCTATCTCACCACAACTTCTTATCGTAAATTGATTTAGTAGCTCCCAATTAAATTTTCCATATATAGTATACGGGACCTCGATTTTTCAACATTATTGTCTTTTCAGTGTTCTGTGGATACAGTTGTGGCAGCGGAATTCCATCCATTAGATAGAAACCAGATAGTAACCTGTGGAAAAGGACACATTGCATTCTGGACTCTGGACGCCTCGAATGTGCTATACAAGCGCATGGGCATCTTCGAGACTAGGGACAAACCAAAATATGTTACCTGTCTTGGATTTAATCATAATGGTATATAAATTGTAGAAGTTCGATATAAAGTTGTTGCTATACAGTTTGTAAAAGAAAAAAAAAACAATATTTTTTTATGTTCGAGAAGTCAGACTAGGGTTTCACTTGATGATAAGTGAAATACCCTAGTCATATAACATCTAAATAAGATGCGCTATTTTGGCTTTGGATATTCGGAAATCCATAGACTGAAGCACGATTAAACTATAGGGCTTTTTCATCTGTGGATCGGTTCGGAACCCCGAAGGAATTTCGATGGTAGGAATACCACCGATTTAATATCCAGTTATCCAGAGGAAGTCGACTGTAGGGATCAAACCCACGACCTATTCCGATTTATTATTCTTATTATATTATTCCTATTAAACGCTATTTCCTTATGGTTTTTCTTTGCTTCTTTTGTATAATTTTCTGTTCATTCTAGGCGACGTTATCTCTGGCGACAGTAACGGTAACCTCATAGTGTGGGGTCGGGGGACAAACACGATCCAAAAGTTGGTGAGGGGAGTACATTCCGGATCTGTATTTAGCGTATGTAGCTTGAAGGACGGCGGAGTGGTTAGTGGCGGTGGCAAAGATGGGAGGCTAGTGCTATTCGATGCTGAGTTACAACCAACAGGAACTGAAAATGTGGTTAGTACATCATTATCAAGAGTTGTAAAAGATATGCATTAGTTGCAGACTTGATTAGAGCTTTTAATAAATTAGCCCACATAATTACTTTAGTTGGCCCTTCCTTGATATCATAATTATTGACAAAAAAAAATTGTCATAAAAAAGAGCCTATATTTATATGTACTACGCATTAGCACTATTATCACCTTTAACATATTTCCAGCAATGTTTTAGTATAGAAACACTTAAAAAGAATATATCCTAAATTATAATTCTTGAAAGTTAGCAGGCCTTATCCAGGACTCCTAGTGTCAATCAGGCTAGCAATAAAGTTAAAAAATAACGAATGTTTTCTAAATTTCAATAATACCACTGTAAATTACGACGAACTATTGGTTAATACATTTTCTCTTTCTATTGCCTAAAAAAATCTTTTTTGGGTTGTTTAGATCGAAGGTCACTATGGTGGCGTAAGAGTTGTAGCAGAAGGCCGAGGCTCTCAACTCTTCGTTGGAACTACCAAGAATTGTATCTTACACGGAGACATGGAGCTAGGATTTTCGCCGGCCGTTCTAGGTAAAAACAAAACTTTCCAAAAGGTCATTTATGTAATATTATTTGTATTTAAAAAAAACGTAGCAATGAACATTATAATAACTGTCCATGATCTTAAAAAATATCCGTATGGGATAGGTGAAATCCACTGCTCCATCTGCTGGAATGTTCTATAACTGACAATAATGCTAACTATTTTGTACGTGCGAATCGAGTATTCTAAGTAATTTTCGCTTTTATTTAGGTAGATATGAAAACAGGAAAAATTGTCTCAGCTCAAAAATCTATAAGAGTAAAAGTACCATAAATCTATCTAATATAAGTATATATTAAACAAAATATATACCTGTAGTAAACGCGGGTAGTAGACATTTAACTAAAACACTTTTAACTGTTTAAAACACGAAGTGTATTTGTTAACTTATTTATCGTCGGGCCGTAGCTAAAATTATCAATCATTAAACATGTTTTATTTAAAATATATCCCTCTTCTTTCAGGCCATGTAGATGAAATATGGGGTCTAGCCGCACACCCAACTCTGCCACAGTTTGTATCTGGCAGTTGGGACCGCTTGTTACAACTATGGGATCCTCTCAGCCATTCCACCGTTTGGAGTAAAGATATTGAGGTATTGAACTCATATTTACATCGGAGTTGTGTTCTGTAATATGATTAACAAGTATTTAAAATTCCGTAAGCGAATTCTTTATATCCTGAGGAACTAAAATCCGATCATAAGTCGTTTACTGGTTTTGCGGCTATTTTCATATCGGCTTATTTCTCCAATTTGTATCAGTGTTTTTTCTTTTACGTACTTGGATCCTGGTTATGTAAGCTTAGGTTTTGATATGTCATGTTATGCTCTTTGACTTTTTTTAAGTATTTAAATTATTCAAGATTGAACAAGTTTAATAGTTATTTAAGGGCGAAAATAACTTTTAACCAAGTACTAACATTGTTATGTACTTGACGAACTCCCTGAATATTTATGCTTACATACTTTTATTTAATCTTCTCAATTTCATGTATAGGAACGGGCTCAAAGTTGTGCCTGGTCATCTGACGGTAGTGTCATAGCTGTGGGTTGCGTGTCTGGCAAGTGGTTGGTCTTCGACCCTGTATCCAGAGAGCTGGTGGCACAACATGTTGATGGGTAAGTGAAAATAACTACCAACATAAAAGATGTTGCTTTTAAGTAAATATTTATTTCCCACGTGTATATGGACAGTGAGACTTTATCAGCAAAAACCAATCACACGATACTTCTTTTTATTGCGGTTACAAAATATTTTGTTTTTCTTTCGTTCTTATTTGTACCTTACTCTGCAGTATGACTTTTATTTCATGGTCATCTGATGCTTAACTTGTTTTTACAGCGTTGAACCCATCCAGACTATACAATATTCGCCAGATAACAAGTACGTTGCCATCGGTTCCCGAGACAACTTTATCTACATATATCAAGTCGATGATGACTGCACCAGATATTCTAGGCTTGGAAAGTGCCTCGTAAGTCTTCCATAATACACTTCGACTATTGTTTTTCGGTTTTCGACCTGTTCGGCAATCGTAATTGAGAAATTGCCTCGATGTTTTGGACGAAAACTAGTCGAGAAATGCTGTTTTGGAAAAACGATAGGAGCATTTTTCCGAACAGCTCGAAAACCCTTGAAGGTTTTTATAATGGCTACGAAAACTGTATTCATTTTTCTTAGACCTTTATATGGAAAAGGGTCGTATACCTGAAAACTCGTATATACTTAGTGATTTTACTTTCCTATGAAATTTAGAGTGTGAAATTACTTACTTTCCTATGAAATTTAGAGTGTGAAATTACTTTACTGTGAAATTTTTTCTAACAAGCATTATGTGACACCTTAATTTATGATTACCCCTGTTCTGATAACAACATGCATCATTAGTGCACGGAGAGAAAACGTAGAAGGGTAAACTAAACTTATCTTTAACCCGTAGTTTGTTATATATAGTCTTTGCACCGAAATGAATTAATAGAGCGTTGTCTCTCTCCCACAAACCCCTATAAAGAACAAGGACAGAGAATAGTCGGTGGGCTATTAATTCGTTTCGGTGAACACAAATACTAACATAAACTTTTGTCTAAAAAAGTATTTATACAAATATTCCTTACAGTATTACGATTAACACCTATTATGTTAATATTTGTGTTATTCGATAAAAAAAAATATATAGGTAAAGCGTAATCTTAGATAGTAGCGCTTAGATATAGACTGAATAATTTTTACTTCAGCTTGAAACATATTAATTTCTTAAACTACTTATAAAGAGCGTTTAAGTTTAGCGATAGATGACTGTAGAATGCTTTTGACGTAGCTAGTATCTACTGTCTGTATGTTATTTATAAGTCAACTAAAAACGGCAGCTTTTTAACAAATTAACTTCGTAAAAAAATATTTTAATGCAACAACTCTGCTTCGTAATTACACATTAATATTGCGTATCTACTGCTCCTGCTACTTCAACTACGTTTACAGTATTAGAAGTCGTTAGTGCTTGTGCATTTAGAAATAATATTAGAGTAATTTTTGTTAACTGTATAACCAACGTTCACAGGGTCATTCGAGTTTCATAACCCATCTCGATTGGTCTGAAGATAGTCAGTACATAAGAAGCAACTCTGGAGACTATGAATTACTTTATTGTAAGTAAAATTTACTTATCAAATTTATTTATTGTCTACGAAAGTCTATGTCGTACAAGCCATTCAATGTTTTGTCCCTAAAATAAAATATCAAGAGACAAAACATGCAATAATAACTTCTTTACGTCCTTCGTCTTAACGATATCATCATTTATCATGAGATAAAAATTATAGATTCCCAAAAGGCTGATTTTAACCAATCAGTATCCCATTTCTGGGGTCAGATTTCCTCTCACTGAAAAGAGGGTCCAAACGATAAGACTAACCACGCTGCATGACCAATCTAAAAACTCTTTAGACCCGAGTTTCGAATCTTAGACGTCCAATGTGCCAAGGGCGGATCCAGTATTGGCGCCAGAATAATTTAATATTGATAACATATGTTCTATCTACTTTACTTGTATCTAACAAGTAAAGTAGATATTTTTTATATGAAGTCCTGGAACATGACCCCTCCACTGGATCCGCCGGTGTGATGTGCAATGCTCACGAGATAATAAATGATTATATCTTCTAGGGAACGCCACAACCTGCCGTCAGATAACGACGCCAACTTCGATACGCGATGTTGCATGGGCGACGAACAACTGTCCTATAACATTCCAAACTGTCGGAGTGTGGCCTGAGAATGCTGATGGAACGGACATCAACAGCTGTACCAGGTAAATAGCAATTATACAAAGTATTCTTCATTTCGTCAATATTAACTCTTAGACAAATTCTTAACGGTTCTTTAATCAATGCTACACAAAATTTAAAATAAAAAACTTTATATAAATAGTCGGCAATATTTAACTGTTGTCCTAATATCTTGATTGTTGACATTGACCGCCTCTGTAGCCAAATGGTTAAACGTATTGCTTAGCATTGCGTTAAGTGCGAGAGGTCCTGGGTTCGAATCCCAGAGAAACAAAAAAAATGTTTCGGTCGGACCTGTCCTGTCCTGACCGAAACATTGTCCCTGGCACAGCAGTTTGATCAACTACTAGCCTGTTCGCCCCATGCCCCACAAGGGGGAAACGGGATTTCATTTTGACATTGCGAGAGGATAGTGTAGAACACGGTAAATCAACTGGTTAGAGCAGGGTAAGGACTGCTGTGGTACCGAATAATGTTTTCATCTGAAATCGCTTTTTAATTTGGTTTATTGATATTTATTTTCAGGTCCCATGACAACCGATTAACTGCAACTGGAGACGATTTCGGAAAAGTAAAACTGTTCGCTTATCCTGTAACACAACCAAAGGTAACTTATATACCTGTTATGCGCTAAAATAAGAAATATGATTAATAAAATTGTCTTATATATTAATAATATGTATCTTTATATAACTTTTTCAGTCACTCTGCCACCAATACGGCGGTCATTCGTCTCATGTGACCTGTGTTCGATTCCTGTTGGATGATTCTCGGTTAGTGTCTGCCGGGGGGCTGGATTCAAGCCTCATGCAGTGGGTCGTCGAATAATATAATAAATTAAGAGAAAGTAATTTAGAAAAATGTCAAGTGAAACGGTGTTAATTTCCAATTGGTTTGAATTATTTCAGTATTTTAAGACGCCAAGTAAATTTTATTTTATACTATATATCTTATTGTTTAGCTGAAGTAGATGTAAAATATATGTGCCCTTCAATAAAGCTGACAAATATTTGTATAGAAAGCATTAAAATGATTGATCATTATTGGCCTTCGCCGTGAGTGCTTTACTCACGTTTCTTTGTCTCGTAAATGTCCTTATTCAATTCATTTTAAAATTTACTCTTATTTCTACCCTTCTTAACTAAGTATATTTTCTCTTTTGGTCCAATATGACAATTTTACATAGTTTTTTCAAGTACAACGTTTTACACCTAAAAATGCTTTAATAATATAAAGCACACAATGTTTGTAGTGAATTGTACACATTTCTTCTGCTTAACACAATTACACCAGATTGGTTAGGAAGTGTATCAACATAAATTAATCCTAACATATTATAAAAATATAGCCTTCACTGATGTTAATATGTATCTCATAATGTAACCGCCTCTTCAAATAATCTGCTTTTGTGTGATACAAATATTGTAGCGGACAAATTATATTGTGCGATATTTATATTATAGTGTACGCACAGCACGTTTAGATTAATAATTACTTTTGATATTTTTTTAAAGATGGCGTTGCGAGACCGTCTTAGTTTTCGTAATAATAATTTTGTCTTTTTATAATATCGTAGTTATCAGTATAGGTCGCGGCACTGATGTTTATCGCTGAACGAAATTTACAGAGAATAGTTGCGCATCGGTACAATCGCGCGAATTGCGATTGGAAAACGTGACTGTACTCGAGAAGCAAGCAGGGCGTCGTATTGGTCCGAGAAAGACAATACGAGTGAGGAACTAATCAACGCTAGTGCACATGTCGTTCACCCGCCCCGCTGCCGTGCATTCGATACCTTATTTTTGACTTATGCGTAGGATTTGTTCAGCGCTAAAGATCCGTGCCGCTACTTATACAGTTAGACTAAAACAATTAAGTACAAAAATTATGATTTTTTTTATGTTTTGTGGTTGTGATGTTCTGAATTCTTCGCAGAGGGTGATCGATCCGTCGAATTAATTTCCTATTCATATTACAAATGTTTATATTGTAATTACACTCAGATATATATGTAGTATTTCTACGAAAGGAGATCATCAATTACGTCATGCAGTAAGAGAAAGGAAGGGGAGCTAAATTCATGACGTCATACGTCATCCGCGAGAGGGGGAGGCTTAACTTTATTTGAGAGGCAGTGGAAGAATAAGCAAAACGTAATTAATGGCCTATATGTAACATCATATTGTCAATTGTGATTTGAGCTTTTTTAAGATAACAATTATGCATAATATTTGTAGCACTTCGTTTATTTTTTAGAATAAGTCGGTTTACACATTAAGATTTTTAAATGTTTAGTTGCACTTGATTATTTTCGTATCTATTAACTTATGATTATAATAGGTTGTCGAGATCGTTAGTGAAGTTAAGAACATTCCGTTATTTTAATTTGTAACCTAGTCACAGTTAACTCACCTAATATTTGTGTTAACTGTCATTCAATTGAAAGCACTAATTTTAAGTTCATGTATATTATGATGGATTTGACCGTCTTCTGAATGTGCCTAATAAAACAAATGTTAATAAACATGATTTTGTTTGTATATCACCTAAATAAAAATGTAAACGGGGTTTGATATAACGCACTTAAAGTTCGGATTTAAAACATTATCGTATTTATCTAAGCACATATTGAGAATCTATTTCCTCCGGAGTGAATATATGCGAACACATTTCTGTATCGGCTTCACTGATCGACGTTATTCACGGGCAAGTAGTTAATCCGAGTGGTGCCATGCGCCCTGCCCGAACGTTCTTTTGCCTGGTCTTTAAACACAGGACCATTGCTTTGCGACGGATCTCGCTGGGTAATACTTAACTATTGAGCTAGGGCAGCAGATGTATAAAAGAATTTATTACAAGAAATAAGATTCGTCTTAAACAAAACAATTTATTAACAGAAAATACATACAAAACCGATAGGTAGCATAAAAAAATAAATATTGAAAGTTATCAAGTACATCTTTTTAACATTCTGGATGCTAATTCGAAACTGCCTAATTTCGATTAGACTATTGGAGCTGTTAAAATTATCTTCATAGTAAGATCAATTATATTATTTTCATAAATTACTTATGTTTACTGGTGGTCGCACCAAATGTACATATTTATGGTACAGCTTGTTTAACTGGCATGGTGGAGGAAAATGAAAGCCCTTGAGAGAATAGTTTCAATAGCAGTAATGTATATTTTAATTTCGTAAATCATACGAAATTGAGCTAAACGTTAAAACACAGCTACTGCAGGGCATCCTATATCAACTGTTCTACACTATTTGCTGACAATTCTAGCAATCGCCATGCAGCCTTCGGGTTAAGTTCTTGTGGGTCTCTGCACAGAACCCACACATAATTCACTCTCATCACCTTATTAGGGTCCCCTTCTATTACATTGTTTTTGGAGTCTCTGACACACATTATCTGCTGTGACTGGAATGTTATCACTAAAACCGGCCCTTGATCCATCATTTTCCCCATAACAAGCTCAATATTTTCAATATCAAGTATTTTGGAGTCTAATCTGTATCCTAGTTGCCTACACTGTTTGATTGGTGTAGCCAAAATATTGAATACTCCTTCATAACACCAGTCCTTTAAAATCTCTAAATCTCCTCTGACCATTGCTTCGAGAATATTTGGTATTATATCATTCGCACAGTCTTCTAGAAACTTCTGTGAAGTGAAATTAGGATCTATTTTGCATATTTCCGTTAGGGTTTTAGAGAGTTCTGTCTTTTCGAAGAGGTTACCAAACAAACTGCCGACTTTTTCAGTGACAAAACGGGCTCCGCGCACCATTGCGTTGTCAGATTCTTCATAGCGAATCTTCCAGTCCAATACCTACAACAAAATTACAAAGTTAATAGATAAATTAAAAAATATTATAAAATTCTAATATTAAGCACCTCTATGAAGTGGAATATTTAACTCATGTGTAATATTTATGTCCAAATTATTCGATAATAATTAAGCTAAAATAGCTAATTGTTACCTTGTTAACATATTGATTGTTGTTTTTAAAATTTTCCCATTGCTGATAAAATTTTGAGTCCTTGTGAAGTTCAACACCAACAGTTTCGGTGTCAGGTGCAAATGTACGCTCTTCTTCGGCCACCTGATACACAAGATTACAAATATTATTTTATGGTGTGCTTATGCCTGAAAGTATTAAAATATTAAATTAGATTTATCTAAAAGTTATACCAAATTGTAACAAACTGAAACATGGTATTTGGTATTCGTATTGAAGTTGTAATAAACTAAAAAAACGGTATGGATAATGGGTTTACATATTCTACATAAATAAAAAAACAAATATATACCTCAACACGTTTTCGCAGTGCCATGGGGGATGTATAGACACGACCTTCCAACCCTTTGGGGGACATCTCATTTCTCACCACCTCGGTGGCCTGGAAATTGATAAAAATAATTTGTAAATGCATGTAGGCTCCCGATATTTTATAATCTTCAATGAAAATTTGTTAATATAATGTCCTAATTGATTTTTATAAAGATGGTATATTTTCCATTAAGTGCACCCCAAGCATGAAAAATATGACTATTAATCTTGAAAATATTTTAACCTGTGAAATTGTTCGGAATGCAGATGTTTGACCCAGTTTTTGGCTCCTATCAGCGAAACTCTCAGCTGCACCCTTAGCCGATTTAGATAGATCCTCTGTTAGCTTTCCTGTAAGTTTAAAATATGAAATTAACTAAAAACTAGAATAATTGTAAAAAGATTACATAAAATCTGTATATAAGCACATACCAGCCTTTTTAGCAATTTCAGTTTTGCTTGCCTCTTCCAGGACATGGCCCATCTTTCCTTTAATCCCTTCTAGAGTATCTTTAAGTACTTCGGAGCTCTTTGATGCTTCTGACTCAACTGCATGGAATTTTTTCCTAGCTGCTTGTAAGGCTTCTGAGTTTTCTAGCTTTTGTGCTTCTTCTCTAAATTTCTTAATACTTTCTTTCATTTCTTTGTTTTTTGCAATATCTTCCTTTATGTTTTCTATTATTGAAGAGAAAAAGCCCTTTCGAGCAGAGTATTGACGACATTCTATTGAACACTGTAAGGGATAAAATTTAATAATCAATATATAAAAATTCATGCACATTTTACTAAAGAGTGAGCAAATCGCTTCATAGATAAAAGTGATTTTAGAGAGCACAAAGTATTTAAATGATGAATATATTAATATATATACATAATAAGGAACTTATAGTCCTTATAAAAAGTGTTTATCAATTCAATTTTTAATATTTAACCAAACATTTTATTACCATCTAGCAAAATAATATAATTTTGTACCTGATCTGATTTTATAGATAATAGAGATGACTTAAGATTCACTGGAACAACACCTTTCCAGCGGGCAGAGCTGTATAATATTTGTCGACAGGAGTGCTGCAATATAAAACAAAATACTTTGATAGTGAACCTATAAAATAAAGTCCAACATAACCTCTACTAATGCAATATTAATTACCATGTTTAGAATGATAGTATTTGGTAATATTCACATGAAACAACTACTATTCATATGTTTTAATACGCATACACTTTTAACTCAAAAAGCCTCTAAAAGGACTTTTATGATTTTTCTCGTAAATTTATAACCATTACCGAACCATAACTAATTTTGATGGTCGAGATAAAAGAGCTCTTGACTTTGACACTTTACTGAAAAACATAGACTAACGAAGATATTAGATTTATATAATAAATATACAGATATTATAACGTATAATTTTCTTTGGATATGTTTAGCAAGCGCTACACTGTATAGTCTGTGAAATTGTTGATGGCCATAGACAATTGATATCTTACTTCCGGTTATCGGTGAGCGATTATAATATCCTTGTAAATTGTAACCTTTTGCCCTCTTGTCAGTAAAATTTATATTAAAACAAAATTTTGTAAGTAAATAAAAAATTGAAAAAAAAACAGCTATGCTATATAGATTATTTCAAAACCATTTAGATATAAAACATGTGAATGTGATATTAATTGTTTCAAATTTCAAAAACACTTATTTCCGGTGTGAATGTAGTTCCAGAAACATATGAAAGTGTGCATTTTCATTTATTTTCTGTCTTGGTGTTCATTTTCAGCCACGGTATCTCGTGCGCGGTTAATAAATTAAAGATTTGTTTTATGTTCGTTCTATTCTGACATTGATCCATAGTGTGAGAACGTATTTCGTGACTATTTGGTGAATTTAGAATTGCCAGACGCATCGTCATAGGGGGAAGGTACATATAGCATAATATCGAATATCTTCAGTCCATATTTACCTATATCTATGTGGTATGTACAAAGTAGTCTAGTAAGCAGATACCACGTTTTCGCCAGCTGGTGCGTACGTTTCGGCTTAATAATTATTATGAAGTAGTGCATAGTTACCGTAGTTTAGTGTTGCAATTGTGCTGTTGTGTTGTGATATAAATATTGCATTCTGGCAGGTTCGTGTGGCCGACTCGCCTTTTCCTGGTGCGTGTTTAGCCGAAGGATCAACAATTAATCCCATCAGTGAGCTTTCGTCCAGTGGGGCGCTACCGTTTTATATGACTTTAGCAAGATTCGCAGGTAAAGATTACATTTTAAAGAATACGAAATTTTCAGGTTAACACATATTGAATTTAGTTGCAGTGTTATTGCAGTATTAGTACATAATTAAATCTAGTAATAGAGTTAGTCCTTATATAAATCTTATTATACTCTTATTTTATATTTAGTAAAATAATCTTAATGAAGAAAATAATTTTTATGTGTCCTTACTCACAAAAACCAGAGAATAAATGGACAGAAATTAGGTATAGTGATTGTAACTCTACTACACGTCATATCTAATCTAATATAGGATTTTGGTAGAGTTCTGCCTTAGGAGAGAAGATTTATCTTATTATTGAAAGAATACTGTAAGAATATATTCTCTGCTTACAGTATTCTTACAATACAATATATTCTTACAGTATTCTTTCAAATTTTTGGTTTATACACAAGTATATCTGAAAATTTAAGGTCTCTATTATTAAATAAATTTACAAATCAGTATATATTAATACTAATTCATAATTGTACAAAAAAAGCTTCATTTGATATATAATTTGTGAATATCCCGAATATTTGATATTGGTTTTAGCTACTTGGTTTATCTACAGAAAATATTTTTATAACATGTTAGGATTTATCATACAAAGAGTTGTTAAAAATTTTAATGATAACAAAGATTGATAATTCATACTCTTAAACGCCAAATTGTATATTAATCACCCTCTTTTAACTGGTTTTTTAACTTCTCATGGTTATAATTATTGTTTTGCTTTGTGTTTCCTTGGTAACTTGTATTTTTGAGACCTTATTTTTCCAAATTTACTGTACTATACTCTGTAAAGTTATTCACGTGCCTATATGGTTTGAAATGTAGAATGTTAAATAGAATGTAGAAATTGGATTAAATTTGATATTTGCATAAACATACAGTAAGATCATTCATTCAGCTGTAACAATTTTTGGAAGCATAAATCATAAAAGAGAATGTGTTCCGAAACAACAAAACATAAAACTAACTATTTGACATAACATCAGAAACATAGGACTTTACAAATGTCACAAAGAATATACAAATAGATGCCACATTAAACACTACAATTGTATCGCAAAACAGAACCCTGAGAAACATCTACCAAACACTGGTATTCTGTGGTCGTGTCCGGTACTGAGCATAACACTTATAAAATTGTCTCCTACAGTATATTAACTCTGTAATGCAATACTAAAATCTACTTGAAAGAGACAGCCAATTAAAAACTACTTTCTCATTAAAAGAAGCTTGTGCATTCCGCATTGCGGATATTTTGCTGTTAAAAATAGATCCATGTAAAATGTACGCGAATTTTAAACGGACACAGTTTCTGTTGATTGTAAACAAATTCGATATGCACGCTAGAACATTTTGTCGCGGCGTCACACGTTTTGCAACGCACTAATCGATCTTCCATTTTGAGGGGAATTCTTAACTGTCATTAGATTTATACATGTCGCAGATTATATCTATATAAATAAAAATAAGTGATAAGATAAATGCGTCTACTTGAATTTTATACTTTTTAAAAATAAATTTTCTACGTACACATATATTTTGTATACAAGAAAAATATTATTATAAAGTTTTATTGAAATGTCTTATGGCCCATTAGTATTTACTTTTTACGTCTTTTTCATGAATTATGTTTTGGAATAGTTTAGTTCTTTTTGACACTTGAATAAAAACAATTCGTCAAGGCTCATTTCACATATTATGATGAGGAGAGACTTTGCAGTCGTAGTTTAACTATACTCATAATAACCCAAGTAAAACTTAATGTCGTAAATGTATATTGATATTATTGGATTTTCAAACAACAAGGAAGTATGTTATTGGAAATGTAATAATTATGAACGTAGAATTGAACAAAAAAGATATACATATAATAGTCTATCTCTATATTAAATGCCCTGCGTGGAGAACAGCCTCCTAGCAATGGATCGATATCCATTCCACTCTCCGTTGCATTATCTAGAATCATTGCAAATCTAGGTGCGATAAAATAAATATAGTCAATCTTCGAACAGATTTATATCATCCAAGGAAGTTCGATTGTGACTATTTCGTTTCAGAATAAAGTGCAATATCACTATTAAGCCCTAGAGATGGTTCCTAGATTACCGTTTTAATTTACTTACAAATACTAGCAAATGAAAGTCCTAATTGGTGATAAAAGACAACTTGCCTGCGAATAGAGTACGAAGAGTCCCATAATGTCGCAAGTTCTTCGGCATCTGAACGAAGCTTCTACTATTGTAAATAAGTAAAAGTTTTTCTGATTCTCTTATAATACGCGTTTTACATTTATAATTAATTAGCTGTGCCCGCGACTTCGTTCGCGTGGAATAGTGACTTGAGGTAGAATTTTTAATTTTTTAGGCTGTTTATTAATTTATGTAATTGCGCATTTATCGCAGCCAATCTTTGTTTTACTTTTTTTACTTTGCCGCAACACTTTTATCTCATATGACTCCTAATCTAACTCCTATTCCCAAAAAGCCAAAGAAAAAATTTTCATTGTTCTAGCTTCAAAAACCAAATTTCCATACAAACTTTCACCCCACCTCTTAACCCCTTACAACCCCCTTATGGCAATAAAAAGTAGCCTAAGTTTTTTCTCAGGGTCTAGACCATCTGTGTACCAAATTTCATTCAAATCTATACAGTAGGTTTGGCGTGAAAGAGTAACACACAGAGTTACTTTCGCAGTTACAATATTAGTAAGGATTTTATTCGATACAGTAATCAATAATTTAAAAGTGTACACTGATCTGAAGATTTCTATTTTTCGCGAGATTATCGAAAGTGCATTCTGGATTGGCGGACTATTTTTAACATCTATGACATGTCATCATTAGATTAATACCCAAACATGTATAGATACACATCGTAAATAGATTTAAGAGTTGTTTAGTTTCATTTTTGCGTTGATAAAACTACTCTACAATTTGTTTATTTAGAAAGCCAAGGTAAATGACATCTTGGGTTGATTGATTCCTTATTTTCAAAGCCTTTTACAGTTTTAACGTGATTTGCGACTTATTCCGGTGTAAACGTTTCGTCACCTACATGAGAATTGCCATCCCGGTGGTGTTGGTGAACTAGATACAGTATCGCAAGGAAATGTTGCGAAGCACGCGCTTCGCCGAAACGTGTTATGTCACAGAGGTCGTCGCACTCGCCTTTCTCGTCTAGCACACAAACCTCATTCCCTTCCCCCCACCACCAGCTGATGATTGATCGCATCACCCACTTTATTTTTCGCCACTTTACTGAAACTGCTAGGGAATAGTCGAAAATGCAGACTCTTAATAATAACGAAAGGAAAATAAAAAAAGTCTGCCTTTTAAACGTCAGTCCTATCCATGTCGCTGGTATTTAAAAACGCACTAATTTGTTGTGTCCATAAGCATAAACTGCATTGTACCGCATAAGAACGAATCACAAGTTTAGCGAAACAAGGGCTAATACAAGACAAGTGATCGAACAAGTTGGCGCATAGCTTCCACTGCATACATTCACGTCTACGATGTCACTCCATTTCTAAATCGGGCCAATAAAGGCTAAACGAATGTTAGATTTTAAAAAATATACCCGATGTCGCATTAGATCAGATCTATATAATGTTAAACCTAGTTTGATTTCTTATTTGATTTTACATATGTAAGTTGTAAGAGGAAAGAAATCGAATATACGGCGTGCCGTAGTGGTGTTTCGCTTGTCTGATTTAAAGAATGACTATTTCAATTTAATGATCATGACATCTGTAAGACATCGTACTATTGTTGTATCTATTTATGACGCAGTTTTAGGTTTAAAATATGATTAAAAAGGAGTGAAAAAATTGTAGTGTTTGTCAAATAAATGTATTAGCTTCATACATTTTCGTAACTATATTTGAAGCGTTGATAATAAGCATTACATCATAACGTGTAACAGTCTATACGATTTCGATATGTCTGTCTTATCTGTTCGAATGCTTTGATAAATGCAATTTCGTCAACGATATGTCCCTGCTAACAAACTATAGATATAACATGAATGATATTTATTTAACGTTTTGGCCGTTTGACACTAAATAGATCTGTTTTAAGGAGCGTTCATTGTGAGGGCGTGGCATAAAAAAATACTCCAGACCCGTAATATCTTCATGTAATTGTAGATAGATGAGTCATTCGCAATATCTACCATCAGAGGTAGGTAGTTTACGCATAGCGTATTAGCTTGAGTCATTGGAGTAAAAGTAGACTGTTTCTTAAATTGATAAAAGTTGGAATTAAGAAAAAACTTCGCTCTGCCGACTTAAATGATATGAAATGAGGTTGCTAGAGACAGAGTGGCTTAATAACACAAAACATGATTATCAATAATACTAATAATATGAACAAGTCGAGTGATATAATTTTAGTTGGGCTACTCTGCCTCTAGCGGCCACAAATTTTGTCTAACTTAAGCACTAACAGCATAGTATTAGAATTTTTTCTTGGCTTTCCTTAGACCACCATGTTTCGAAATACAAACGTAAACAAACTTTTCGAAAAATGTCTATCATTACTGAGACATACTTTGAATAGTGCCATAAAATCATTTAGAAATGTATTATTACTTTATTAATATATATTAAGCAGAAGTCTTATTATTAATTATTCTGTTTAAAGCACACTTTGGTCACAATAAAATAAAATTAAATCATTGCCTTATAACAGTTGTATTAGAAAACGCTGCAGTTTAATATTTTGAAGCAGCGCTAAGGCTTGGGAGGTCGTAGAAATCGATATTGAGAACGCATGCGCCCTCTGTCAGCTAACCCCTTCCCGCTTCCCGTTAAAGGTATCCTTGTAAGCCTGCTAAATAGTAATTATTTAGTCATTTCTAAACAGTTCTACTTCAGACTCTGAAATATACAACCTACAAAATTAGACCTGTTTGAAAATTCTTAGAAGTAATCAGATTTTATATAGTATTTATTAGAAGTCTCATTTTCAAATGAGATTTAAGAGTGACAAGATGTTTTTTGAAGAAATTACTTGTCAATCAAACTAAGACTAAATCCCTTATCATATCTTCTTATCTGTGATATTTTAGACCCATCTACCAAAAATATCACAGATAAAACTTGTATTTGAAAGTGATCTGAAAATTCTTATTCTTGCTTAGGTAGGATACAATATGTATTGGAATAAGAAAATAGCAGGCGTATATAGAATTATTTGGGATCATGTTTACCAAAACCAACGACAACTTTCCGTATAAGTTTCAGGTCGTTTTTTAGGCACATAGTAGGTCCGATTTTACACTCCCCCCACCAAGATCGTTTTTAATCCCGAGGACACATTATTTATTGTTAACACCGCTAGGTAACTCGTTTAATGGTTAATTAAGATGGTACCTACTATTCTATGCTCTTATATCTTTAATGTTAAGTAAGACCATAGGGATAGGGCCAGCCACAGCAGTAAAAAAAGGATTAACAACAATATGATTTATAACAGAATTAGCTCCCATTAGCCATTTATAATTATTAACACGTCCTACTTTACCTCCCATTAATTGGTCTAACCTTGACTGGCGTGACGTTTCACCCGACGCGTTAATTTAACCTGCGACTATCAATCACGACTCGTCTTATCTTTACCATTGATAAGGTTAATGCACGATTAATAGAATGTTAAGAAATATTAAGTTATAACTTGACTAAGTTCATTATAGAAGTAAGAACCTAGCCCTGGAACTGAACAGTTTGATGTATCGGTGACAGAAAAAAAAAACTATAAAACTACTTTCTTATATTATTCAGTTATTTCCCTTGACATTTTTATAAATTACCGTGGAAGGAAAAGCTGTAAAATGGGGAATACGTAGTCTTTTGCCCATTCGCGTACTTTTGACAATTAGGATTTGGCTATAATAGTTATATCTAAACGTACTAGTATTTCTTTTAAATAAAACACTTTAACGGTTTAAAACGCGATATATTAGTTAAACTTATTTGAAAATGATTTCTAACTTATGATTTTAAACCGTTAAAGTGTTTTATTGAAATGTGTATTACTTGCGTAAACTATAGACAGTACTAGTGTTTCACTATCAAATATCCCTTTAGTATGTTTCGTTTCTTTATATTTTTCACCAATACATTATCGAATATCCATTTAGTGCTACAATACAAAGAAACGCAATACCGTCGTCGACTGCTGTTCTAACGTAGAGATTTCCTGTGTTTGTGTTATTGTTATGAGACACGTGATGTAATAATGCGATACAATTGTAAACGAATGTTGCATCAATGTAATGTTTGAGCCGCGAGGAATGTGGGTAATGGGATATGCTTTGCGAAATCAACTGGTAAACATTTCGTTATTGTCCCTTTTCGTTTACTCTTAATTAATTTACAAAGTTCGTAGTAAATCGGTATTTTATATCCTTATTACTTATATACATACAATATAGGCCTTAATTTACTATGGGGACTCAGATCAAAATGTGGTTCAATGACGTGTCTTCCCACATGCTTTTCTTTTAGTGGCAGGACGTCTTAAAATGATCAAGAATGTTTCTTAACGAACGGTGCACCTGAAATTCATAGTCCTGACCGCGCACGTACTACCAGACCAACGTGATTTACTATATTGATACTACTCGCTGACTCGGTAGTTCAATTGGTAGAGCAACAGCACGGAAAGCTGACGATGCCGGTTCAAGTCCTGCCCGAGTCGAAAATTTTTTTAATTTATTTTCGATTTTTAAAAATTATATATTGATACTAGCTGAGCCGGCTAACGTTGTTTTTCCATTTAAATAATTTTACTAAAATGTCTATTAAAAATAAGGGTTAATCGTAGAAGGGTGAAAATTGAGGATTGTATGTATTTTTGTATGTTGTATCATAAAAAAAATAGAAATTAAAAATTTTGTTGAAAAAAAAAAATTTAAGGGTGAACCACCCTTATCACTTGGATGAAAAATAGATGTTGTCCTATTCTCAGACCTATTGAATACACATATGAAATTTGGTAAAAATCGGTCGTGCCGTTTAGGAGGAGTTCAAGTTCGAACACCGTGACACGAGAATTTTATATATTAGATTTGCTTAGATACTACCTAATTACATAGAATAAACTTGAACTTAAGACATCTACGTTTATAACATATAGTGTGTTTAGTCCCTCGCGCGTCATAGTATGGTCCTCATCGCCATTCGTGGCTGCAATGCGCCAAGCGCTAGACTCGAGGCCATCGTGACACTCCATTGAAGGGCTCTTCTTATTACCAACCCTTAACCCACAACCTTCAATCATCTCGAGTCACACGCTCGCTGAGTGGGTATCGACGAAGAGTCTCAACTTATTACCTCTTATCAAAACTTTAATCGAAAGAAGTTTCACGTTCATGAGACAAAATGCTTACTTGCTTCTTCTAATTGGTTACTATAACAATAAAGTAAATGGAAAAGCTTTTTAAGCAAGCACATTATTCCAAGTTAATGCTGTTGTTATATGCTTAAATTTAGCGGTTTAAATAACAAGTGTTTTTTTGGTTGTATGAATGTTGCTATATATGCTATTACCCAATCGCAAATGTACCTTCAAGGATATTGGCGTACAAACACCGTGTTCGACTGAGCTTCGCGAAATTTTTCACGCCAATTTCGATTTAACAGTTTTCGCGTTAGACATTAAATTTCATATTCGATTATCGCTCGGCGGGCAAAGTTACACGTGGTGAACGGTTTTTATAACCACTGTGTGCTGACCACTTGCGACATGCGTGAGCGATAGTGACGCTGTGGATTTTGTAAGTCCGCATTGTATTATTTTGGCGCGATTGCGTGGCCCTGACATTTGATACGTGGGTAATTTCGATCACAGGGACAGTAGGTAGCGTGTTTTTATATTTACGTCAATAGTTACTCTGATAGCTAAACGTGAATTTTGATGTTTAAACGAATATAAACGAAACACTTAGAGTTTATTTTTTTACAATACATATATAGTAAAATGACTTTCACCTTATTAATTGTACATTACATTTCTTTTTCGTAAACGTATAAAAATAACAGAACGACTAAGTACCAGTTTGTGATCCCTAAAATGCTGTAATGTTGTTGCAGAGACTACAGTACAGTGCGAGGAGAGTGGTCGGTGTGTTGTCGCGAGCAAGGCCGGCTGCCTACGAGCGTGCATGACGCTTCACATAACGAGCAATACTGCCCGCAGGTTAGATACGTAAGCACGAATAACTCATCTATTGGATTCCACTCACAGAATGTCAAATCTGAATACGGAGAATGTTTTCCTCTTTAACATAAAGAGACTATCCTGCACGAATGTCAAACAAGTGCGGCGCCTTGCTAAATCTTTAACACAGTAAACCTCTTTTCTAGGCGAAGTCGATTAGATTCGGTAGATATAGGTACTATAAATAATTAATAAATAAAAAATTTAGTTTTTAACTTTAAAACTTTCGCTTCCAAAACATAATCGGAGCAAACGATATCGGTTGCCTCATCCTGCACTAACTTGATCATATCCTCCAAACGCTATAAAATTAATCCTTGGCTGCGATATTAAGTTTTGAAAAGAATTAAAAAGCAACCGATGTCGGTTGCGTCGGATAGCCGCGACGCTATATGTTGCAGAAGATCAAAGTTTTGCAGTAACAGACATCGGAAGCTGCTGCCGCTCCGGCAAACGTGACTGGCGCGCCCCGCGGGTGCACTCGGCCCGCATGCCGTTGTAGACGCGAATACGCCGCGCGAACACGCTGCCGGTGAGTGCCGGTCGCCCATCGGCCATAGATAGCCCAAACGTAGACGGCGACAGAAAATGTAGTTCGTATATTATTTAGACGACAGGTTTTTTTACGTTGCTTACATTACACTTTCAGTTTTTAATTACTAAACAATATGTATATTTATATAATCACCTACTACGCGGGACGCGCTAGTCATGGCTAGGTAGTTAATTTTAAAAAGTTAGTGTCAACGTCGTAGTATGTTTTACAGCTTTATTTAGCTTCAATGTCTGTAATTCATGCAAGCTTCTGCAAAAGTAGACAGTCAATGATGAAATTCATAGTAGATGCGTCTCACGTGGCAAAGGTTGACTTAACAATTCTAATTTTTTCAGATTACCATCAACCATCTCTTTCAGATCCAGTGTCAAAAAAAAACCACCCCTGGAATAATTAGTTAGTATTATATAAGTGAATAGCCATAAGCCATGGGGTCCGTAAACGTGAACCGGAATGTGGCGGACGCGTTCTATCGCTATAAGATGCCGCGGATTTGCGCCAAGGTGGAGGGGAAGGGGAACGGCATTAAGACTGTCATCGTCAACATGATCGAGGTGGCCAAGGCACTTGGTCGGCCGGCGACATGTGAGTAACATTTTATTAGCATATTAAGCCTTTGTTTTAATAACGAACTTAAGTAAGGAAAGGATATTTACTATTTCAGATCCGACCAAGTACTTTGGATGCGAATTGGGCGCTCAAACGCAGTTCGACTTTAAAAATGAACGTTTCATTGTCAACGGAAGTCATGATTCGTCCAAGCTTCAAGATTTACTTGATGGGTAATACATGTTTACTGTACAATATGCCTGTATCTATAGGTTAATGTTAATGCTATTCATACAATAGCTCAATAATATAAAAAAGGAAGTAGTCACAAACATTATATTTTTAAATTATATATGAACATATAATTTGCAATATTTCAACGTGTTACGTGTATCGTAACTGCTATGCAGGAAGGAAGATATATAATAATCTGAAGTAAAAGTCGATGCTTTGCTATGCTAGAGTATTCATAGTTGTGATAAAATCATTTATTATTCTACATAATTACACTGTATATTGTTTGTCTTGTTATTGTCTTTGGAAGTTGCTAGGGGGCTGCAAAGATGAGTTTCTCTATCAATTCATTCTATATATCAATGAATAACTTGAAAATTCCAGTTTCATCCGCAAGTTCGTGTTGTGCCCCGAGTGTGACAATCCCGAGACGGAGCTGATAGTGTCGACGAAGCGCAACACGATCTCGCAGGGTTGCAAAGCGTGCGGCTATCACGGGCAGCTGGACTTCAACCACAAGCTCAATACTTTCATACTCAAGAACCCGCCGGCCGCTGACCCTGCCATGCAGGTAATACATATATATTGATTATTTTCCGAAGGAAGGACCAGCCTATACTTTTGTGTGTGTGTTATTACTAACTGTGTCAGCGTCCGCGTAGATTAGTTATTTTGGGCTCTCAAATTTGTTTTGTTTTCGTTTTTATTTTTGCAAACCCCCTCTTCTACTTTATACATTTAAGCTGTTACACCACCCACAACGTTTTTTTAAATAATTTGAAGAGGAATCATTCTTTTATACATATTTTGTGGAGTCTTGAACCGTTTTCGTAGCGTACGCATCGGACACCCACAGAGATAATAATTTTCTCCGTTTCTTCCACAATTCCCGCTGTTTTTTTTTCGCTTTTCTATTAGTCATATCTCATTGTATATAGCCTTCCTCGATAAATGCTCTAACAAAAAAAAATATTTTCAATCGACCCAGTAGTTCCTGAAAGTAACGGTGTTCAAACAAACAAACTCTTCAGCTTTATATATTAGTATGGATTGATCCCTTGTTTATAATGCAATTGAAATCCTCTCGAAGGGCTCGTCGCTAACTGAAGGCAATCGTGGGAAGCGGTCGAAGCGAAGCGGCCCAGCTGCTAACGGCAACCACGATGGTGAAGCAGAAGCCAAAAATGTTAGTGTATATTTGTATTCTAAAAGCACACCAATTATGTATTTATATATTCCCTAATTGCCACGGTACACCTTACCTGTGTGCTTTGAGGTAAAGTTTTTGAAATGATTTAAACAAATAAAAATCTCGATAATAATGACGAATTACAGGATAGCGACGTCCCAATAACGCCAACAACGCCAAACGCAAAGAGCGTAAAGAAAGAAAAGCCAAAGAAAGATGACGATGACGATGATGGTAACTGGACTGTCGATGTCAGTGAGGCTGCTGTGAGGGCTAGGATGCAAGGTGAGATTTAAATATTCTCGTAAAGGAGAGTATTTGCTTATATAATGTCTGTTAGATCTCAACAGCTAATAATTTAAATATGTCTATAGTTACGCGAGTAGTACACATTTAAATAAAACACTTTAACGGTTTAAAACGGTATATTAGTTAAATTATTTGAAAATGAGACTTTCCTTTCTTTTTTTTCCTTTTTCCCCCGGGCCCCCCCCCCCCCCCCTTTTTTTTTTTTTTTTTTTTTTTTTTTTTTTTTTTTTTTTTTTTTTTTATCAGCTAATAATTTGTTTATTATAAAGCAATTAAAACGGCAATACTATAACTAGTATTACACATATTAATTGCATCGTAGTACACATATTTAAACAATTACACTTAAAATAGGTTAAATACATAATTTCAAAGGCAAACAATTCTTTAAGTATTGATGACCATTCATCTGCGAGGAAGTCGCATTTTTGTCTTAACTTAAGGAGAGCCTTAAGTAATGATGGCAATTTATCAATATTCTTATCTCGTTTTAGATCTAACGGAGGGTGCGAAGAGCATGACGGTGTCTGAAGACAGTGAGAAGAATGAGAAGCAGCGCATGGACTTGTTTTACTCGTTTTTGAAGCAGAAGGCGGATGCGGGGGACGTGGAGGGCTCTAAGGCCATCAATGAAATTATACACGAGGCTGATAGGTAGTACGCCTTTTGACATTTATGACATATTGATTTTATTAAATGTTTATATATGTAAAATAATAACATTTAGTCTTAGTAGTTATAAATTTCAAGAAGAATAACTTGTAATTAAACAATCGCTGCTCAATTACAGGTTAGACGTCAAGTCGAAGGCCCTGCTGGTGGCGTTCGAGATCCTGGTGCGAGCTGGCAGCCTCGCCGGGGACGTGAAGCGGCATCGCGCTCTTTTGCTGCGCTTGGCCCACCTCGAGCCCCGCGCACCCCGCGCCGCTCTGCACGCCCTCACCGCATTGGCCCAACACCACCCCGTGCTGTTGCCTCGCGTACCTGCCATTCTTAAGGTAGCAACTTTTATCTAAATTAAATACATGTGGTGACGTAAATTTAGCACCGAGGAATATTTGGTGAGTTGACAACGAAGTTACATTTTAAAATAAGGTATAAGTTACTTTTTATATTGAATTAAACTAAAACGCTCTTATAAATAAAACAATTAACGGTTTAAAACGCGAAATGTATTAAATTAATATATTAGCTTTCACATTAGAGACGAGCGTTAGAGATCTTTAGGCCGTTCCGTTACCACGGCTGCTGCAAAAGATCCGAATCCTTGTGATTTATTTATTTATCTGTATTCGTGTAAACTACAGGCAATATTTCATTTACAGCTCCTTTACGATTTGGACATAGTAGAGGAGAAGACCATAATCGAGTGGGCAGCGAAGCCGTCTCGCAAGTACGCATCCAAGGAAGTGGTCGCAGACGTCGTGAAGCGAGCCCAACCCTTCATCGAGTGGCTGCAGCAGGCTGACGAGGAGGAATCGAGCGAAGAGGAGGAGGACATCGAGGTATGGCACCTTTGATATAGTAATCAACAATGTAAACTCATTTTGCTATCTGTTTTATATATTAAACGGGTTCGGATTGCCGAATACAGCTGGTTCTATATATTGATACAGAGCCAGCTGTGCCAGTCATTTTGGGCATTAAATTTTATTTTCCCTAACCTTTTCATCTTTATAAATGATACCTTGTAACGACGTCGTCCGTGTCTCATCGTTCTTGCAAGTTCATTTTAAAAGATAGACAGTTCCACATTTCCCACAGTTTTTTCGCTTTTATTGGTCGCGGAATGATGTTTTATAGTCTAAAGCCTTCCTCGATAACTCGATAACGATAACCAACACAGTTTTTTCTCAATTAGAAACCAGTAGTTCTTGAGATAAAGTGCTTTCAAACAAAGAAACAAACTCTTAAGTTTTATATTTTTGTATAGATTAAGTTTATGTAAATAATTTTAGAAACTCATTAAAAATGCCACTTTTACAATGAAAATTAGTTATGATAGCGGCAGAGCAAGATGATTGAATGGAGAAAGGGTATTCCTTACCTTGCATTTCCCTTTAGAGCTATAAACTTGATGTTTTTGAATGTTATAAAAGGATGTTAACATAGGTATTTGTTTGTCGCAGATCGAGTACGACGATCGTGCTAAGGCTACGCCCATTAAGGCGGTGAGCGCAGCGCCGGCCGCCAAGCCCAAACCCCAGGAAGACGACGGCGAAATCGACGTTGACATAGATGCTATATAGACCCATACAATCACAAACATGCCGTACACAAGTGTCGTGGGTGCTTTCTTCAGTCGAATTTTTCCAATATTTATTTTCCAGACTAGTCTAGACTAAATCAGTGAAATTAAATCGGAATTTAAGAAGTCTAGTAGAAAAATTGTGAATCCGATGTTGATATTGAATTTATATTCCTAATTAGTTTTTTCTTCTAATATCTTTAAATTTTAATCTACATACACCTCTTGTGTATTCAAACTTAGACTGAAAGAAGCCCCGACGCGGCAAAGCGGACCCCATGCATAAGTCATTTTAATTTTTACAAGTCATTAAATTTAATGTGTAAAAATATTTAACCAAGCGCTTTTTAGGAATCTAGATGTAAAAATCTCTGTGAACGCTTATAGGGTTGAAGGCGAGTTGCATTTCGTTTCCTGAACTTTTTCGTCCAATTTCTTATATTTATGATCGTACAAAGTTAACTACAAACGGTAGCACTATTATTTAATATTTTTTGATGTCGTCATTTGAACGTATTTGCATTCGAGAAATGTCTTAAAAGGCGTTTTACTCGTTGTGAGGTCGAGTTAAGAATTTTCTCAAAACAACGTCTTTGACGTTGAGGTTTCGATAGTCATGAACTCCAAGCCCCATCTAGGGCACTTAAAAATCTGGTGCGAACCAGTCTTTTAGGATTCCGAAGCTATGGAATAATTTTCGCCGTACTGTTTTACTTCTGTCGCCACACGAGTTGCACTTTTTTACCGTCACAAATGTACTGGTACCACTTGTACTGTTTTTATGATTTGTATGAGTTTTTAACGTTTTCTAGTATTTAATTGTGAATCTGATAATCCGGGGGGTGATATACGGTTCAGTTGATAAATAGGCATTTAAAATTATTACTTTGACTTTTATCGTATATCATTGCCTTAAAATATTTATATTTTGAAAACCTCTTGACTAAAACATATACAAATAGACTTTTCAAATTGCAACTAAATAGTTACTTGATAGACATTTGAAACCATAAGTCATGATCATGAGAAATTTTAAAAACAATTTTATTATTTGTCAGAGAAGAATATAATGTTGTATATTTTTTATCGTCAAGGGGTTGAATTATATTACTTATGGTGAGATAAACTATGTCAAGATGGTTATATTAATGGCAGAAGCGAGCGTTCACTTCAATCAAAACTATTCATAGATTATTATTTTAAAATTACCACCTTTATTAGAATTGTTTTATATTCAATACATTTAAAGTCTGATACGGTGTTTTTATTTATCCCTTGGTATAACACAGTTCGTCGTAAATGAAGAGAACTTGTGCATTAGGAGAGGTTAAACGTTGGCTTATAAAATAAAACAATGATGCAATATACAAATAAATATTTTTATTAAATCCTTAAATAGTATATAACGTAGATACTTTCGAGATTCCTATAATATGTCAGTACATTAATATTTAAAACTTATTATAATACTTAATAAATGCTTGCAGTCGAGATTCATAAAATTAAGGAGCAAACGTTGAGCAATACAGTATCAAAGGCAGACTACGTAAAGTAGACGAGACAAATGTCTAAACGTTTTTACGTATATTTTGTTATTAGCACCATAGATGAGATTCAGAGACAAGAATAAGAACCAATTTTGTAATCGTTACCAGTTGTATCAAAAGTATCAGATTGTCTAAGTTTCGTTTCAGTATTAATTGAGGTCGCTCAGAGTAGCCTAACTTCAATTTTATGACTTGAGTTACTTATCTGTGACCGAATTGTTAATAAAATTGTACACAAGTAATTAACATCTGTTAAAAATAATATATTTTTGTCATTAGGCCACTCTGTCTCTAGCAGCTACAATTATATCTTCTATTTTTTGCTGATACACATGAGCACCCGAAACAAAATAGACACAGGTTTGTTCCCATAAATATGACTGGCTATGCCTTAATTTGGTCCCATATATAATCGGTATTGTCTTAAAATAAATCATCTCTATTTCTAACTATTTAAATTGCAACTAAAAACTGATATGTTTAAAAGTATTTACAAGTACTTGGACCTTTCCGAATCTTAAGTTATAAAATTAAGATACTGTAGAGGAAACTGCTCACGAACCAGCTTCTGATTGGTTTACTTCTGAGATTCTTTAATTTATAACTATCCACTCCCAGTCGCCGGCACAACTACTGAAGTCACAGGTCCTCCCGGCGACGCTACACTAAACGACGTGACGAAAACATTAACTATCGTTATCAAGAACACGCCTAGCACCGTAAAGTTGTTAATTTTGTCCGCTTTGCAAATATCCTTGTCGTCTTTGACGTTGTACCGACTGTTCATTATGAGGCCGATTCCGACTGCGATCTGAAAATATATTTAAAGATTTTACAATAGCTACAACAATATATAATATAATTATAATAAGACATCTGTTTGTTTCACTGATCAATTTCTTTCAAACCCTGGACCTCTCGCACATAGCACAATTGATAGGCAGCACGTTTAACCATTTAGCTACAGAGACGGTCAATCACTTTTGTATTCGGGTCTTAAACCGGTATTATAATCGGTTTTCTAGAACTGAATTGTATGTTGCTTATCTAAATTTGTAAAAAACACGTTAGAAGTGACAATGCATAATTATACCTGAAGTATGATACTGAGTGCGATAAAAGCTAAACTTGGGTAATAGTAAGGATGAGATGACGCTGATTCCAAGACGTATCTGAGCTGGTTCGCGTTAGCAGATAGTAGAGCCAAGTCCATCATGCCTTGTGCTAAGTTCTTCTTTTGTTGGTATGTGTTTACATCGGGGATGGACTAAAAGAGGAACAAAAATCAAGAATGGCTATTTTATTTATTTATTTATTTACACTTTATTGCACAAAAAAAAATGAACAAAAATAGAAACTTATATACTAAACATATGGAGTGCAATGGGCGGCCTTATCGCTAACGAGCGATCTCTTCCAGGCAACCCAAGATACTTTAGCTACGCTGCGGGCTAATAATCAATGTCTTGGGTTCGATTCACACTAAGGGCAACAAGTTTCTTTAATTAAATTGATATTATTTATGAAACATAGTAGAATAGTAGTTTCAAGATGGTGGCAGAAATATCAAAATTCTAAATTTCAGGTTGAGGCCAACAAATTTTTTAAAATTAAATTATTTTTTATTTAAATTATTTTTCGAATATATTAGAAAAATTTGGACATCAAAAGGGCGGTAAGAATATCAAAATTCAGCTCAGGATAAGCCACTAAGTATTTTTCTTACGGCTACGTCGAAATGTAATTAAGGATTCTTAGTACTTTGAGAAATGCATGTTTGTCTTAGTTTGACTAGTCCAAATATATGACTACTACACTCATACGATATAACGAATATATTGGCAGTTTATGACTTATACGTACGAATTTGAATAATTTAAAATATTTGACATTCGATTTTTATTTATATACAATAGACTAACCCCAGGTATCATAGGTGACCCAGGTCTGTCTTCAGCTCCGAATCTATAGCCGAAACCGTTTGCATCTGTAAAGCAAAACATTAATTTTAATACATTAAAAAAATTAAAATTTTGTGTATTTTATACGGGATACAAAGATGTTACGATTCGATTAAATTTACTTTTTTTTCTTCTTTTTTTTTCGAAATCATAAACGATTGTTTATGAATTAAGGTATTTCATTACTTATGCTCAATACAAAACAATGCATATTGTATTCAACATTTGTTCTTAGTTACTTTCATTAAAGATGCAATGATTTGATTAACAATTAATCTATGAATCATTATTTCTATATACGCATAATATGGTACTTAAACAATGATTTTACTTATATAGTCTTATGCAGTGTTGAGCAAAAACGGTCATTCTTGTTATATGTAACATACAGGAAACTAGCAATTAAATCATAAACAAGCACGTGTTGAAAATAAAAAAGGATTTTGGGTACATATATTATACAATTATAAAGGTCCAAGGGTTGAAAATAAAATAATATTTGCATGCATACGTATGTAAGAAGAGTGTAAAAACAAGAATATCATGCAATATATATATAACGTGCATACCATGAGAAATAATGAGGATAAATAGCATATAATTAAATAAAAAATGCGAATTAATGATGTAAAGTGTTAATGATGTAAACCCAGACAGAAGGCGTATCAGTGTTTTTAAACAGTTTTAAAATAAGTCGGTATGTAATTGAGTTTTGACTTCTAGATGAACTTGGATTCGCGAGATATTCCGTGGGATTACTGCGTTAATTGCATTTTAAAATAAGATGTGAATAAATTATATTAAATATAAAGTTTTTATATATAAATATCGTGAAACATATTTAAAAGAAAAATTAATAATCAAAAGGAAGTTAGCGATATTATACTACAAATTTTGTTATAATGGTTTTAATAATAATGTAAAAATAAGAAATCTGTTGTAATCTACTGTTTAGAAACGACTAATGCTACTACAGTGATACTACTATATTTTAAGGCAGCCTTCAAACTATATATTCATATATATTCTATGTCTAACGTGGTAAATTAACGTCAAAATAGGCCTTTTGGAAACCCCGCATTACAGGAGTGTAAAAGTGTTAAGTATGTATTAATTATTTTTTGTAGTGTTCGCGAATACACATTTAAATAAAACACTTTCACCCATCACCCATCAGGGTGTTGCCAAACAATCGTTATTAAAAATAAGTCAAGTATAATAATCTTCGCGTTAAAACTGTGCAAAGTGTTCTATATAGAATCCATTCTAGTGTCTTGCCCAAAACTTCTCCTACCGAACTCCTGTGGTGTGAAAGTGTGAGGTTTAGTGTGCGTGAGTGCATGCCAATCACCGTAAGGATAATCTGGCTCGTCGGTGGCCGGGTAAAGCCATTTACCGTCTTCTGTACCGACTCCGTCTTCGCGCGTCGAATGATCTGATCCTTCTTGCTCATGTTTCCCTTCGCCGTCTGTAAAATAGAGAAAACTATTAAAAGAATTCATATTTAGATGACAACATGAATATTATAGTGTAATTTGATAATTGATAGTCGTTTAAATGAAGCACTTTAAAGGTTTAAAATGTGGAATATATTAGTGAGACTAATTTAAAAATATATTTTAACTAACCACGGTGGTCATGGGGAGAGGAGAGGACTATCCCTTCTCTAACCGTGATGACGGCTGCTGCAAAGCATTCGAAACGCCGGACCGTAGTAAAAATCATTTTTTAATAAACCAAAACTACTCGTGTTTTAAACCTTACGGACAGTATTTAATTGACACATCAATTTTGTTAGTCTTGAATAGGTGGTTCGGTAGTTCATTGAATGACGTCAGCAATTCGAAGGTTTAAGACGATCATGAATTCGTTATATCATACAATAATGACGTCATACGCTCTTATGCGAACTTCCGACGTAGGTACAAGAATAATCGCATATCTTTTACATTATTGTGTGGATGGACATTATTAATAATATATTATTTATTATTGTGTTCGCGGTCAAGAATATACAAACAGGTCTCCGACCACATCCTTAAATGTGCAGTGATAAGTGATAACCCAAATTGTGTGTTGTCAGTTTGCTATAAAGTAAAATAATTAATTACAGTAACGAGTGTATACTTGTATCATTTGGAATATGTTCACTCATTTAATTATATTTCTAAACACTTTAACGTGTCATTTAAAACGCAATACATTAGTTAAACTTATTTAGAAAATGACTTTTAACTTCGGCCCGACGTTTCGGATGCTTTGCAGCACCCGAGACGGCTGCTGCAGTTAATTAAATCATTATTCACCAAAATAAGTTCAACTAATATGTCGCGTTTTAAACCGTTAATCTCCGGGGAACCCGGTTTTTTTTTTTTTTTTTTTTTTTTTTTTTTTTTTTTTTTTTTTTTTCCCCCCCCCCCCCCCTTTTTTGGGGGGAAAAAAACGCGGGGGGGGGTGGGAAAGGGGGGGAAAATTTTTTTTTTTTCCGGGGTCCCGGTGCCCCCCCCGCCCCCCCCCCCCCCCCCCTTTTACCCTTTTTTTTTGGGTGGGGGGGGGAGTGTTTTATTTAAATGTCCGCGTACTACTCTTCTCGTAAGACTATAGACAACGTATTTAATCTATAAATAGGGAGGTTTTAAAAACAAAATTATGATGTAACGATGCCTATTCTATGCCGACAAAATTATTTTTTGAAAATATTACCATTCTCGTGTGGGTCCGATTTCTTGTCAATGGGTTCTAAAAGACCGTCGTCGATTCCAGGATAAGGGGTAGAGTCATCGTGGGGGATTTCATCTAAGTCATCAATCTCTGGACCTGAAAAAATAAATGTAGAGTCACGCTCACTCTCAATAAACGATCGTTTTGATTATATGCAAATGTTTGTCGTGTTTTTCACTCTAAGTAAACAACAAGTGTACTATAATGTGGCGTACAATTACTTGAAAGGACGGATAGACGTATAATACATATGTATGAGTTGTGATGAGCCATGCCATTACTGACGGATATTATACACTTATATAAAATCGAATAATAGTTTTACAAACGTTCTGTAGCTTATTAACGTGCAAATGTCTACAGCCATAGGCCATCAAGTGAACTGAATGCTTGTCTCTTCTGTGATAAAAAATAAAGCGGCGCGAGTATTTTTCAAGTATTTTGCACGTATTTAATGTGCGAGGTGTATTAAGGGGTTGAAGAAATTCAATAAAATGTGTAGGGCACGGTAGCTCAATTTATTAAAGCAACAGCACGAAATGCTGTGAATGCCGGTTCAAGTCCTACCCGCGTCGTATTTTCTTTGTGTAAAATTCTATTACTTTTGTAATCCAATGTGACCAGATTACTTATTAATTGAGGTTGACTTGTTATTGTACCGTTAAATAGTTTCCCAAACAGGAAAATTTATCAATGGTATAATTGTAAAGCTGGAATCGAAACTTTGTTTCCATAAAAAAGTAAATTTCATCTTATATTATGGAGTTATGACGCATATCGCATAAAACTTGTGACGACATCAAAAAAGTTATGACGTCAATTAAAAGTTCAAAATCTTATTCTGTTTATTTTTCCTCTTAAATTTACCTGGTGATACATATTGTCATAGTCTTTTTAATGCATGGGCGTTATTTGAGCAATATTATATATTTACTTTCTTCACACCATTATAGCAATAGTATTAATGAAATTCCCTAAGTTCGTCAGTATGGCCGATATAAATATAGTATGACGCAATGACTATACAAAAACGGGACTTCACTTGAATGAATTCAGCGGTATCTACAATTAGTACTTCCACAATAAATCATTTGAAACAATTTGAATCAACATATGAAAATCGCGTCATCATTATACTAATTCTCAATATTCTAAACTATTTTTTTTTCATCATCACAAAAGAAGAGGAGGACAGACAAGCGTTGGGTAGGTAAAATATCCCAGCCATATAACATCTAAACAAGATTTTTTTTTGGGTTTGGATATATCGAAATCCACCGAAACCGAAATGCGATTAAACTTGACGGCTTCTTCATCGGTGGTTTTCGGACAGAATTTCCATATTCCTACCACTCATTTAATACACAAATTTCCAGACGAAATCCAACATGTTCCAGGACAATTGTAAATTGATTAGAAATATTTTGGATCCGGCTGGGAGCCAGCTCACGACACTTTGCTTATTTATTAGCCATACAGTGCTACCATTACATAAACGGCCGTCAAAATTTAGTAAGTAAAAAATCATATGATTTTAAAAAAGTTCTCATTCCCTTATGAAAACCTCCTTGTTTTATTTTTTTTTATTTGACAGTTGACAAATACGTATTTATTTGAAAACTCTTCTATTCGCATTTGTGCTTTATCTAACCAGAGATTTTCGCCAATGGCATTTCGATTGACGAAAGTTCTGCTCGCTGAAAACACTGCTATGAGAAAGTGGTGTTATAATTTAGCTGGTTTTAATCGGTACGGGCTGATGAGAGATGATTGCCTCTTAGAAACGGATGACGTCATAGAAGCTCTTCGACGCCTCCCGCCTGACGTACTGGACGAGAGGAACTTTAGGATGTTGAGGGCTATACAGTATTCTGGCATGAAGAAGATGCTACCCAAAGAAATGTGGATAAAGTTTGAGGAAGACCATCTGTACTTGAGCCCCATCGTTCAACAAGTGATACAGGAGAGACTAGAGCGAGAAAAGTGGGAAGAAGAATATTGAGAAAGTTTTTAGTTTTTGCCGCAATATATAACTTAATTTTCGCTAGATTGTATTACTTCAGAGTTCATTAGAACTAGTATATTTACAATTGTTACAGATCACTAGCTGTGCCCGCGACTTCGTTCGCGTGGAAACTTGGGGTAGAATTTTTAATTAATTTATGTAAGGGCGCATTTAAGGCAGCCAATCTATGGTAAGTGCCACTTTGCCGCAACACTCTCACCTCACATAACTACTACTCTAACTCCCACTTCCACTTCCACTCCCCCCTTCTCCTCCCACTCCCACTCCCACTCCTATTCCCAAAAAGCCAAAGAAGAAACTTTCATTGTTATCTATCTTTAAAAAACCACGAATTTCCATACAACTTTTCACCCCCTCCCTTTTAACCCCTAACAACCCCCTTTTCGCAATAAAAAGTAGCCATGTCCTTTCTCAGGGTCTAGACCAAACGTATACCATATTTAATTCAAATCCATTCAGTAGTTTTGGCGTAAAAGAGTAACAAGACAGACAGAGCTACTTTCGCATTTATAATATTAAGTATGGAAGTATGGATAACCATTATTTTGTCATCGCAATAACCTCTCCTCTTATAGTCTACAAATCATTTTTATTAAACTACTAATAAACTTTGCCGCTTCGCGCAAGAATTCCACCCTCCTATTTACGCCAATTGAGTATTGCAAATTTACTTAATCATTATTAATTTATGTATTTAAAATCATTAACCAATATTTCTTATGGTAAGAATAACGAACGATAAAAAAACGAGTTATTTTAATTACCTGCAAGAGGTGGTGACTGTGGGTTTTTGTCCGGTTCGAGTAGAGGTTGTGTTTGGTGGGACGCGTCCCCGTTACTCCCATTCCCCGGTTTTTTGTCATGCTGTAAAAGAGCAATATCGTCAGTAATCTTCATAAATATACAAGATAGCAATTGTTCCACAGACAATAAACATTGTATTTAATTACTTGTAGTTTCAATGCACTCTGCAATCAATATTCACGAGACTCATAAAGACAAGATAAACTTATTTAATGATTGTTGTTCCCCGAAGACATTTTGCTGTTGTTATAGTTAATATTTTACTAAAAATTGCATCAATAATATGTAGCAAATGTACACAACAGTAATAGATTGGAGTACATCAGGTCTTAGGAATTTTATTCAATTCGAAAATATATATTACCATTTATTTAGTTGCACGTAATTAGATATACGAATGTTGTTAAGCCCAAAAATTTGAACGTGCTAACCTGAGGAACTACTAGTGTTCGAATAGAAAAAAAATATGTTTGCGTTGGTTGCACCATTTATCGAGGAAGGTTATAAAACATCAGGCTAAATACTGTCTGTAGTTTACACTATTTTAACGGTTTAAAACGGGATATATATTAGTTAAACTTACGTTATATATCGCGTTTAAACCGTTAGTGTTTTATTTAAAACATCCGGAACACGTTTCTTGCGCTGCAAAAATGGTTTAAGAAAGCCAAAACGATTATTATTTTTTAATGTGATATTGTGTGAGTGAAACAGGCAATGAATTGAAAGACGTGGTTCCACACACACTCAGCTTTGAAAGAAGTCACAAGGTTATCTATATAACCACCTAGTAACAAGTTACTTGTAAGTCGTGTTATTGAACCCTTTCTTGTAGAAAAACCACAGTTATTGAGATAGGTCAGTTATGCCGACAAATACTGTCCTTGATCTAAATTAATTGACTCATGGCAATTACAGGATTTTCCCTCGCAAACCTAATGAATCATTACTCTGGTCTTATTTTTTATAACTTTATCGTACCCAGTACTTAACCGCAATTTCTCACAATTATTAAAATATTCAATATAATAGCCTGGAAAACCCAGAGTTTCAAAATACTATGCTTATATAGTTACTTGCTGAAGACATTTTTTGGACTGCACAAAAATTAAATAGGTATCTATAAAAATGGGTAAAAGTTATCGATTTTTAGCTTTAGTAGTAGTTAAATGCAATTACTATGATATAATGTTTATTAATTAAACTCCTAAGAATTAACGATTTTTTGCGATAATAGACCATATCATAAGATAAATTTATAACAGCTACTTGAACTACCAAGTACCAACCCATAAAGGACTTATCTAAAAAAACCCAAGGTCATAGTAGGTGGCGCTAGGATCGATAGAAATGAAATCTGCGTATGGGCAATCTAATCCCCAGTTAGATGGAATAATGCTGATAAATTTTAAGGTAACATGTCGTCCGCGTGGAGTAGATATTTTTACAAACAACCTCATCAGCTTTTAAATTATGCCTGTCCCTTCGTTCTTGCAAGTTAATGTTAGCAGATAGACATACCTATACTGTTGCCGTAATTTTTTTTAAGGATCATTCTTCATCATTTAGATCGGCGTCACGAAACGGAAGCCATCAAAGATTAACAATGTTCCCCGTTTTTACCACATTTTCCCTCTGTTTATTGGTTCATTTTGGTTGCAGCGTCATCTTATATAACCTAAAGCCTTCCTCGATGAATGGTCTATCTAACACAAAAATATTTTTTTCAATGAGAACCAGTAGTTCCTGAGATGAGCGCATTCAAAGAAACAAACTCATCAATGTTATAATATTAGTGTAGACACTTCTTCATATTTTTGGTGGCTTGGCTTCTAGGAGTCCTCGAAATACGGTAAAACTTTTTCGATTAACAGAACTAGCAATTAAAATTTTTCAGTTCTGAGAAGAGAATGTGTCCTAGTTAATATCTGGACGAAAGTTAATATTGACAGTTGACGAGTCATCGATTCAAATAAGTATGCATTATGGTATTACAAATCACGATGTAATTGTTTCCGCCATATAACTTCAATGAAAACCACTTTATTACCTTTAATGGCATAGTTCTTTGTTGCAACTATTATATCTTTTCTCTTGCCGATTCGAGTTTTATGGAGCGGACACACGACTAATTGAAATTGACTATATCATGAATTTTGGCGAGAGGAACCTAATGACTAATTTGTGTCCTTGAAATCATTAGTGAATTTATAAAAAGATCATTTTAGACAATAAGTAATGTATTTAAATAAAACACTTTACGGTTTATATTAAAAGTATTAAATGTAACGTAGTTCAAATTATTTTAACTACGGCCCGACGTTTCGTAACCCGAGACAACGGCTGCTGCAAAGCCGGCTGATACGTCAAAATGCAGTGTAATTACGTGATTGTTTATACTCAGGATGTAATAAAAATAACTTGCGAGTATACAAATTGAAAGAGCATTTGAAATTTTAAAAAAACGACCACAGATAAGTACAGAACTCAACTCCCGCGCAATAATTCGTAACGTTATTGATAGTGGGTTTTAAAACCTGCTTTTGCCAACAAAAAAAACCTTCAAAACACATATTCAACTAAAGTATAAACTCTCATGTTAAAATTAAAAAAACTTACGATTATTTCTATAAGACTAAAATCCGATCTGCCACGTCGGTCCATTGCGAAGATGAATCACAAAGGACCGTGCCTTGCAGCTGCCCTACGATGACTGAGGAACTAGCTCAATACGACATCATGACAGTAACATGAAGGCCAAGGTAAACAATTAGCTATTGGTGTTAAGACAATCGACTTGCCTAAATTTAATCTGGCACGCGGTGATAAGAAACAAAAACATTTCCGCTAATGTTTTTGCATTTTTTGGGCTGTATTGATCGATGCTAATATCATAAATTTGTTTAGATGGATGGCTATCTTATCATATTGATGGTTGTATTTTGTCTGTTGAACTATCTTCGATTTGATCTTATACTAGTTAGGTTAGCTTGAAAATTAATTATATTCACATGTTATTGTAACCTAGTTTGTAGAGTGCGTCCGGGTCATCGGTTTTATTAATCTGAATTCTTTAATACTAATGTAGCCTTTAAATAAAACACTTTAATGGTTTAAAACGCGTTAAACGTCGGGCCGTAGTTAAAAATAATTTTCAAACAAGTTTAACTAAAATCTATCACGTTTTAAACCGTTAAAGTGTTTTATTTTAATGTGTACTATTTGCGTAAACTACAGACAGTACCAATTTAAACAATTTTTATTTAATTCTCAAACCCATATCAATAGATGTAAATCTAAAATTAATAATTGTAACTTGGCCAAGCACTACTAAATGCAAAGCACAGGTGAAATCCAGTACAGCATTATAATCTACGAGTTGTTTAAAGAACAATCCCGTTTCCTCTAATTGGGGTATGGGGCAAACATTTGCCTCTGTCATCAGTATAGGAGAGGATCATGGAGGCAGCCCGGTTTCTAAAAGTGAAATGCAGATTCAATCTGACAGGCATGCGGCGATCACATTTCTGTGTCCGTTTCATTAATCGGTTTTATTTACAGGCAAGCAGTTGACCAGACTCTGTGCTTGCCCGACTGAAACAATCTCTTTGTTTTCCTGTGATTTGAACTTAGCACCTCTCGCGTCCAACGTAATGCTAGGCACTTACCCATGTTACTATACATATTATCATCTATTAAATGTGTATGATCATTCGATTTCGACCGATTCGTTCAATTTGCCATTTTGGCAAAGTGAATGTTCACTTTGCCAAAATGGCAAGTTACCGTTTAAAATAGCTAGATTAGATAGACAAAGAAAACGTTTTTTTATGTGAGATAATACAGATTTCTAGGTATAACGGTAACATGCGAATTTGGCACTGTTCAACATGCAGCATATTTTCCTCCTATTCCTAATATACTACTTGTCAGTAATTATATTGAGGTTATTTTTATCTTTGTGTTACAGTCTAGCTATGGATACCTTTTACGAATCTTCGTTGGCTGTCTGTCTTGTCCTGTCTGCGATTAATAAGGGGTTCTATAAATTGTGTATTTATGCCATCGCAAATGCAAAAACTAAAAAACAAATCTGATAAATATAAAATGGCGTAAATATTCAAACAAGTAGAAATCGTACCGTAGAAATCCTTACGGTTCCAAAATCAAAATAACATATTATTTTGCGTATGCAGGTACCTAGTTATTGAACGGAACACTTCGTGGGAGAGGTCGAACTAGTTTGTTGACTGTATTTCATGATTTCCAAAACTTGCTTTCAGTTAAATTGATAATCGACTGCAGCATAGAAACAGTGTATACATAGCCTTCTGAAACCACAAACAAATGGAGGTTCACAAAGTAAACAGATCGAAGGCCGTCCACCATGTCACAAGTTGACTCAGAGGGGTTAATGAACGAATTTCGTATGCTTCCGAGTAATTGCGAAACGTATTATCTAAGATTTAAGAACTTCGAGATCTGATTTACGTTTTCAGCAGTAACTGAAACGTTGTACCTAAAAGGCAATTTACGAACTTGTACATCGTTAATTTTAACTTCGCTAACAGAATTTATACATTGTGTACCTAAGGATTTAACGGCCATTGCTATTTTCCGGGCTGTTCGGCCGACGTGAGCGAGAAGAGGTTCTCAAGGAATTCTTGGAGCAATCGAGCCAACAACATCTCCTGATGGTGCAGTCCGCACGTAATGGACACCTTTCTCACTCACGTCGGCCGAACAGCCCGAAAATCAAATAATTTTAAGCTGGGGCCAAAGCTATTGTAAATCTTTGAATGTGTTTGTGTGCCTTCTATGAGAATTAGTGGCAGGCACTTTTCACGGCTTTTTCTTCAGTGAACGATGGTATGAGATCTGTAATTTTGGTACTCCTACCACCTTATTAATATCCTGCTGCCATTGGACTCTCTATTTGGAACTTTGATTGTGTTATTATATGGTATGTGAATAAAGCTACTATATCTATCTAAAGCACAAATCACATATATCATTTAACCCATTGCTTGATGCACATTTAGCTTTTGCAGTTTACGTAATTTCACACGTATTTATTGAGTAAACTTTTATTATGATCCTTAGTCATATATTTCAAATCGAATTTTGTTTAAAATGGTTTTGTGAGTGGGCGATGTACTCTTCGATGTATCTTATAAGAAACCAAACGTTTTTTACTGAACTAAACTATAGCTTATTATACTAGTAAATACATATATAAATATGTAGATTAAGTCTACCTACGTTCTAGTATACTGCATACATATGTACACGAAATATCGTGTGGCTTCGAACTCATGTAAGTGCTAAGCAGGTAGTATAACATTAGTACACATTTAAACAAAAAACTTTAACTATTTAAAACGCGATATATAAAGCTATTTGAAAATTATTTAAACTACGGCTCGACGTTTCGAATGCTTTGCACCAATCGTGGTCACGGGGAGACTGAAGATGGAAGTTGTCCCGGACGTCACAGTAAAAATAACTACGCTAGCGCCACCTGTTCCGACTAAGTAGGACGTAGTTAAAATATTTTTCAAATAAGTGTAACTGATATATATCGTGTTTTAACCGTTAAAGTGTTTTATTTAATTAAAATTCTTTAAGATCTTTAAGACTTATAACTTACATGGTGAGGACCAATGAAACGAAAAGTGGCATGCGTTCATAGAACAAGACGTTATTAATTAATTCCATTTTTCTTCGTGATTTCTCGCGAGTTATTCAACTTTCTTTCTTCTTATTTGCAATTGAAAACCTATTCGTGATCGTGATTCTTTTTTTTTCATTACTGCTTTATGATAAATCATCTATGATCACGCTGTGTTCATATCTTTTCTAGATTTGGATAGTTTGTATCCATATGTTCGTAGGTATGACTATATTTTAAAACGCGATCTGTATTTGTAACAATTAAGACTCGAAGTTTCTTCTGATTTATAGCATATGTATTAAGAATCGTATTTCGAATTTGTGCTGCCCAACCGTCAGTTCCCGGGTAGTAATATAAATGCCGTTTTAAACCGTTAAAACGTATAAGTTGTCTCTAACGCAGAAGTTAACATACTAGTTATAATATCGCCGGTATGAAAACGATCAATTCTATGACAACAAAAGAAATAAATTGTACCTAATAGTTGAATATATAAATTGGAGAAAATAGAAACTGATGCCAAAAAATGTTAATTGCAGAAAAAAATCATTTACTGTGTATTTTTTTTAACGTTTGCATTGCCAAATTTTACATTATAGATATTTATATTGTCCCTTAGAACAAAATAAATTGAAAGCGGATAGTTACAATTTTATTTTTTTAGTAAACTTTACGAATAGAGTTTATGGAAAAAATCTTTGCTACTTATGTTACGTATTAATAAAGTCTATTGTATAATTGTATTCGAAAATCTTTTCGCTTAATATTATTATAGTCAATAAACGTAGTCGTAATATAATTTCATTTGTATTCAAAGTATGATTATGAATCCATTTGCAATACATCTGCAAAAGCAAGCATGCAAAAATGAAGTTTTGGCAAAACTTGATAAAAAAAACACTTTTGTCTCTCAAAAAATATTATACTAAGTAAAATACTTTTATAGTTGTTTTAATGTGTAGATACATAGGCCCACAACACACTCCCAACCAAGCATCCAGTCCTTACATTATATAAAGAAATATTATTTTATCTTTCACACCTTTACGGTTCAATAAACTTACCGTATTTTTATTCTTTTCATTCTCCAGGAAAACTTCAGGGCGCACAGCCTTCGGGGACGAAGGCCTCCCAAAAACCATTTCGACCTCGTTCAGGTCAACTTTGGTAGATTTAGGCGTGTCCTTTTGCGTCTCCTTGTTATTCATATTTTGGCTTTTATCAGACATTTACACTAGTTTAAAACCACTAACGCACTAGTTTTAATTGACTAACAACAGTTAATTCATAAAATAAATACTCTTGATATGTAACGCGTGTACATCCGACCGCGTTTTGATTACAACTAACCCACGATTTTGCTAAAGTCATCGCACCATTTAATGAGTGATCTCTAAAAATACCGGTAAGATGTAAATATACTTTGTACACTAAACGTAGATGGTTCTTCCCGACACATTATTGTGAAAATTGTGAAACTTTCAGGAAATATTTCTTGGCAGTGTGCATGTCTGTGGACTCTCAGAAGTTTACCATATTACATATGACGTATATATGTCTGTTTACAATTATTTAGGCACTTTTTTTTAAATCATTAAGGTGACCGTTTTTACCGTTTTTAACTTATCGTTAAGAAATGTCAAAGCTCAAATATTATCAACATTCTCATTTTAAATTTAATGTAACTTTAAAAACATGATAAAGACGACTGTTTAAAAAACATAAAATAGTTAAAAACATTTATTTTGTTATTTAGTTTATTCATATTATTATATTCGACATATTGTAACATTTTCGAATGGAATGCAATATTTAATTGTTTCAATACTGCGTTACTCAAAACGAGTTTTGGCTGTCGCTAAGGGGAAAACCAATACATAAGACGGGTGGATTCTATGACGTGAAACATTTCCAAATACTACGTGTTAGTTAATAACCGTAAACCATGTATTTCTTAGTCATCATCTTCTCACACACTGTCTATCCAGATTATTAGAAATCGTAGCTTCTGTAGAATTTAATTTATATTACTTAGTAAGTACATGATATTATAACCAGCCGTACCCGCGACCGTACGCGTGGAATAGTTATTTTGGACATCATATTTACTTTAAATACTATCTATAGTTTACGCGAGTAGTACACATTTAAATAAAACACTTTAACGGTTTAAAACGCGATATATTAGTTATATAAAATATATCGCGTTTTAAACCGTCATATTTACTTTTTCAAACCACCTTTATACATTAAAGTAGGTAATTAGACCCACGACGTCGTCCGCGTTCCGTCGTTAAAACAAGTTATTCTTAAAAGAGAGACAACATCATTTTTTCAGATCTTTTAAAGAGACATAATTCTTATCACGTGTATATTACCTTCCTCGATAAATAGTACCTAAATCTCTTCAGCTTTATAATATTAGTATAGATTTGTACTTCACTAAATGTGAATTGTTCCTTCGGTGGATGACACTACAGTGTTCCTGTTTTATTAATTAGTTCATTAAAGCAATAAAACAAATGAATGATAATAATGTTTTTCAGATGGAAGAAGAAGATGTTAACTTCTTTTATATAACCGATCGACACCACACATTTTAAAATCAACATTTATGAATATGGCAGCTATTATCTAACGTAAACCAGATCAACAGCTTACAGCAATTAAAATAAAGATTTAAAACAAGGAAAACCGAGATGGCGTGACTGAAAACGCTATTAAGTCGCCAATTTCTTAGTACCTACTCGAACATAATATTGTCCTAATGTTAACTATTTAGTATTTTAGCTCAAGTTATTATATTCGAACACTTGCTTGTTGCCTGTACCTGTGATATGACTAAGAACTTACATAATCCGAAAATATACACAAATTAAAAAAGTAATAAAATTGTCTTTAAGTCGATGCATAATTTTTTTATTTGTGTTTAATGAATTATATCGATTTAAAAAGACAACTTTTACTCTACACACATATATTTTTTATGATAGAGAAGGAATTTGATATGTGAAATATATATAATACACCATATGTAACATTAAAAAAAATACACTGTTAACCTATTTATTTTTTTTGGATTTGGATATTCGGAAATATATTCAAGATCATAGAATATTATCCTTCTCAAGTTAGAGCAAAACGCGTTGATGCGTTATTGCTCTGAAATTTTAATAAGTAAAATTAATTAAAACAATAAATATTTGACTTGCATTAAACGGCAACAATTGTATTAAATACAAGAACTATAAGCTGACATTTCATTATAATTTGTATTAAAGGATTTGTAATTGTAAATGTTATAGTGGAGATAAAAAATCTTCAGAATTATCTGTCAAAAAAATCGTCACGTAAGTACCAACAGATAATAAATTTCTGTTTATTTAAAATTATTAGTCATATCGGTATGACCAGTGCATACATCGCAAACCAATATTTTTCCAAGTAAAACCTTATCTGCCTCTGATAAAATCCTGTCACCGCCATTACTTTTTATTCAGTTAGAATTCGTACTTCATCCGGAGTGCATTGTTTTTCTATTAAAAAAGTGAATTAAAAAACACAAAATGGGGTGCGGTGAGTTTCTCGTCAAGTACATCCTTTTCTTTGCCAACTTGTTCTTTGCGGTGAGTTTTTGTTGTTTATAGCTTATTATTTAGTTATTTAGGTTAGAATAACGTTTGTAGATCTTATCAGATTACGATAATAACAGTTAAACCACATCGTACCACATAGATTTTATTGAATGCATAGATTAGCGTGCTTAGAACTCCTCATATATTCGATGTCACTTTTTTTAGATCTATACATATTTGGTAATAGGTTCTTGATTGTATGTTAGTATTCTGAGACACGCAATAAAAGTATATGGTAGAATACCTAAAATTCTTAAATTTCGGACTGCCAAGATATTTTATGTCTCACATCTAAAGAACATTTTCTAAAATATTAAAATAAAAATAATCAATTTAACATATTTGTAATTGCTTCTACATGTATACAATTACTTTCAAACAGGCGGTTTTAAAAGTAATTGTTTTAGTTTGAGGGTAGTTTGTAATTTTTTTTCTCGATATTAATCAAGTCGCTATTCATTGGACGCTAGTCCAATCAATCAAATCGCAAATTCCCATTTAACGATTCCTTGTTATATACTTTTTTATTGTTATTACAGAAATATATTATTTATATAAAATATCCTCATTACTTACAATAATTAGTAACGTGATTAAACTTAAACACTGTCTGTAGTCTACGCGAGTAGTACATAATTAAATAAAACTTTAACGGTATAAAACGCAATTTGTATATTTGTTAAACTTTATTTGCATTTCCCAGCCCGCACTGGTTACTTAAATACCCCCTTTAGTTTACGCAATTCGTACAAATTTAAATAAAACAGTTTAAAACGGTTGGATTAAACTTGTCACCAGAATCAGTCTAGTGAACTATGAACATAGCCAAAATATATTATATAACGGACAGTTTTGGACAATTATTTAATTATAATTATAAAAGTCTGTAATACAGGAACGCCTATAGTGCCATGAGAGTCTTCGGAATTGATAACAGATAAGATATTGCTGATAATGCTTTTAGGGCGTAGATTATATGCATATTTACAAAATGACCGAACTAAATACTTCTTAGTGGAAATCGAATTATTTTTTCAAAATTCTTACTACGATGTTATTTTCCTTCCTAGTGGTTCAATGGTTAAATTAGATTTCATTGTGTTAAGGAAGTTTTGACTGAAGTATAATAAATACAATTAAAATAGCGCAAAGAATTAGATTACCTACTACTTGTTATTGAAAGCGATTCACACAACAGGCACAGAAATGTGTCTGCTTCATGCCATAAAACAAGATTTAACACAAACACACAATGTTATTATATTTTCATATATGTATATAGACTCTAGTGAAATTTAATAATAGATATATTTTTAAATCTATTGAATTCTAGCAGAGGCCTCGACTTCGTCCGTCTAGTTAATCTTAAAAGATAGACACTCTTATTACAATACAAGGACTAACTCTCGAACCTAGTTTAAACCCTGGTTTATTTGAAATCCCTATTACAAAACGAAGTTTAACGTTTGCACTGGGCTAACTATGGTACTAACTTAGATTTATTTAGACCATGGTTTAAGAGTTAAACCGCATTTAAGGATTTTTTGTAATAAGGCTGATAGTGTTGCGGACATTTTTTAGATCGTTTAAAGAGAAATCATTCTTTCATCATATTGTTTAAATACCCTAAACCGTTTTGGAACTTAATTCGAACCAGTAGTTTCGGAGATGCATTCAAACAAATACACAAACTTTTACACCTCCATATATTGGTATAGATTACATTTATTTAAGTAATCATTTTATATCTGTAGTGGAAAAATTGTTCGATTTTTCTTTTGTTAAATTGTGTTAAGCTTTTTTATTGATTTCAGTTGGCCGGCCTAGCCCTTATTGGTCTAGGTGTAGCTGTAGAACTACAAGTATCAGAGATAGTTAAAATAGTAGAAGCCAGTAGCTTCCAGGTCGCCCCCATTACTGCGATCGTACTCGGCACTGTCATATTTCTCATCGCTTTCTTCGGATGCTGTGGTGCTATCAAAGAGAACAACTGCATGCTAATTACCGTAAGTGAAGCTTAGAAGTACTTGTCTTAACTATGCACCTGATATTATTTTAAATGTTAATCAGCTTTTTTAAACTCGAAAAGTTTGACGAAATAAAGTACTATTAATCTCAACGTAGCTGTTCCTTTTCAGAGGCAACTACGATTATATTACAGTATTTCATTTAAATCTGTATTCACTTCTTGATATTGTTTATCAGATTACGTTTCAATTGTAAATTTTATTTCAGAATAAACGTATTCTATTCTATTCTATTGAAAATTTATAGATGAACCATGATTGTATTGGTTTATGAAAAATGGTACTGGCATATTTAGTTCCACATGTGGTTAGGTTATATAAGGAAAAAAACTTTGAGCTTATGTTCCACTCTGTCGCTTAAAGTATAAAATTGTAATGAACCAGGTGCAAACGATTTGTACTAATTAATAAACCTTAGACAACATAGTTAATTAGTAATTAAATTCCAATATTATGCCCAGTCGCTTTTAAGACGTTCCGATTTAATATTACAACGTTAACGTGTTTTATCATAACATTTTGAATTTTACAGTACTCCATCTTCATGCTCATTTTGATGCTGGCTAAAGTAACACTGGCTGTTCTTATCTTCGTCAACTTAGATGGTTACGTTAAAGAGATTCCTCGGTGGTTGAACGACGCTTTCAACCGCAATCAAGTCGCTTTCCAGGATATAGAAAGAACGGTACATATTTCTATTACTATATGGTATTGTAGGTATCACACAAGTTTTAATAGGCCGTATAACATCTAATGATGCTAAATTGCTAATGATCATCAAGATGCACTGTAGGCCTATTTTTAACCATGGATATACGGAAATTTACAGACAGAAACCGAAACATGATTAACCTTTACATCATATAACACATCAATTTTACATCTGTGGACCGTGTTTCGTAGTCAGTTTTTATATTCCGTCCAGATTTCTAGACGTAGTCCATTATTTTTTCGAAAAATTAAAAATCGATTTAAAACATAATCCTGGTTAATATAAGCCATACTACCACGGGCCCAACAAAGTTAAAATAAGACTTTGTTATTTTTAGTTCAAATGCTGTGGTCCCACCGGTCCTTTGTCTTATGGTAATGTGGTGTTGCCCGAGACTTGCTGCTCATCAACCCCCTGTACTCCGCTCAACGCGTACGGCGGCTGCTCGAAGGTCGTTGAAGAATTCTTCGAAACCTTTGGTGTGGCCATTGGTGGTTTGGCAATTGCTGTAGTAGCTATTGAGGTACAGTTTTACAAAAATAAGTAGCTTAAAGAAAGTAGCTGATCCGTATCTAAAGGTGGACCGCCTCTGTAGATAGCTATAGGGCGGCGGCTAGCATTGCGTTCAGCGCGAGGGGTCCCGGGTTCGAATCAAAACACAAAAATGTGTTCGCCCCATGACCCACCAGGGGGGAACAGGATTTCACTACTATCTAAAGGTGAAGGCTAACTTCAAATCATAAAAAAGCCTAAAACAAAAAGAAAATAGTGAGTTTGTTTTTTTTTTGAGGAGAGTGGACCTTCTCTTTCTACCGTCATAGCATATTACTATCTGTAATTCTTGTGATTAAACTATATTAAATAAAATAAGTGTATGTCATCGATTATAGACTTTGCTGTGACTTTAATGAAAGGCGTTAGCACCAGCATAATGTTATCTAGTAATTGAATATTATATCTAGTAATCGATATGAATTTATTTCTATGTCTAACTTCCCTGACAGCGCCTTGCGATTAACAAAACTTTATTATTTTATAGTAAACATTAGTTACATTATTCCGTAGCTATGTTTCATTCAACAAGATGAGCTATCGAACCATTTTGGCTTTCGGAAATCCACAGGCTGAAACCGAACTGAAATTAAATATTCATCTAGATGATTCGTGACCCGAACTGAATTTAAATTAGCACCAATTTAACATCCCAATTACCAGATCAAGTCCAATATGTTTCAGAAATATTATAAATTAATTTGAAACATGTTGGACAAGTGGATTATAATATCAATCCACTTGTCCAACATGTTGTACAACATGTTGTACAACCCAAATAGTCTGCCAAATTGTCATTTTGTTGTCTTTAAGGAATTTATTGTTAAAGCAATTGTTTTTACTTGTAATTAATTATCTGACTTGCATTTTTTTTTCAGTTGGTAGCAGTTGTGTTTGGTCTGTGCTTGGCTAACCACGTCCGCAACCAGAGTAGAAGAGCACGTTATTAGTTAACATAGCTTATAAGTATTAGATAAGTAATATTGTATATTTGAAAATCGGGTTGAACCTTAAAATTTAAACACTATTTAGGGAACAGTTTGAATTATTATGTTTTAAATAGTCTTAACCTAAGTTTGTGAATATTTTAAGACGTCCACAACATTTATAAAATAAATAAAAACCAATAATCAATTAAACTTGTTTGACAATCAAAATTACTACACCTATTTGTCTACAAAATAAAATTGAGGCAAGAATCTTTTTCATTTTCGTGATTCTAAGTAAAATCCCAAATATGTATCAAGTTATCAATCACATGCGTTTTAGATAATGTGCAACATCAGTGGCCACGGTAGGACCTTAATTTACTACTAAGGCACTATTAATTATCTTATATTAAAATTAAGAATGACTTTATGAAAAATAAAATTGGATTTTTTTTTTGTTACCCTGTATGTACCAAGTACAGACTGCGATCGCGTCTTGATGGGGATTGTAACAAAACATTATGTAACATACGTATATTATTAACATCTGAGAAAAGTGAGTTTCTGATATTTGGCTTCTCTATGTCAATGCAATAACCAGTTGTTAAACGATTGAAATAAATGTTGAATTGTAACTTGTTTACGCGTATAAGTATTATTTGCTAAAACAAAACTAAAGGCAAAAATATTAATACTTAGAATGATAGTAATATATAAATCTAAAGATAATAGATAAAAAAGACACATAAAATGAAAGGGTCAAATAAGACATCTGTTTTTTTGGTGCATTGGTATACAAGTTATAGGATAAAATATAAGTTACTATCCACCTAAACTAAAATATAAAATCTATAATACTTTCGTGTTTATATTAAATGATGGCTAAATGACTTATCAGCTACTTCAGATAATATGAAATTAATTTGAAGTGGAAATAGGTACAGAATTGTTACGTATTTTAGTAACATTTTTTTAGAGATATATTGTGAGTGAACTATATTAACAATACCTCGATGTTAAAAAACCATTGCCTGAATAAAATGTGAAATCCTAACGGTCATTTTACCGGTTTAAAACGCGATACATATTAGTGGAACTTATTTTAACTACAGCCTGACGTTTCGGATGCTTTGTAGCCACCTTGGTCACGGGATGACTTAATTTCAAATAAGTTTAACTAATATATATCGCATATTAAACCGTCAAAGTGTTTTATTTAAATGTGTACCACTCGCGTGAGCCAAGAAAGTTTTTTTTGTAAATACATTTACATGTTACATCCAAAATTCTATTTTTATACATCTCGAGTCATCTGGTCTGATAAAAATGATCACATACATACATAGTTTTCAGTAATGTAACATTCTATAAATACTATTGATGTTGACTGTCTATATATTATATGTTTAATTTATCAGTCAATTTTCCACTCTGTCTATTCTCTGTTATCTATTGATCACCTGTAAAGTGGGGATTCTTGTAATTTACATTTAAAGTGGTGCTTACCCTTACTGATATCTCGGTTTCAATGTTAACAGATATTAACCAGTGCTTTTATGTACAGTTAAGTTCACTCAATCCAAAATGTGTCTCTTTTTAGGAAAATGTGTTGTCAAATATATATTGGTCAGCGTTAACTTGATATTTTTTGTAAGTATTTTCAAATCACTAAAATGACGATGTACTATTTTTAAATTGAAACCTTTCCATACATCAATCAAGTAAAAATATTTTATTAAAAGTTTATGTACATTATACTAAACTAATAATTGCGAACTAGTTTTTTGTTTTCTAAAAGGCAATATGAAAACCGTTTTATTGAGTTCATATTATTATATATTAGTCAGGCGCAAAAAAGTTTAGTTACCTATACAAGATGCAATATCTATTTTGATGTTATGAATATTACCTTCTTTCTTCACCTTATTAGTGTAAGTAATTTCGTTCATCTTCTTTCTAAGTATCTTCAAGTGAGACAGAAAAAGTTTTAAATACTAAAGATCTTTATAATGTGAATTCATACTTATCATTCATGCTAACATCGAAAGATTTAAAATAAAACGTCAAAATTTAAACTGAATTTTAGTTTATAGGAACCGCCATAGCCATAGCTGGCGGTTTACTTCTTTATCAACTACGCAACAATCCACCCTTAGACATCAATAACTACAACCTGGCAGTCATTCTGGTCATCGTTCTAGGATGTGTTGTAGTCCTTATAAGTGCTTTGGGCTGGTGCGGATCATGCGCTGAGAAAAAAGTGCTTCTGTATATAGTAAGAATGTAATTTATTTATTACCCTTTGATTGCTTACGATCGTGAGGTTAACATTCGAACCCCAATTCGAAATATGGTATTTTGCCTGGGTGATGAATCCTTAAGGAAAGTTTATTTTAGCAGTAGGATCTGCAATTATTATGGTGGTTAAGTGAAGTTAACATGAGCACAATCTTCTTTAACTTCTAGATCTTCAAACGTAACGTATTACTTCAAACAATATTTAATTTAACCCATGTATCTTTTTAGTACTCTGGATTGATCTTAATCATAGCAGGTCTTCAGATATACGCTGTCGTGAAGATCAGAAGTGCGGACACGATAAATGAGGAAGCCATTCTAAAATCACTTGAGGAAACTTTTAATAATTCAAGCCAACTTCCAACGTTTCATGCTATGGAAATTGCTGTAAATATAAAAATGCTTTGTATATGTCTCTTATAGATAGTTGTTATTTATGCAAAATCCAAGGATTAGTTAAACGAATGAAGACTTATAGTTCAGTGGACTTGTCCATATGATTTAAAAACAATAAACCTGACAGTATATAGTATAAATACTGTCTATAGTTTACGCGAGTAGTACACATTTAAATAAAACACTTTAACTGTTTAAAACGCGATATATTACTTAGTTAAACTTATTTGAAAATGATTTTTAACTTCGGCACGACGTTTCGGATGCTTTGCAGCAGCCGTGGTCACGGGGAGACAAGATGGACCTGATGGGGATCGAAGCCGCTACATATAGTCTATCGAAATAAACGCACGAATAAAGCCACGGAAATCTTTTCAGCTTCAATGCTGCGGTCCCGACGGCCCCGACTCCTACGCAGGGCTCTACGATTTTTTGCCCCGTTCATGTTGTGCCAATGTCACTGACATTTCTGCCATTGACAAACCCGGTATAGCTGATCAAGTAGACTTGATGGCTTTAACTTGCAGCGTTGATGACGCGCATCCCGGTTGTAAGGAAGTTTTGGTGAATTTCCTTAAAATGGTGACTCATTATCTTGGCTTAGCATTCATCATCGCGATATCGGTTGAGGTAATATTTAATTAAAGTAATTATTGTATACAACCTTAGGCACATAATGCAGAATAAGATAAGGAAAGAAGGGAATTAGCGTCTCGCAATACATTTTTTGGTGCTGATGACGTACATACATAGAATCGAAGTAATAATCATCAAGAAAACCTTCCTACAAATCTCCAAACCTTTTCACCCATCTAAAAATAAAGAAATATAATTTCTGAAGATCTTATAATCTTTAGTCTGTATTTGTTTTTTTTTTTCAGCTTCTGGCGCCAGTCATGGCTCTCTCACTATCATGCTGCATAGGTCCAAGGAGTGTTTAATTTTGTGCAAATCAATACATACATAGCTACAATGGTTACAATAGGGAAAAACCGTTATAGTAGTAGGGCCTTATGTACGTACGTGGTATGATAAGATTAAACTGTAATTAAATGTTATTGAAATAAATGCATGATGTCATCTATACGTTGATTCATCGTTTTTCAAGCCTCAAAATGCACTTAAACCATTGTAAAACACTTTTAACGGTTTAAAACATACATTATATTTCTTAATTTATTTACTACGTCGCTATGGGCTTGGTCGCGAAGGAATTGTATATACTACTAGTAACATATAAATATATTAATAATAATGACTAATCAAATCTTTGCCGGTAACTGAATACTGTCTATAGTTGACGCGAGTAGTACACATTTAAATAAAACACTTTAGCGGTTTAAAAGGCGATATATTAGTTAAAAATTATTTTCAAATAAATTTAATTAGTGTATCGCGTTTTAAACCGTTAAAGTGTTTTATTTAAACGGTAACTGAAGTTCTTGAAAGGATTATTGAATATATCATTATTTTTATCGATATATACTTTTGTTTTTCAAGTTACATTCAATGTATTATTCGTAGTATTCGAGTCTAAATATGTTTTAATATCTAATCAAATCTTTCAGTTTGTATAGTATCTTTTATTTTCCGCTTTTTTATAGTCAATACAACGAAACCTTTATTATCAGCAACTATCAATTCCTGATATACAAGATAAGCTGCGAGGTAAAGTTATTTAGTTTTTGCCCACAACTCTCAGTTTAATCAGTTACCACACGAACGACCACAATGTGTTTCATAGTGAAATATATTCTGTTGATTGCTAATTTTATATTTACAGTAAGTGAATTTGCATTATTCAATAAATTTACTATTAATACTTTAAAGCTGTATATCTGTATTATTTACTTAATAAAAAATTGTAAACGCTAGGTGTTTTGTATTTCGTCACTTTCATAATTCTATATTATATTGGTATGAAAAAGTCTTGGTTTGGATCTTTTGTTTTATGTTCTGTAACATATCACATTTCCTTTATCATGTTTCCTCATATTTCAGCTAGCAGGTCTAACCTTGATAGGGCTAGGCATAGCTGCTCTAGTGAACACGGATGAACTGTCGCAAGTAGCGACGATACCTTTGAGGGCTATACCCATTTCAATTATTGTATTGGGTGCTGTCATCTTCTTGATATCTTTCTTCGGATGCTGTGGGTCTATGAAGGAGAACAGATGTCTCCTTCTTATGGTTAGTAAAGTTTGTATTATCAAAACAGTGGAATGTGGAAGGATGCTGCAAATTAAAAAATTGTTGACGTAACGCGTCGAGATCAATATTGTCGTATTTTATTTTATGAATATTTTGCTTTGTACTTTTTTATAAGAGATTTGTGACGTAGTTTATACAAATCAAAGCTATGGCAAACGGGCCTTTGGCATGACTAGACCAGTGACGTAGAGGCGACGAGTGTTAGACAATTACAAGCGCACTTCCGCTCAATAAAGCTTAGTACGTATGGATGAATCATAGTTGTAAATGATTGTGTCATATATTGCCTACGGAATATTAGAGTTTCGTTTAAGTTTATAAAATCTTTAGACAGTCTGTTGCGCTCACAATAACTTATTTTAAACGCGAAAAACCGTCTCGCGTTAATAGCGAGAGCTGGGTCTAATGAGCTAATCTTCTTTACCAAACAACTATGTACGTCTAAATAAATTCAATAAGTAAACAAACGCCATCTAATATATGGTCTATATATGGAAAATGGGGACTTCGATTCAATCGTTCGGTGTCCACTGCAGGACGTAGACTTCCAGGACGACCGGCTGTTCGCCAAAATGGGGAAGTAGCCTTGAAGTATTTGAAAATTTCAGTACTCGCTGTTCATGTTGCTGCTGGCTGGTGGAAAGATATATTTGACAGTATTGCTCTTAAGAAATGTCAATAGTGTGAACGAGCTCGTAGAAGAATGGATAGGAAAAGCGTTTAACAACAGCGAACTAAGACCGACTTTCCATGCTATAGAAACTACAGTAAGTTTAATCCGAGATCTAATTCTTCATCATTCATTGAAAGTAATTTAAGTATGAAATGGCAGTTTTAATAAAACACTTTAATGGTTTAAAACGCGATATATTTTAGTTAAACTTATTTGAAAATTATTTTTAACTACGGCCCGACCTTTCGGTTGCTTTGCAGAAGCCGTTTAAGTGTTAGTTACTCGCTTAAACTACAGCCACGATTTAATGGTAGTTTAATTATCCATTTTCTCAACCATAACACCAGTACATTATTTTTATCTTCATAGTTTAAATCTTGGTAGTACTCTGATAAAACAATATAAATCGTAATCTCGAATACCTTTAACATAAATGTCATTATAGATTTTTTCTAACGAAACAATCATATCGTGCTGTTGACTTGATTTTACTTCTTATTGGATATTAAATCAATATTGTAAAGGGTAAACATTACAAAAGTATACTAGCTATTATTATTTTTATAACAGTTCCGTTGTTGTGGCACCACGGGTCCCGACTCTTACACTGGCATTCTAGCCGCACTGCCACCCTCCTGCTGCCCAGACCCTGACTTACAGCAAACTTGTGAGAGGAACAACGCTTTTGGTGGTTGTTTCACTATTATAACCGACTTTTTGGAGAAATATGGAGAGGTTTTCGGGGCTGTGCTGTTGACGGTGTTGATAATTGAGGTTTGTAGGGATTTAATTTCATTGGAATCCCTTTTCTTGCAGCTAGGCTAAATCATTGAGATCATATTACTGATGATTGATTGTTGACACTAATATATCTTATATTATTATTACCATAAGATCAGTTAATCGCAACTCTTCTTATTGCAATACTTATGGTTTAACTTACTGATAACACCTGACCATATATTTTTTCTCTTTTCCAGTTTGTAGCGGCCATCTTTGCAATATTACTATCATGTAATATTGGTGCTAAGAGACGTAACACTGTATAAAGTGACTCCCAAGATGATAGTGGACCTCTCATCCATTATTACTTAAAAACCAGATCTCATAGTTTACTTGAATACCAGTGTTTAAAATTTTAAAGGCTTGTACACGCTAGCGTTTGAAACGCTGCGATTGCTTGAAGATACATTTTATATGACTATTAAATGTTTTAATCCAAAAATATTTTTTCCTTAGATATTATCTTATCAGCTTTATTATTTAAAATCTTTCGATTCCAGTTACTGTGTCATAGTGATATCACTTTGATACAGCAGTTTTCTTGTTTAATAACTTGACCACTAAATAAAACAAACACAGATACGTACTTTTGTAATTAAAATACTACTAACAGAATACTTAATATGCACAAGAAGTTTCATTTGGGTACTTACAAACAGCGTCCGTTCACCCTCAACCACTTTACTGTATGTTAATCATGTTTAAACTTATAAATATCCCACTGCTGGGCATTAGTAGACTAGTATCCTTTCCCTTAGAAGATAAGGATATCCTTACATTTAAATAGAACACTTTAACGGTTTGAAACGCGATATATTTTAGTTAAACTTGTTTGAAAATTATTGTTAACTAGGGCTCAACGCTTAAAAATAATTTAATATCTAAAATGTATAGTGAAAGTGTTTTATTAAAATGTGTATTACTACTCGCGTAAACACATCGCGTACAGACAGTATTTAGCCTTACATACTATTCAATACATGGGAGTAATATTTACGTCTTAATCAAAGCAGTCTGTAAAACACATTCTAGAAATAAAATTAAAATAAAAATAATAAATATTATTAATACTGTAATTGTATCGCTAGTAAAGTAATACTATCGCTCGTGTGCAAAGCACCTTTTTTACCACAACCTGCATAAGTACATCTCGAACCGGTCAACCTGGTGCCGTTACCCGCAAGAAGCGAGAAGCGCCATTAGTGGGGTCACTAAACTCTTCCATGAAATATAATTTTGGACAAAAATTTAGCTATTACCAATATTTTAATTACTTGTTACTCCCTGTTTGATTGATCACAAAGGAGACAAGTTGTGGTTGATGTTGCTTGGCGGGATAGAAGGTGACAAAAATATATTTTTTCAAGTTGTATCATAAATTCAGTACATAAGTAAAACAACGAAAGATTATTGTTTTTAAAATGCGTAAACTAACATATTAGTCATAGGTTAGTGGGAGAAAGTTGAAAGTTCTTAGGATTTATTTTTACGTGGTGTTTTAATATTTATCTAAATAATTAGCATTGGGATTTCTTAGGAGTTTCACAGATTCGGTAATTTCGCTACTGTATTCGGTATTCAAATGTTAACGACTTGCTTATTCTCGTAGTTTAATTTAAAAATTGTATTATTAAGAAATAAATGTATGTATTTAGCTTAACACAAAGTATGTAGAACAATGTGTTCGTATGTTATTACGATATTTGCAAACGTCCGTTACAACGCGAGCGCGGTTTGTGCCTAGAATTTAATTATCTTTGAAGATTAAGATACCTTCATAATGAATAATAATACATTTTTTGCTTGGAAATGGAAGATAAAAACATCACTATCGTTGATTTAAAATGAAGGAAAAATCCTTATTTAGTTTCCTTATAATAATATAATACAGCATAGAATCAATACGCAATCGAAAAATAAATAATAAAAAAAATAAGAAAATAATAATCGCTAGCTGGTAACATTAATTTATTTAAGCAAAACCTAGGAGTAACTCTATATTTTGTATGATTCAATTGCTGTTATTTCGTCTAACTGAAATTTCAGTTGAAATTTCAATAGTAAATGATAAACGAATTATTTAAATGTCTTTAAATCACAATCTAGGAAAGGTTTCATCGGTAAGCAAAACGTTTGAAAACTGCGTAAAACATATTATGTAAATAGTAAAAATAGTAGTTTAACTTATTATACGAATTGTTTAACCAGCTGATACTGGCTAATTTCAGACGTTTATTCCTCTGGTATGGCCCTCTTAAAACAAGTACGTTTTTTATCGATAAAGCGCACGATTTTCGATAAGAGTCTTAACGTCATTGGGATAGACGATACAACGTTGACTGGATCATTTATTTATTTATATTCTAAAGAAGCTAAAGAAAGCAATCAATTTGTACATGTAAGAACATGTAGAGTTTATAAGTAGAATTTATAAATTAAAGATTATTACTATTTTTGGTGATGTAATGTGGAGTTGTGTGAAGAAAGCTTTAGGATTCATTTGAGGTCATTCAGTATTTCTAGTTCAATAGTACACAAGCACTTGTTTCTTGTGTTTTAAAGACGAAAAATACAATATCACGGATATTTCAATCTTTATATTTTTTGCAACTTACATATAAATTAGTGAAAGAGATTGAGGGCTATAGGCGTAACATGCCTAAAGCTCTCTTGAAGTGTTTCTTTACCAAAGAATCGTTTTTGGTTCGAATCCCAGCTGTGCTAAAGATTTCATCAATGCCAAATAAGTTTGGAATCACACGTATACCTATACAAACTTCGTAGATCCGACTACTGAAGCCAAGGTACAATTATAGACTTAAATATAAGTAGATATTTTATATCAAACTTATCTAAATTGTTAACGCTAACTGGTTTTAATAAATAAAAGAAGTGATTCCGTGCTCAATAACAAGTATCGACTCTAAACTGGCGCCAGCAGAAAAGACCAAAAAATTTAATTAAGCATAACGGTAGAGTCAAGCTCGGCAAGGTTCAAGAACCGGTGTAAATATTTCGCCAAAGTTTACCTCAAATATTTGTTTAAAAGCTATAAAAATATATTTTTACACTGCTTTCTTCCAACCTGCCCTGGGAGTTCCTAGAAAAATATATAATACCAGCTGACCTAGCAAACTTTGTTTTCTCATAATGAAATATATGTATGTATAATACACATATATATAAATGTCATAATGAAGTATTTCGACCAAATTGGATTACCATAAAGACAGTTCTTAGCACGATGTTTTTTTATACATACATATGTAGCCTTCCTCGAAAAATGGTCCAATTAACACATAAATAATTGTTCAATTAGGACCAGTAGTTCCTGAGATTAGCGCGTTCAAACAAACAAACTCTTTAGTTTTATAATATCAGTATAGATACTAAATCTTACACTTAACTATACGTATTAAATTAAACATTATCTAAGTACGATCAGACTTTTGATAGCAAATAGTTTTTAATTATTGTACTTTTTTTCAATGTCTGGGACTACATGCTAGATTCTCTACCATATGTACTTTCATACTTATATTAGTAATTATCTTATCATTTCGTAGTAACGAACAAAAAAGTTCAAAACTCCGCTACACAAAATGATTCCGGTCGGGGAAAACACAGATATTCAGTTAATTATTTACCTAAAATAAAAATAAATAGTGGAACGGACGCAGAATTCTGGTTGTATGGAATATCGTAGGGGCCTGAGTTGTTTATTTGTATTATAATAAATGTTGTGTATCATACTGACGCATTGTTACGTCGTATTATGACAGAAAAGGCAACTCAAAACTGCATAAACAAGATTACCCGCACCAACAGGTGCATAGTTTTTGTTTATGGACTGCACAATAAAGACTAAGTAGTTAAAAGTATGATGATGTCAATGTTTCTTAAAGCTATTTTATAACTTAAGTACACTTATCTATATTAATATTATAAATGCGAAAGTAACCCTGTCTGTCTGTCTGTCTGTCCAGCTTTAACTCCGAAACTACTGAACTGATTTAAATAAATTGATTTGGTACACAGATATTTTAGAGCCTGAGAAAGGACATAGGGTGCTTTTTAATGCCAGATAAGGGTTTAAAAGGGGGATGAAAGTTAGTATGGAAATTCGTGGTTTTTGAAGCTAGAAAAATGAAACTTTCTTCTTTAGCTTTTTGGGAATAGCAGTGGGAATAGGAATGGGAGTGGGAGTGGGGATGGCGGTGCTAGTGGGAGTGGGAGTTAGAGTAGGAGTGATGTGAGGTAAAAGTGTTACGGCAAAGTAGCACTTACAACATAGATTGACTGCCTTAAATGCGTCCTTACATAAATTAATAAACAGCCTAAATAAATAAAAATGCTACCCCAAGACACTATTCCACGCGATGGAAGTTGCGGGCACAGCTAGTACGAAATAATGTATTAATGTATCAACAATGATAGTAGGTAAAAATCGAAGAGAGTAGAAGGTAAAGTATGAATGATTAATAAAGATATCCGTCTATCTAAACCATTAGTTTAAAGAACTTATAAAACTAGAATTTGTATAACGGTAAAACTTAAAATTTACAGATTAACGAGAATTCCTGTCATTTTATTTAAATAAGGTAGAATAAATCTTTATAAACTACGGTAATTTGAATTTTAAGAAAATGCCCATTTTGTTGGTGATTACAATGTCGTACTTAATCCGTTGATGATAAGTCAATACAGTTGAGAAACATGAATAGTTTTATTTGTTGTTTATTTTTAATTTAACCAAAATATATAATATGTAATAAAAACAATATTTTTCAGTATAATACGTACAATGTATGTATCTACTAAAAGTGTCTCTTTCATAATTATTTATTAACAGATTTTTGTCATACTACTATTACAAAGTAGGTACCCAAAGACTTAGTATTAGGAAATATAATTTACATTTAAATAAAACACTTTAACGGTTTAAAACGCGATATATTAGTTAAACTTATTTGAAACTTATCCGAAACGTCGGGCCGAAGTTGAAAATCATATTCAAATAAGTTTAACTAATATATCGCGTTTTAAACCGTTAAAGTTTAAAACGCGATATATTAGTTAAACGTAAAGTATTTAAATGTGTACTACTCGCGTAAACTATAGACAGTATGTAAATATTACATTCAACACACTATTAACCCTATTTATATTATGTTTTAAGTAAGTATGAAAGGTAGAAGCTAATTAAAAGCATTGATTTCATTTCACTTGCGCGTACACTTTTACTAGCGATGAAGTTTAAAAGGAAAAGCGATTGTATGGGTGTTAGTTTATAACACAAATAGTGACAAACATACTTAACAGCGGCGCACCGGGCGGCTGTTTGTGGGCACCGTTAGCTGCGCTATAAATGTACATCTGCCGGCCCCTCGCCGCTCACAATACGCAGACATGAGGCTGTACGCGCTCCTTGCCTTCTGCGTGTGCGCACGCGCCGCTACGATCAACATCCCAGAGAGAAAGATCGATGATCTTTCTGATATCGATCTAGACAACATCGTCAGTGAACCAGAACTCGTAGACCAACGTAATACGGTTAAGGACATCGACAACACTCTGCGTAATGCCATTCCAGTAAAAGTTATCCAGGATAATAAGAAAATCGACGAGAACTCCAACGATTACGTGCCCTCGGGTGATAGCATCGATGTGAAACGGGCGCCTATTGACCTGGAAAACCCAGGACTCCCCCAACGTCAGGAACACGAAACACAGAACCCAGAGAGCTACACTGATGCACAAAAGGCCGTTTTCACTATTAAACAGACGATTGAAGATACACAGAAAGTCTTCACGCAAGGCCTTAAGAGCATTTCAGAAAATTTCAATAATTTGTTTGCTAATAATGAGAAACTTTCAACCATTCAACAAAATATACAGAACCTTAAGGACTCATTCAATGAACAGGTTCTTAAATTAAACAGTACTATCAAGTCTTATATTAGTCCAGAACAAGTTGAAACAATCGGCGAAGAAGTCAAAGCAGTAGAGACCCGCCTCAGAGTATTGGAAAGTAATTTTGAAACAGGCGTAAACACGTTATCCGAAGGTGTTGAACTTCTTGCCATCATTAAGGAGGAAGATGAAGCTGCCAAAGCCGAAGGAGACGCCGCCCCTGCCGGAAACCAAAATGCACAAACACCAAGTTCAACTCAAGCACCAGTAGCACAAAACAACAACCCCGTACTGCAATTTTTATACAATTTCCAGCAAGGGATGATAAGCTCAATCTCTGGTTTAAATAGCGCTGTCCAAAATTACTTCAATCAGGGGCAAAACCAACAAAGTCAAGGTCAGCCACAACAAACTTCCAACCAGCAAGGTGGCTTCGTTGGAGGTCTGTTCCAGGGGATACAATTACCGTTTGCACCAAATACAAATGGACAACAAAATGCACAGGCCCAGGGCGAACAAAAGCCTCCAGGCGCGGCGGCAGACACGCCAGCTCAAACTGGATGGAGGCCCCCAAACATAATTCAAACAGTGCAAAACCAATGGAACAATCTCGTTAACGGTGGTCAAAACGGTCAGGCACAGCAAACCGGACAAAATCCTCCGCAAAATCCATTAGCACAGGCTTTTCAAAATATTGTAAGCGTATTCCAAAGACCGAATGGTAACCAGAATCAACAGCCTACATCGAATCAGCCAGCTGGGAACAGCGCCGCGGCACAGCCTTCCGCAGATGTACCGCAAGGTGTTAACGTAGTTCCAGCAAATGCAGCACCCCAACAATCACCACCAGTAGCACAAACGGTTTCTCAAACGCCTGCGCAGCCAGAACAGGCATCTAACCCAGTGCAACCCGTTGCTGGCCCCATCCAGCAGCTAGTACAAAACAACCCTATAATTAAGGGAATACAGACTGTAACTAAACGCCTGACCAATCCAGAAAGGCCCAGGGATACATTAGAGCAAAGTTCAGACAGCAAGGGTCACGGAGGATGGGGCGGTAACAATAATAATTCAGGTATGTAATTTTTTTTATTTATAAGTTATTAAATCGTATCAATTACATAAAAAAATATCAAATTCCTATTTACTGTGATGCCTCGCATAATATCACAATCATCATCAAGTTTATAAATAGTTTATATACCTAATTATAAAAAATATATAAATATAATTTAAATCCTAGCATGATTGATACTAATATAAATATTTTCGTATGTGATACAATATAAACTTTACTTTTAAATACTATAAAAATCCTAAAGCATATAAATATCTATCGAATATTATATAATATCAACTATACATTTCATAATATTATCTTCTGTATCTTTTACCAATATTTTCAGATTTCACTTCTTACTCTTACCCTTTCCTGAACCTATAATCTTTTCCATAGTGACAGCGTGGGGCAATTTCGTAAACGGTCTGATAGGTACCATAGGTGCCGTTATAAACGGCTCCACCTTATCCATCTCGAACGCTGTGAACGGTGCCATAAACACATTAGGCACTAATATTCAGGTATACAGCAAACAGCGCCTCTGTGTCTAATGTGGAATAACGGCTTCAATGTTTTATGTGCCTAACTGACTACAAGCTACGAAAGATAATGTACCGATAATTATCTGAAGAGATAAATTATTACAAATTGAAAATTGTCCCTGAATGTTGTTAATGTAATGTTCTCACATAACAAAGTAACTTGGAGTTTTACATCTCTGATAATTCGTACCTTAACTTACACTTACACTTAATAACTACTAACTTCTATGTCTGTGATATTATTTTTGTTACAATGTATACTAATTTTTGTTTATTTGTTTACAAATACTTTTTATAGAAAATTGAACCCTTTTTCTACTAAAATGATTACAATTATATATTTAATTACAGGGGATACTTCAAACAGCGACAGCGGGTTAAATGATAACAAAGAAAGCATTGAGAAAATAAAAGAAACACCCGTGAAGTGTGAAAAGGAAGCTGAAAAAATGTCGGAAGAGATCTCGCCGGTTGCCGTCAAGACTGAATAGAATCTAAGTAGTAATAAATACTTTATTTATTTTTCATTTACGAAGTACAATACGTTTGCGATAAATGATGAAATTGTATTTGTTAAAGTAATAAAAATGTAAAAAAATATTGTTTCCTTTTTTTGTAATTGAGTTTCAGTCATCAAGAATTATTTACTTTAATAAAATAATAATAAGAAATTAAGGCCAAGGGCCCATTTCATCCGACCAAAGGTTCTGGTTCGACTAAAAATCGATTTTGTCGAGAATTAATATAAACAAATATTAATTACCATTCACGGAAGCCAAATTAGAGACTTTTTAGATTGTAATATCAGTCTAAAAAGTTTTGTTCTCCAACTTTATTCCCGTTTTAAAGCTTTTTTATATCGAGACAACAAACTTCCTTTTCTTTTTATTACGAGTTTGTAACTCTTAAACATTATATCTTAAAAATGGTATCATAAATAATATCTTTTATAATTTAAATCGAAATTGGATACTGCATAATATTGAACAGGCGTAAGCGTTTGTATGAATTCAATAAAACAACACACCTCCCTTTTTTTTACATCATGTGACGAATTCACTATAAAGTTTGTGAATGTCAACTGTCATCTTGAGATCAGTGTTCCAAACTTCCTAACAGGCTCGAAGATGAGGTTATGATTATAATTATTTTAAATTTCATAAATATTTTGAAAACTTAACAGACATGAATGGTTTATCGTTAAGAATAAACGGAGGAGGGTGTAAAATGAAAAATCCTATAGGGTTCGAGCCGGTAAACATACCCAGGGATCTCTTAAATGATTTAGGTAATTATAAGGTATATTTACATTCTGTTTTTTACACTTTATATGGTTCCTTTTAGGAATATCATAGTCAAACATGGTGCGTTATTCCCTTGATAACATTTTCAGACATGACCGTATGTTATACTAGCTTCATGGAAGCTGTAAGTGCAGATCATCAACTTTCGGTTTTGAAGAATATAGTAACAGATACAAACAACTTAGAAGACAATATTAAATTTCTTGTCATTGTTTTTTTACAAACCGAGGCAAAACATCCTATCAAAAACTTTATTACCAGGTATGAATACATTTTGATTTAAGCAGAGCGAGATAGTTTAGATTTGTATACTTATTCCAAAATTTATTTAATTTTACAGATTTGTAACCAAAAACAGTCATATTCAAGAAATGTTTTCTAAGGCATTGATGTTAAAAATTTCTTCCTTAATAGACAAAAATGTTGTAAACCACAGGACTTGTAAGGATGTAGTAATGAAACTCGCATCTTGTATAGAAAATTTTCCTGCTGGAGCCACTGCTATAAGAATGTTGGAAATGCCTTTAATTTATTATTTGAAAGAATGTTTAAAGTGCTGTGTCAAACTATTGAGGTAATATATTCTACTTTTACACTAGGCTAGTGTATAAGTAACTATGAGTAAAATACTAATGGGGAACAAAGTAACCTACTTTTGGTCTATTTATTTTTCAGTGAAAATGCTTTATCACCAACAGAAAAAACAGAATTATTTAACCTTTCACATTTAACGTTAAGGTTATTGCTGCACATAATACAGAAATGTTCACAAAAGACTCCAGTTACAGATATATTTCAAGAGTTAAAAAAATCTGTAAAGTACATTCTGTTTGATGTTGACACACCAATGGATACTAAATCTGTGTGTGGCATGTTAATAGTAGCTATCCATGTGTTGGAAAATGGTGCAGATTCTTGGATAGATGTAAGTTATGATTACTACAAAATTATATGAATAAAATAAAATATAATAATAATAAATCTCCATATCCGCAAACTTACTGAATGTAGATTTTTCAACTAAAAACTAAATAAAAATCATCCTCCGTGGGTGTGGTTAACAGAATAGATTATGCTTAGGATAATAAGTAAATTATGATTCAGATTTCAGAGAAAACCTGTTTCAGATTTTGTCATCTCAAGAAAAAGAGGAGGAACTTAAAGATATGCTAGAAAACGATTCGGCCAAATTAAGCTTGTATTCAGCGATAGTCACAGTTGTGCCTGTACATAAGCTTTATACAAAACATGTTGATGAAGAAGTTGCTGTTTTAATGCTTATTAAAAAGATTTTGGTTACAGGAGAGAGGTTAGTTGACTACAAAGTTGTTATTATCTTTAAGGAATAACAACAAGATCCTGCTTTGTTACAAGCCAGCAGGTGCTGAAAAAAAATGTTTGAATTGCTAAAGTTTTTAATTAAAGATGTTCTTACATCCTTAAGATATGGTTGAGCTAAGAGCCTGACCATCAGCTATTAAACTAAAGAAGATATCAATTTAGTTACCCTACTTATTAATTAGACAGAAAAGAAACAGAGGATGTTAGGATCCTTATATATACACAAACAACTTCAATAATCAGATGGTCTTTTAAAATGGATTATAGTCTTGTTGACCTCTGTAACACAGTGTAGTAAAGTTACATTTTAAATTTTCAGATAATTCTGCTATAATAAATACCTACCAGGTTTTTATAACATTCTCTGGAACACTTCAGGTCTGCAAGGACTGAACTTTTTTTACATGTACAACTTTTTTCTAGGATGTGCTCAGACTCTACATTCACGCTAGGCGTTACTCGCAGTCTTGTCCATATAAGCAAATCCTTAGATAAATCAGGAGAAATTGGGATTAAAGCCATGGATAGATTGCTAGTTTTTATGTGGTCCCATTTAGAACATTACATGGATAGTGTACGGCACCTAACTGCACAAATGTTGAATAACATCATCAAGTATTCTGCATTACTGAAAAGGCAAGGTAAATATATAATAGAATTTAATTTTTAGATAGAGTTTTGCTGCTAATAATAAGGGGCCATTTATTTATTATGTAAGTCAATTTTTGATATTTGACTTTCCCAAATATAATATAATATAAAATCTTCCAGGGGGGGGGGGGGGGGGGGGCTTAAACTCTGTTGAATATTTATTAAGTCCAAAAAGACCCTCTGCACACCCCCTCTAAAAATATACAATGGCCCTTAACAAAATATACTATGCAAAACGAGTAATCAACGCGTTTCTTAACATTGTGATAGTGTGTTGAAGCATATAATGTGCTGTGCCCGCGACTTCGTCTGCGTGTATTAGTTATTTTGGGCAAAAAAATATTTACAAACAACCTCCTCAGCTTTATAAATTATAGCCGTTACCCATGACGTCATACGCGTCCAGTTGTTCTTGCATGTTAATCTTAAGAGACAGACATATATTGTCGCGGACATTTTCATAGAGGAGTCATTCTCTCATGCATACATTAATGACAGTTGTATTTTAAAATGTACAAATGTATGAAAGCCCGTTATTTAACAGTACAAATTCTTTTCTTACTAATGTATACATTGTTACTTTATTCTTTACAGGTAATGAATCAGCCGTTAGTAATATTATAACATCCTTAAATAGCTTGGACCGACATCGAAAGAGTTTTTACTTAACACTAACTTCACTTGCCAACGAGTTAGGCGCACTGTACTTGTTAAATGTGCTTCCAAATATCATAAATGATGTAATTTGTGCGCTTCACGTGCAAGCGGTACAAGCCAGTGTAAGTTGCTTACAAGACAATAAAAAATACTAATTACCACAGATAAAGTCATAGTTTGCTTAAAACATATGCGTTATTTAACACAGTCTATAACATATTATAGATGTGTTATAGATTTACTCATAAGTAATTCACATATAAATATAACACTTTTAACGGTTTAAAACTTGGAATATATTAGTTAAATTAAAATTGTCTATAGTTTACGCGAGTAGTACACATTGAAATAAAACACTTTAACGGTTTAAAAACGCGATATATATACAGCAGCCGTCTCCCCTACACGGCTGCTGCAAAGCATTTCCGAAATGTCGGGCCGAAGTTAAAAATCATTTTCAAATAAGTTTAACTAATATATCGCGTTTTAAGACGGGTTAAATTTTTTTATTTAAATATATTAGTTAATTATTCCTCTGTAATTGGTGGCTTAGCAGTTTTTACATTGACATTTTTTTTGGACATCCCCATTTTCAGCCCCCCCCGTGACTGTGGCTGCTGCAAAGCACCCGAAATGTCTGCCCGGAATTAAAATAAAATGTGAATAAACTAACTCATATTTTGCCTTTAAACCGTTAAGTGTTATATTTAAATGTGCGTTTTTTTTATTATTAAGGGAGATGTTACTTATCAGTTCTTACCTTTAACATGTTTTTTTCAGGCTACAACATTTCTTGAAGTTTTGTTGCAGAAGCAAATTAAAGAATCGTCCAGTCAAGTCATATATGAGAACTGGGTATGTCCCATACTTTTGCATGTACGAACGAATTCACTTGACTCAGCTCTAATGAATATATTAGAAGGTTTGCTTGCTCTTGCCATTAAGTTGGACGAGCAGATAATGGATTATGTGTAAGTAAATTCAATCATTGACAAAAAAATATATATACAATGATGTTGGTGAGATAAATAAAGACCAAGTTGACCAATTTTATTATTACTTTAAAGTCTGATTTATTTTATAAAAACATACTAATGTTCATTAATAAACATTAGTATTTCTCTTATTACAAGGTGTTAAGGTTCAAAATACCAAGACTCCTGCTCTCGAGAAGCTGTTACATATATTATCTAAATAATATTATTTCAGGTTACCATATATAAGTGAATCATGCGCAAATATAAAACGTAGTGAACTAAAATGTGTTCTCATGCTGTTGAGCGTTGTTCGCCGTTCGCGGCGACAGATGTTTAGTGACGTCATTGGATACCATGTTCTTGAGGCAGCTGCTGTTGATTTAGTTGATGAGGTACAAAGTATTACTATTGGCTGCAAAAGCAGTTTTAATTTTCAATAATCAATTATAACTACGGACTGACTACAGTATTACAGGGCTTTGAAATGTTAACTAAGACTAATTAGTATATACAATTAAACGTAACCTAGCATTGCGTTAAACTCGAGAGGTCCTGGGTTAGAACCCCAGTAAAATAAAAATTTGTTTCGGTCGGTCAGGGCACAGAAGTCTGATCAAATACTTGCCTGTTAAAGAACGGATCACTGAAGGACGGACGGACGGACACAGCAATGTGTTCGTCCCATGCCCCACGAGGGGTTAACGGGATTTCACACTACGAGTACTTATTTACCTAGGTAGATAATTTTCTATTACAATTGAAATATACAAAACTTTATTTTACTTTTATATGAGAAACAGAATCAGTGTTTTAAATAATATTTCATTACATTGTAAAGCTCAAAATTTAGCTTTTATGAATTTGCTAGTTAATTTACAATCTCACTATGTATAATGATAACATTTCAAATAATGGATCTATAGAGTATTTATAGAAAGTGCCTAATTTTTTTTTAATGATAGAGTACAGACAAGCATGGGGATCACTTAATGTTACCTGTATACCCCAGCCACAGAAAGTCTAAACAAGATGCGCCGTCGTCCTGTTTTGGTTTTGGATATTCGGATTTCTATAAATATGTTTTTTAATACATAACTCTTAAACGTTTTTTTTATTAATTTAGCCATGATTTTTTTAATTTTATATGTTGAATAAAAATTTACCTTTCAGACGAGAATATTATCATTGGCCCTTATAATTGAATCTACAAAGACTACAGAAATATTTTCACAAAAAGACTTGGATTTTGTCTTATTTTTTCTCAAATACAACTGTAATGCGCAGGAGCCGCATTTTAGACAACTCATGCTCTCAATGATTAAAAAAGTAAGTTATACATATCCTGAATACTGTCGTAGTTAAAAATCATTTTCAAATAAGTTTAACTATTATATTTCTTAGGTTTAAAACCAACACCACACGAAGGCACCTTAGCAATCTTAAGGACCCGCCAGTTTCGCCAAATACCAACTTCGACGGAACAGAGGCCAGCTAAATTTTTTACTTTGACGTCAGAGACATCCTCCATCTTTAGTCTCCCCGTGACCACGGCTGCTCAAAGCATCGGGGCCGAATTAAAAATATTTTCAAATAATTTAACTAATATTCGCTTTTAAACGTTAAAGTGTTTTATTTAAATGTGTACTACTCGCGTAAACTATACAGTATTTAATATATATTACTAATTTTATTATAATAAAAGCTTTTTTATCCATTTATTTAAGAAAGAAACGTAACAGAATCACCATAAGAATATAATTTTATAGTAAGAATATAACATAAAGGTACATTTTAAAAAAACTTTTCACAGATAATTTATGAATAAAAGTAAGTAAAAACAAACATGTATCTTAAAAAGATTAATAATAAAATACAAAGAACACCAGCCAAATATTTTTATTTATGTTTTTTTTACCATTTTATTTATATATTTTTCAGTTTATCAAACGTTTTGAAGATAGTTACAAAGTACTGAAACGGAATAATACAGAGCCATCGAGATATTACTTAGAATTTGTTGAGAAACTGCGAGAGCTGTGTTACTCGAGTTTACTTCGCGGCGCAAACTATAGTCGGCGTATTGTCTCACTACAAATATTGGACTGGATAGAACATATAGCTTTGGACGAATACGAGAGGTGAAGTACATTTATGTATCACTCGTCGCGGGATGATTTCCTACGGCTTCCAAAGTATCTGTTGTTTTATCCTATGTCATTCAAATTTTTTTGTTTTTTCTTTGGTTGTTTAATGTGGATATTAAAGGGAGGTTGAAATATATCCTTTCCGTCTCTATAGAGAACTAGACCGTGTCGAGATTCTAGTAATAGCTTAAGATTTTATAATATAGTGTTAGGATTACTGGGTATATGTGTAGTTAGTGAAATCAAAGATCAAAGAGTTATCAATTGAATTTATGTACAATCTGAAAATGGTAGGTAAAAGCATACTAATATAGTAATAAGAATGGCATAATTTTTGTAAGGAAGTTAAACCAGCGAAAATGTCTTTAATGTTGTTTTAATAAAATATGTGGGCTTATTCTTGAATTTGGCATATTACAGGTCGTGGAAAGAGGAATATATTGACCGTTTATTAGTACATTTAGAAGATAGTTATGAAAACAACAAAATGTTTGCACTTAGCATCCTTCAATTGTGCCCTGCAGAAATGCTTCAAGTAAGTATACTTTACATTACAACATTTTGAAAATTATTGATAAAGTCGACGACACATTCAATTAAGCACAGGGCAGGAATGTAATACTTTGTCAAAAAACTTTATTATTTTTTACATGTTATTGCACATAAAGGCACTATATAATTTAAAAATCGAAAATAAATTGAAAATGACTCAATTGGTAGCACAACAGCACGGAACGCTGATGATGCCGGTTCATGTCTTGTCCGATTCGAGAATTTTTTCAATTTATTTTCGATTTTTAAATTATACTTTGTCAATTCAAATATCGAGTCACAATTTATTTTTTTCAGAAAAATACATACTCAATAAGTTTGAAACTGGAGAAAATATTGAGTGAAGCTTCTTCCGTTAAGCCCACTTGCACTTGTGCAGCTTATAAGCTGCTAGTTTTAAAGTCGTGCTGTGCTTCATATGTCGTCAGTTTGAATAAAGGGTAAGTTTTTGTATGTAGTCGTCCTATGCCTAAAGTCTCACTTTAATTTTTATACCGTATGTACGTTAATTAGATAATTATTTATGGTTTTACCCTTAAACTTTTACTTTATCGTCTGCATAGAAAAGTTATTTGGGGCGTCCAAATTTCTTTTTGCAAACCTCTTTATTTTAATAAATTTAAGCCGTTACCCACGATGACGGTCGCTTCCTGTCGTTCTTGAAAGGTAATCTTAAAAGATAGACATATAGTATCACAGACATTTGTTTAGATCATTTAAATAGGAATCATTCTTTTATACATATTTTTTTATCTTGAACCATTTTAGCAGCGTACGCAATGAATAACCTTAGAGATAAATAATTTTCTTCGTAAATGAACTCTTCGTAAACAACTTTATACATTATATTAGTATGGATTAAAAAGACGATAACGGTTCCACAATCAATGACTGGCCAGTATTATTTTAAATAAATCAATATAAAGTAAACTTTCTTTATTTTTAGCTTAACATTTTGTCTTCCAATTATTAGACATTATTATATATTTTCCAGTGAAACTGACAGACCTGAAGAAGTGACATACATACTACTAAAGTTTCTACTAACTCAGCTAGAAAAGGAGTTGGCAGTGTGTCAAAGAAGCGTACTACACTCAGCTAAAGATGCGCCTATGTATGGACTTGTTCATTGTATGAGATATCTTCTGGAGATCATTGATCCGTGGTGAGTTTCAGGAACAAATTATTCTAACTACGGCTCGACGTTTCGGATGCTTTGCAGGAGCCGTGGTCAGAGGTCTCCCCGTGCTATATATATTTCGCGTTCTAAACCGTTAAAGTGGTTTTATTTAAATGTGTACTATTCTCATATAGTACAGGCAGTACATCATGATTTTAATTGCTTAAAAAAATTAACGTCGAAGAAGACCCAATAAGAATAAAGTATTTCATGTTTGTGCCTCTTTTCTTTATTTTAAAAGCGATTATATAAAAAAATGTTTAATTAATTAAAATCTAAGTCTTATTCAAAAAAGTTTTGAATTAAACTTGGATATTTATATGAACTGGATATAAAATGTAATTCATTGGTTTTTTTTTTGCAGCGTGATCTCTTGTGATAGCAATTGGACGGAGCTAATATCCCGTATAATAAGTGTGTGTTTGGACGTCAACCGAGCCGTTGCCTGTGTCGTGAATAACTCTTCACCCGAAGGACACCTTCCAATGGATATGAATGGAGTTACAAATGAAGTGTCTAATTCAAAGTAAGCCTTTAATCTATACATTTGACGGGTTCGGTTTAATGATAGCAGCGTTAGGAACATAAGCTAATAATCAAAGGGTCTTAGATTTGATCCCATGATGGACCTGGTCCAACCTATTTCTAAATAATTTCTAATTTGTCAGAAACATGTTGGCCTTCGTTTGGAAATCTGGATTTTAAACGGATAGTAGGAATATCTAAATTCCGTCCGGGTCACCGAATCACCGTCCACAGATAAAAAAGCCGTGAATTTTAATCGCGATTTTAGTCTGTGGTTATCCACAGCCAAAATAGGTCGACAGCGCATCTTGTTAAGATGTTATATGGCTCTGGAGTATTTCACCTATCATCAAGGGAGCCCCATGTTTCTCCGTCCTCTGTCATAAAATATAATAATTGTCTTTAGCAGCTAGCAGCGACAGAATTAACAGCATACAATACCGTAAATCAGAGTACCGAATGATGTGTGCGGTGAAATAATTTCTGTTTGTTTTAGCAACGTGTGTCTACAAGATGGCCGACCTGTCACTGCGCAAATGGTATTGCTCTGCGCTTGGCGGTCCGTTAAGGAGGTAAACTATTGTGTATCGTCTGTGGTTTGCACTTTTAATAAACATTTCAACGGGCTTAAAAGGCGAAATATATTTCTTATGATTGATTTGATTAAGACTAGAATTATAATTTTTTATACAATTCGATATTTGGGATGCTTCGCAGCAGTTAAAATAAATAAAAAATAATTTAACAATTTCATCTTTTAAACAGTTTAAAGAGTACGTGTAAAGAGATGAAGATACTTCTGAAATTGTTAAAATAAATCTTTAGAGATTCTCTTAGCTAGTTTTAAATTGCGTATAAACTGTTTAGGAAACTTTTACTTTAAGATGTTGTAATAGTTACAATTAAATCATAGAATTAATGATTTAAATGACTTCTAATTCAAAGGTTTCACTTCTCCTGGGCATTATATCCTCTCGGCTGGCCATAGAAGGAGAGGGTGAGAAAAAAGGCAGTGTGTCAAGGGAAATAATTTGCGAAGTAGGAGATCATTTCACCACGCTTTTAGCTGAAACGAAACATCGCGGCGCGTTCGAACAGGCATACGTCGGGTTTACCAAGCTTTTGGCCAGGTGAGCACTGATTGATTTCTTTCCAATATTATAAAAAAACAGTAAATAGCTACTTTTAATTGGCATGTGCAAGTTTTTCAAAACTATTGTTTGATTGTGGTATTGGGTTTATTTGAAATACATTGCCCATACAATATATGTCCCAATTATACTAAATTTGCATACATCATTTTTATTTTACATTAGGATTGTCGACTAAACTAGCAAGGGTATAATGTTACAAATTCTATTATTAACTACATACTATTATTGTACTATAATATAATATAATAGTACTAGTTCTAGTTTACATTTGTTATTTTTCGTAGATTATGGCGTTGTCAAAACCCACAACTTCATGAACTCCCAAAACGGTGGTTGGACGATCTTTTGCAAGTGATACAAAGCGGGGATAACGAAAAGCTGTGTGCCACACGACGTAGCGCTGGTTTGCCTTATATGATACAGGTATAACTAAAACTTTTTTACACCCATGGTTTTATCTATAAGTAAAATGAGTGTTCCTAATGGAAGAAAGAGAAGACAAGAACACCATACTTATGGACGTCAAGTACTCATTTTTAAATTAATGATTGTAATAAAACACTTAAAGATTTTGAACGCGATTCCCAAATACTAATAAAGAACAGCTAGGTAGCAGTTTTTATTTAATTAGAGAACCCTCATCTGTAGTCTCCCCTACCACGGCTGTGCAAAACATTCAAAACACCGGGCCGTAGTTATAATAATTTTTAAATAAGTTTCACTAATATGTTTCACTTTTCAAACCGTTAAAGTGTTTTATTCAAATTTGTGCAACGCGCGTAAACTATATAGAGTATTTTACAGAAAATCTTATTCTTTTTTATATAATTCTTTCAGGCGTTGGTTATAACTGAACTGCAAGTGACTGGCAACCCCAAGTGTTTTACGCAATGTATGCGCACACTACTACACATAGCTAAAAACAGCAACTCGGTGGAAGCGCGTACACATTGCACAAATATATTGCGAGCGTTATATCGGAATACTAATCTCGACGATGTGGTGGCGGGGTATGTAGGGGAGGGGTTGTTGTTGGCACTCAATGGATTCGAAGGGAATACTTGGCAGGTATGTTCTTGGGTATGTGTAACCCCTTTTTTTCGGTGCATGGAACACACACTTCTATGTCCATTTCACGTAGTTGGTCGGATTTCTGTGCCTTCCACAACAAAATCGATTCATATCCCATTCGAGTCCAGGACCTGTCGTTAACGCAATATTAGGCTACACATTTAACCGGTTAACACAGGTATTGGAGTACAAATTTAATTAATTTTTAAAGAATACTTCACATAAATTATGGTACAGCAATATAAAAATGTCTACTAATAAAATAAGAGCTAATTTTAATTTTTCAGGAACGTAACTCTTCTACACTACTGTTCAGCGCGTTAATGGTGCGAATATTCGGCGTCACTCGTGGTAAAGACCCGGATACGCTCTGCACCCGCAACCGGATGACGGGCCGGATATTCTTCCTGCGGTATCCCGCGTTGGCTGACTTTATGCTGGTAAATTTATTTCACATTATGAACTTAAAATAGTGATCAGTAGCAATGGGTAGGTTTCGTCACGTAGCGAATATATTCGTTGAGTTGTTTTGGTGATTGGGGGTCAGGGGAGGGGGGGGGGATACATACAGACTTACTAAAGGTTCTAGTTTATTTCTCTTGCATTTTTTTTAAATCTTTGGATATTGCCTATTCGTGAAAAATAAGCATTTTTAAGCAGAACCGTAATAATGCTTTTTCGTACTTACTAATAAGAATTGTTTTTTTTTTAGAATAAATTAAGTGAAGCAAATGAAAGCGAAAAGTTACTACGACCTTCCGTTTACCCTGTACTGTTGATTCTAGCTAGGCTTTATCCATCTGCATTAGAAGGCACTGTATCTAACATAAAGGTAAATACACACTTTTTGTACCTCTAGTATGAGTTTACAATTTATAATTAATATATAGTGGCCATTACATTTATAATATTTTAGCGTTTTTAATGGGCATTTATAATAGAAAATTACAATACATATTTTAAACAAATACTTTCAACGTAATCAACGTTTTAGGTGTAGTAATAGTCTTGTAAACATTATAAATAATAAGTAATTTTTTTGTTTCGTTTTTTCAGCTGGTATCATTTATTCCATCTGTACTGTCGTGTGCGAGCAACCCTGTTCTAAAGACGAGACAATTGGCTGCTAAAGCAATGGTACCGCTCGTTTCTCCGCATATGTATGTTGTTTTTATACCTTTCTTAATAGGTCGCCTTTTAATCCGTTAAAATTTGTATCAATGTGTTTTATTTGTGCAAAGAACGTACCTAATAGTGATTTTTACAATTTATTATTATTAATTTATCTATGGTAAATGTTCGGCAGGTACATACAGCATATACAAGCTATGTTCAAATTGATTGGAGATCGTCATATAAAAAGAAACTACTGCCACGGTGTCATATTGCAGGTACTTATGAACGCATATTTTTTTTATAAAAACCGAAATGGGAATAATTAATATTTTGTTAGATAGTATAAATAATACCGAAACATGGTCTCCTACCGCGAGCATGGTGCCCAAACTACGCGTCTCTCAGCGTGCGATGGAAAGGGCTATGCTCGGAGTTACCCTGCGTGATCGAACCAGAAATGAAGAGATCCGTAGAAGATCTAAAGTTACTGACATCGAAATGGCAGTGGGCTGAGCACATCGCTCGTAGAACTGACGGCCATTGGGCCAAAATGGTTCTGGAGTGGAGACCACGTACCGGACGTCGAAAACCTGGACGACCAGGTGGACCGACGGTCAAGGTAGCAAGGAAACGCTGGATTCAACTAGCGAACGACCGGTCGTACTGGAAGTCTATGGGGGAGGCCTATGTCCAGCAGGGGACACCGAACGGCTGAATCGAGATAGTATAAATAAATATTATTCTAAATAGTACATGAAAACATGTATACTTAGAACTAGTTTCAGCAATTGAAAGTCCCGTAACGCTCATGCATTTGGTAGAAACATTTTTGTGTATGGTTTATTTACTATATCACTATCTACTATTAAGCTTAAGTTAAATGTGGCTTAAATGTTGTAATTTATAAATTTTAGCATTTCTTAAGAACGATAATAAAATTTGCAAACCCAAGAAGCTTTGTAAAATGCCCGCAAAAGCCTTATATAATTTATAATTATAGTTTTCGCTCGTCGGATTAATTATTATTATTGTGTAACTAATTTACATGTCAATCCTTTTTAGGTTATAAAGCTGTTAGAAGCAAAACCAGAAGATTTACAAGATGATTATTCTGCAACAAGTTTAAATGAGTCATTGTTGGATACCAAATGGATTATTGAGCAGACCTTAACAAATATACCATGTTACTTGCTCACAGATGACTATGTCAAAATGGTGGATTTGATTGTTAACAGGTAATTTATTCCTAAATGCTATGTTGGTTAGTTCATTTTATGAAAACCCTTTTCGAAAATGTTGCCTCCCTTGCAAACCTCAGTTACATGTGTGCAATAAGGATTAGTTGGTGTGTTTAAACTTTAAATATTATAACTTTTAACGTTTTACGTTATAATTTCATATAAATTAAAAATCCATTTTAGCTCGAAAAATCAATATGTGAATAGCGTAGCTCAGTTAAAAAGGAAGAGAGAGCAATGCCGTGGTCGCAGTTTTAGTCCCGCCCCTCTTAGCCAAAAAAATTGGGGAATTTGAAAAATAGTTCACACATAACGATTAATGCGATTTCGACTTACTTGCCGGCTTTATTATTTGTCAAATAACAATAAATTTTTTTTTCAGGTTTCCAGTATCTGTGCATTCGAATCTTCTACGCGAAATAAAACCTTTGTTAAATCAGATATTGTTTGAAGATTCTTCGTCTATATTAAAATCAGGCAAAGAGGTCTGCCTAGCAAATATCGTTAAATTATACCTGAGCATACTTAATTCACAGAAGAATATAGACGAAACTTGTGAATTCATAAAGAAATGCCTTAAGCACAATGTATATGAAGTTGTTTTAGTTATACTCAATCATTTATTAGCTATTTACACAGAATCTTCCGAAACGAAATTACAAATAATTCTTGATTCTATGCAATTACTCCGAAGAGACTACATACAACTTTTGTGTAAGTTATTGGATAATCCCTATCTCGAATGTACGCAAAAAGCACTTCAGTTACTCGTATTAGAAGAGAACACACAAGAAACGATAATAAGAGCCAAGTTAAAGAAAGATGACATAGGTGATAACGAAACAATATATTTATTAATACATCTCCTAGAGAATGAACACGAAAATTTTACTCAACACTATTTAAGAAGTCTAACTACGTTCGTGAGTAGAATGCTCGTAGAATTATCGTTTACTGGAACAAGTATATTACAAGCGATAAGGGTTATGTTTGCTTGCTCGTTCTCCCATAACGGTGATACTACGAGAAAAATTGTAGTGGAATTCCTTGAAGTGAGCTTAGAACGACTGTTGACTCTGGATATTGATTTGGATGACGATGAACAATGTAAGTAAACAGTATTACTTTGAACAGAATAATATTGTTGACAATGTACTGCTCGACTTTGATGGAGGACTTACTTGCTCATGTAATGGTAGTAATGTATAGCCAATGATCAAGCCGTTGATACCGGATATCTACCGGGTCTAACATGTTTCTAATCAAATTACAATTTCTCTGAAATATGTTGTAATCATACGGGTGGTAAAATTCCGGGACGGAATTACGGTTACTAATTCCGTCCGCGTCACGAATAGCCGCCGCCGGCAAAAAGCCGTCAAGCTTGATCGCTATCGGTTGCAGTCTGTGGATTTGTGAATATCCAAACCTATATAGGGCGACAGCGCATCAGGTTTAGATATTATATAGTCGGGGTATTTTACCTACCATCAAATAGCCGACATGGACGAGGCTCCATCATAAAAAGTGTAAACATTTCTAACGGACATATATACCACATCTAGTCCGTTATCTTAATTATATGTATTACAGCACATATATACATACTTCTATAAATACAATACAAAAAACTTTGTTTATTTCAGTTGAATATAACGCTACTATTTGGTCCATAGTGGCAATACTATTGGAAGACGACGAAAAAACAATTAGAAACAGCATGTCATGCATTATAACCGATTTATATAATAAGCAACGTTCCAAGAACAATGAGCTTGGCCAGGTTATACCAAGTAAAGCGATGGAGTATTTAGTGGAATTTGTGGGTAGTTGTCCATCTGGGCAAGCGATATTGTGCGTGTTGGCGCTTTTAGACTTCAAAAGCGAAGTATGCATGAACGACGAAGTTAATGACGAGGTTTGTATTTTATAATATTTTGTAAATAAATTAAACATTCATTTCACAGCCGGGAATCAACCATCTCATCCACGAAATTCAGCGTTTTGCTCTGTCACGCACACGTTCCATAGATGTTTTAAATTATGGCGTATAGTCTATAAGAGCGATGTAATTTGGACCAACGTACCTTGCACATACGGTATTTTGAGATAATTTTTTTTTCTAGTGTCGCGTATTCGATACCAACGAAAGACACAATATTTTCTCGGAGGAGGTGATTTTGACGGCTACTTGCGTACGCGCACTTCGGCAGGAGTTTGACATGTCGGAAAAGGATGTACAGATTATAATTAGTAACCCTATATATAAACGCACATTTAACTCTTTATGTGATCAAAACTTACCTTTTGATGTAAATAGTCATTTCAAAAGTAAAAATGCTAATCCAAAATTTGATATTTTCCATAATATACTTTCGACGTAACTTTTACTAATGATTAAAATGTTATGTTACAGTTGATTTTGTAAGCAAGCTCATGATCAGATTTAAATAAACAATTAAATATATAACTAACAATTTTTATTTACAATACCTCCTAACCGAATTCTATCAATCCACAACGACACAGTGGTAGGGCAATTTGTTTTAATACAGATTTTTTTAATTGAGAATTTAACATAAATTTTTTTAGATTTTGTATCAGTTTATTCACGTGTGCAAAGAACAACATAAATATCTCTAGACTTACTTCTAAACCACTCTTACACAATTATAATAAAGAAAACAATCATAACAATTTATTCCGTCTTATCCTGTAAACCTGTTTTGCTACCTGAGTGTTTTTAAACTTCAAATTTCGCGTTTTGCTATCAAGACTGTCTTTAATAGATTGTTCAGTTTTACTGATTCTGTCTGATTTGGTATTTACTTCTGGTGTTTCTGCTACAAATAAATCTTTAACTGAGACCAGTCTATGGTTATTTCCTACTTTAAGTAATTTCTTTAGATTTCTAGTAGTTTGCTTCTCTAATAGACCAAGTATACCCCAGTCATCAGTCTTTTTTCCATCTAATAGACTTTCTAAATGCCACGCTGCATTTCGTACTTCCATTTTCAGTCTCTCACACTCCTCAAAGCTTACATTCCTGCTAACATTTAGAACCTGTTCTAGTGGATTAACTATGTATAGCGGGAGTGAGTTTGGTTTTCGAATGGCAACACCTTCATTAAGGGAAACAGCTCTATCTTGAAAGTCAAACTGTGCATAGAATTCAAAAAATTGGAAAAGGAGGGTTTGTAAGCTGTCATTGCTTTGTCCGTAACTGTCTTCGGGAAGTTTATTTAGGTCCCGGAGGAATGTACAGTTGAGATTCTCTTCAGCTATTCTAATGTCATCCTTGCCTGCAATAATGATACCTATTGTAATATTAAGAAAAATTATATTTACTTAATAGACATACTTCCAAAAATGCTGACCTTAATGCTAATGAAACGAAGACTTGTTTGATGTGGGTAATTACTATAGCATTGATTTAAAATTCTATTGAACAATAATTCCATAATTAGTAGTCGAACAAAGTTTTTTAATAATAATCTTACCAGCCATTTTAATTAGGTTGTTCAAACTGGGCAGAATGATTCCATCATGTCTTTTCTGTTGTAAGAAGAAAAGAACCATAAGTGTTAAGGGAAAATTAGTAATCCATCGCCCTGGATGTGGACTTGTTAGAGAACATGCCCGGGCCCACATACGGACTGCAAATGTAAGGGGTTGTACTCTATAGTCCAAAGTTCCTAGTAACCAAAGTAGTTCTGACATATATACACCAGAACTGCAACAAAGAATATAAAAATTGAGAATTTGCAAATAACATTTAACAATCAGTATTTTAATTTGTTTCGGATAAAGACACTTACGTATTATTGTAGCAAAGATCACAGTCCAAGTCTGTCATTTCATGTGAGTACTTAACAATGGGCACTCTAGCATTTAAAATCCTTGTCACCCTGGCAACTCCAGGTGCTCTAAGTTCCAGTAAAGTCGCCACTAATTCCATATGCCTTTGCCAAGGACTTCGACCACCTTCACATATCTTTTCTTGGAAAACTAATCTTCGACTTGCTTCCATCTAAAATGATATACAAAGTTGGGCTGTGTTATTCATCAAAATTCAATGAAATCTTTATCTGATTTTTATTTTTTAAGTTTACAAATGATTTTACTCTTGGTTGATGGGAAAAAGTTACTTGCTTTTTAGACAAAAACCAGATCAAATAAAATAATGATAATTGTACAGGTTATTAGTACATGTTATTACTGACTTACCATTTCAGGAGCTACAGTATTAGTCAAAACAAGATCTAAATCACAGCCCATTTTGCCAAATCCATTCACTGATGACCCAAATGGTTTTATAGCCACATTTGCATAAATACTGCTAAATATGGCTTCTAGCTAAAAAAGTAAGCATTTTAAATTATATTTACTATGTTGTAGTATATAAATTAAGACTTATGTTAAACTTACCTGCCTAGCCACCATAAATCTCAGTCTAATATCCATATCATTTAACTTTGTTTTATTATACAACAGGAGCAACTGATCCGAGACTGACTCACAATTTAGCAACTCCTTAAACAGCATATCTTCATCAACTTTACTATTACCATGTTTAACTGCTAAAGATTTCTTGGTATTAGAGAATTTTTCTTTAGTTCCAGACGCAGCACGAAACCAAAGGAAAGGTGACTGAACAGGCATGATATCTGTACTTTTTTGATGTGCACTGCAAGCTTTCAGGACTTCCCTCTTGCTATCTTCTGAACCAAATTCGATGAGCATGTAATGCTAAATGTTAAACATTGTTACAATTTATAAATTACTTTATATATTTTTTAGATATAATTTGTTACCTCATTGTTTGAATTTTGATAGTGGTGTACATCATTGACAATTGAATATTTTGAACAATAGCCATATAATTCATCGAATGAAGACTCCGAGTTTACTTGTACAACAAGACTTCGTCGAGCCTCTGCTCTTCTTTGGGCTATTACTTCGTCAAAAGTAATAAACTTTTTAGGACTCCCTGAAAATATAACTTAAACGTATAACCTCAACCTTTTCTAGTACTTTTTAGTAAGAAATAGCACCCACCCGAGGCATTTCTAAAAATAAAACATTTACAGTATGGTGTATTGACTGATTTTCTATGGAGATTAAATTTGAAAGTCCGAAAAATTACAGACATTTTAAGTGGAAACAAATTTTGAAAATATAATTGTTGTTATCATTCGCCTTGTCAATTTTGACACTTAACACCTAAACAGACTTCTGTAAAAATTGAGGCATAATAGAGTAAAATTTAATTAGTCTGTGTCTCGTTACCAGGCCATAAAATAAAAATAAGTCTTGATGGTCTTGCTATCGTGTCATTAGTCATAGAATATAAATAAAGAAATACAAGTTTTGTGCAACACTTAAATGGTTTATATTTCATATTTATATTTCTTTTGCTCAAGAAGAATTTACTTTTAAATAAGTTAATTCTTCAGTCTTATCGTTCAATATGACCAGTCTACTTTTGCAGCGGCTAGTTCTACCTGTAATAAAATCAAGGAATGTAGTACCTAACCTATTTCATATGAACGAAGCGATTCCTTGTACAAATACAAGTATAAGTTCAGTTCGGAACTATGCCAAAAATAAGGATAGAGGTAAAGATAAAAAAGGCAAAGGACAGAAAGTTGAAATTAATCCAACCATGATTGCAGAATTAGTTGATGTTAATAAGTTAAAAAGTAAGTGCCAAGAAGCTATTGAAAAAATGCGGGATGATTTTGCAAAGAATTTGTCTATAAGGTCAACCACGGGATCTATAGAATCTCTACCAGTCAAGTATGAAGGTAAAGACTATGAATTGCAAGAGCTGGCTCAAATAATAAGAAAAAATCCTAAAACTCTTGTGATAGACTTTACATCGTTCCCACAAGTTATTCCTGATGTTCTAAAAGCTATCCATAGTTCGGGATTAAATTTGAACCCTCAACAGGATGGAACTAGATTATATGTTCCAGTACCCAAAGTTACCAAAGAACACAGAGAGGCCTTGGCAAAAAATGCAAAAGCAATGTACATCAAATGCAGAGATACTTTAAAAGACATTCAAAATGAATTTATTAAGAAAAGTAAAAAGCAGACAGGGGTTTCCGAGGACTTAATTTTTAATGTCACAAAACAAATTACTGCCTTATCTGATCAATATCAGGCTGATTCAAAAACTATTTATGAGACAAAGCATAACGAACTTATTGGAAAGTAAAAGCATTTATTTTATTTTTTAATATAATTTAAGCAATATAATATATTAGTAAAATCAAATAAATAACAATTATAATAAGCAAACAAGGTCTTTCAATATAAAATATGTATAAGGCAATAATATTTTTTAGTCTCCTTTAAACACTTCATACATATTTCTATTATTTTATACTTTGCTAATAGCAGAATTTGCAATATGTTAACTGCAAGAAATCCAAAAATAGTCACTTAAGAGTATTGTCTAATTTTAAGGATTAATTTAACAAGTTTTGTTTAACGCCATCTAGTTTGTGTTCATGAATTTTTTATTTTTATATACTGTGGCGTAAAAGACCAATTTACCCTATTTTTTTATTACAATTATTTATGCTTAAATATACAAAATAAAATATTTATAGACAATTACTTTGCTTAAAGGTCCCTTTACTAAGCCATAAAATATTTAAAAGAAAAGACTTTACTTTGACAGCTAAATTGACGGTTAACTGTTATAATCTGTAATTCAGTGTTATTGTTTTGATTGCAAACTCCTAGATTTTAAAAGACGATATTAAGATGGATAAAAACGCCTCAAGACATAAAAGTGTTTATGAAAGAGTTATGCCGAGAGTTCACAGTACTTCTAATACAACATTAAGATCAAATGCTACGGTAACGCGACACATAGCTTCTGTACGTGTTGGCGGCAAAAATGGTGCACAAAATTTGAGGTCTACAGTTTCGACTGAGCTCCCTACGGTTTTAAATGATTTTAAACAGGACAAAAACATAAAGCCTACAAAACCAATTCCCGTAGCTAAGCCCAAAAAGACTTTGCAATCTTTGGACCCTAAAACTGTTAATCGTAGTGTCAAAGCTTCAAGTGTTAGAAGACTTAACGCTCGGGCATCAGCACCTGCAGTTTTAAATTTGGGTAGTATTGGAAGTTCTGTTAAACAAGTAAAGCAATTTTACTCAAGTCATTCGCACACTAAGCTAATAAGCTTATTTTTTTTTTTCTTTCTATACCTTCCCGGCATTCACTAAATTCATTACTTTCAACTTATATTGGTTCATAACATTTTAGGAAGAAATAAAAGCTTTTGAACAGTTGGAAAAATCTAAGGAGTTTCGTGGTCGCCTTCACAAATCCTGTGGAGTTTTAGTAGATGAGTCAGGAAAAGTTGCTGCTGACAAAGCTGTACAGGCTGAACCATTAGGTAATCAGAACTTAACTATACTATTAATATACAAAGTCAAACTTTGTATTGTTGATAGACATATATATCTTTTATGGAAAGTTTATAATCTGTTTTCTTAGGTGTCTAACAATTACTTTTTATTTCGCTTATTTAACAAATATCAACGCCATCTACTATTGAAAATCATATTTAAATAACTTCTTCGTGTTTCTTGGTGTATGCTTAGTGTCTTAGTTTTTCAAACTTTTTCTAGGGGGCGTTTTCGGCAATAACAAAAAAAGTGAAACCTATTAAAACATGGTTTTATATGTTATATTTTGTTACATATATTAATGTATACACTTAAAACCATTTGTTTTTAGATTCAACAATTTATTTCAATATATTAAAATACTATTATTAATGTTTTACCGAAACAATACATCTATTTTGAAATCTAATGTATCTGCCGAAATAGCTCAGTTGGGAGAGCGTTAGACTGAAGATCTAAAGGTCCCTGGTTCGATCCCGGGTTTCGGCAATTCTTTTTGTAATATTTTTTCTTACTGAAAAACTCACTTATCTCGATCTTTAGTTATTATAATAAATATATTAATTAAGAGACATTTCTATTTAATTATATTCTTCAACCTTTCAGATGAGGCATTGCCAGTAACATCAAGGTTAGTTTCCTCTATCATCATTATTTTAAATATTATATATTAAATTTATTAAGTATGAATATATGTCTACACATTGGGACCTTTGTACAGGACTTGTATAACATAAAACTCGATGCCCTATTTGGCAATGGACTCGCATCGCCTCTTTAGCTCAGTGGTAGAGCACTGGTCTCGTAAACCAGGGGTCGTGAGTTCAATCCTCACAGGAGGCATTTGTATTTTTTTTTATTTGTGCATTTATAACGGTATTTGAAACTTCGCATTGTATTAGTTGCTCTGGTTTTCTTACATTTCGTGTAAAATATAGTTTGCAACTTTTATAAAATGTAATAGCAGGTTATCCCCGTATAAGTATTCCATATCTATTATTTCTTATTTCGTTACACAGTGACATTTGAGATTTTGAAAAATAAAATATACAATTTTATCGGTTTGAAATGCGAAAAATATTACTTAATTTATCGTTAACTACGACTGATGACTGCTGATGAGATGTAAAGACGAATCTTAACATATGTGTAATCTAAAAATACCCGATTGATTTGTATTATGTATATTTCCGTATATTAAGAGTTATATATGTAATATTTATAATTACTATATATTTTTGAGTTTATTTAATGTTTGCAAAACAGCGGAGAATAAAAGGTACAAAGCTACGGCGGATTTAGTTTTGTCTTTCCTTAAGTTACAAAACAGCCTGATGTTGATATGTACCGTTACTAGTCCGTTAGTCGCACGGCTCTATTTACCTGACGGATCCTGTTTTAAGCCTGCGCAAAGGCCAGTTAAATCTAAAATAACAGGACACAGTGTTTATACAATGATTTTCACAAGTATCAGGATAAAATCGGAAAAATAATAATGTAACTTGTGAATCATTGTGTATGTATGTTTCTTGTGTCCTTTGCGTCTATATAGCGTTAGTCTTTGATTTATTTTGTAGTTAATAGGTTGGTTACGTTTGGGATTACTTTTTATCGATGAACGAGGAATTCTTGGCATGTGAATTTTCTATAGCTTATAATTATGTTGGCATTTTATCTGTAGCTTATTATATAGAACAATTTTAACTACTATGTATGTAGTCTAGACTAAATCTTTGATTTTTAGTCTTCGAAACATTACTGGTTCCAACAGCTGACATCTTAACTGCTGCTGCTATTGCTGCTACCGCTGTTCACGCTTTTATCTCATGCGGCTTTGTAATATTATAGTTATTACTCGGAAATTAATTTCTATCTATAAATATAATTAAATGTTCGCTATCTTTATTCACACGGACTGACGTGTAGAACCAACCGCCGCTTACGTCGATATTTCCAAAGTGAGGATACGTCATATCCGTTTCCCATTGGCGTGGCTCCAGCGTTCACTCTATTTCTGATCTACTCGATATACATGCATGGAACCAGGGATAGTTTCCGAAACATTTCCTTTCTATTCGTGACAATAATAATAGTATATCGCGTAATTGTATTTTGACAAAAAGCTGTATTTAAATTAAGAATTATGTCCGTTAGTTGAACTATTTAACAACTTCTTAACTTTAAAAATATTGGATAATGCTCTATGATAACACATTCCTCGATTTGCTTTAAGCAGATTGAAATTTCGGGAAAAAATAATAGTTTAGTCAAGGAACATTAGTCTAATCAACTATTTTCTATTTAAAAACGATGAGTAGAGATATATGTATGTCATGCCCCATATAAGAATAATGGGATTTATAATCTATATAACACATTTTTAAGGTAAAAGTGTCATTGTATGCACGTCTAGAATAAAGAAATCTTTAAGTGTTATGATATCCTATCGCGGTGAGATACTATAAATGATTTATAAAGGACCAATATGAAAGGCGGGAAGTTTTAATCTTAGCGTTCATTCTTCACTATGTTAGCTATAATATTATATCTTCTAGCCAAATCTCATGCAAGAAAATCTTGGCTAGCGATTAGGTGTAGCTAACACAGCCAGTGTTTATACGCTTTAATTAATTTCAAAGGGCGCAGTCTATAAGTAGTATACGGACCAAATAAGGGCAACGCACTCGCTGAAATTGAATGAAGTGATGTCAGCAAACCCTTTGACGACATTTCACCTCTCTTTTCTTTATATTGCTAAACATGAGACAGATGTGTTCAAATATAGAGGAATGATTCAATGATGCACTTGAAACTAAGCCAAGAGAGTTTGACGTCATTTATTATTATTATTTGTTCAGATATGTAGACTTGTAGGTACATAACACTTTAGTGATCAGACGCAAGCGACTAGGGATTACTTGAGGCTGTACAGCCATTCAAAAGTCAAAAGTCAAAAATCATTTATTCATGTAGGTAACTATGTACACTTATGAACGTCACAAAATAATTATAGAATCTAACTTTACATTTACTACCAGTTCTCAAATCAAGGGCGTAGAACGCACGAGAAGAACTGGCAATAAACTCGCCGTCACTCCTTTTATCGCCAAGTTTCATTTTACATTCTTGATTTACTTTTAGTACACAACATATTTTTCCTTGTGTGTTTGAGCGGGTTCCTCCACACCCCAAGCATTTTTATCATTTAAATATTGATTAACATGATAATAACCCTTTTCAAGCAATTTTTGTTTTACATACGATTCAAACCTATTTATTGAGAGTGCTTGCACTTCTCATTTATAATGATCATGACGGGGAGATCAGTTAGGTTAAAGGTTTTGTCTATAGTTATGTTGGTTGTGTTTAAGCATTAACGTTCTTTTTCGTTCGATTACTCTCAAAAACATACTTCTAATAACTCATATATATTTGTCTTAAAACATCTAAATTACAAAATCGTTAGTATTTTAAATTATATTGTAGAGCGAGTAATGTTAATATTTAAAAGAAATAAAAACTATTACAACCGCTACGTGCATAAACTTTAAAATTTGGACAATGTACTTCACCAAACAAAAAAAAACAGTAGTCCTAAACGGCCCGACTTCGATGAGTCTTTACTACCAGTAAAAAAAAAGTTCAAACATATTCTACAGTACTACATGGTAGTACGTTATAAAGAAGATAATTTATAAGCTTTTAGTAAATTACAGTCCGGTCTACATCGTGCTTTACTTCGTGCGTACGTGACAAGTTTACATCGAGCCATGACATTTATTTAGATGTTCGTTTGGGACCAGTTCTAATACATTTATAGGTACTTAGAATTCTAGATAACGCAGAGTCTAGATTGCGCTTAAGCTAGAGCAAAAATTAAATGCCTGGTTTTTAGAAATCGGGCAAATGACTAAATAAAATACTGTCATCCGTAGCTCAATTGAAATCGGTTTAGCGAGGTTCAAAATCCGAAAAAAACATGATAAGTTATTAGGGTAAAAAGAAATGAAATTGAGGGCATTTTGTACATCACAAAAATTATACTTTGTTGTATAAAGTGATTTAATTCAATTCACTGATATGGTTCAAACATGTCTGTATATACCGAGTTTCATTTGTAGGTACATAGCGTGGTTAGTTACTAATAATAACTGAAGGACGCATTAAATATGATGAAATAGGACTAAAATATGTTTTGCGTTAACTTTTAGTTTCGTGGAAGTTGTGAGTAATAAAATAATAAACAGAGGAGCGATACGTTTTCCTTCAATTTTCAACTAAAATGTTGTTTTAATATCTTAAGCATTTCTAAAGAATTCTCCACAAGAAACACGAACCAAGCTTTCACGTGAGAGAATAATAGGTCAAGACCACAACAATAGACGGCAGATGAGGTCGTTGCGGTCTTTGACCTCCACGTGCGCTTGCGCAGAGTACGTTTTTTGAGTAATCTATTGTATAATTATACTAAGGTTTTTATCGTAAAATACATGTAACTATCGAAGAAATTTTGTAAGCCTTTATCGAAAGTGAAAATATATATTTTTTTTCATTTAGATGTAATATGCTTAAACAGTTTTTCGTGCGTTTCCAGTTTCTAACGGCTGAAAAATAGTTTGATTCTACATTAGGATTGCAGAACGTCTAAATATATTTTCGAAACATACAGATTCAGATTCAATACGGAATCCCTATGGTATTCACGTTTGCGTGGTCACGTACTTGGAAAACACTTGAATATCGAGAGCTTGTACGTTTTAAGGTTCACCGAGAACGTTAACGAGTTCCTTCGTGCCGCATTTTTTCATGGTTCGAGAAATGAGAACAATAATCGTGCATGACTGACAACCGCAGACAACACTTAATACTAGCTGTTTACTGCGGTTTTACTTGCTTACTATAACGGACATTGTTGAGAATACTGTATCAGAATTTTTATTGAAGAGTGGCTCATATTTCAGTTGCAGACTACTCATAAATATCGCTGGTCGAGGTCAGTCTATAATCTGTACTATTCGTGACATGTTTTTGTTAAATCTAGAAGTTGCAGAAGTGGAAGGGAAATAAATCCATCTGCAGCACACACTTTAAAAGTGAAAAGGGTTTTAAAGTTTTTTTTATTAAATCATTCAATTATCGTTTTCCGATAAACGATTATACTTGTTAATATTTATTTTACTAAAGTAACGAAACGATTGTCTATATTGCTCTAGAACCCATCATGTAAAGTCACGTTGGTTTATCCTACAAAGCTTTGTCACGTAAAATCCTAAGGGGCAAGGGTGAGGGGACGTGATCGGCCATCGCGTCTCTACGACCATGAAAACCAATCGTGTTTTCCTGTTACAATTAATTGTATTATATTTCGGTTACTACACCTTTGTAATTCGATGGAATCGTGACATAAATACGGAATCCAATTTAAAATCTTATAAGTTTATAAAATAATTGAGAGTAAAACAAGGTCTATGTTATTAATACGCGGGTTGAGGATTTGTTCCCCTGGAAGAGGAAATATTATCTATATATATTGTAGTAGCTTGGTGGAAACGCCATCCAGTCAGTTCAATCAGTATATTTCCGATTGAAGACTGTTTGTAGTTTACTAAAATACTAACGTGTTTAAAACGCAATATATATTAGTTAAACTTATTTGATAGTTCGGTTTTTTGAAATTAAGAAACACAAACATTTCAATAGTGAGGACGACCATTAGTCATTCTTGCCAGTTTCGCCCAATACCAACTTCGATGTAACAGATGGCGCTAGCGTAGGAATTTTTACTTTGACGTCAGAGACACCCTCCATCCTTAGTCACCCCGTGACCACCGTAGTGGCCGTAGGGCCGTAGTTATAATAATTTTAAAATAAGTTCACTAATCACGTTTTAAGCCGTTATAGTGTTTTATTTAAATATTTCCGATTGACCTACTTCGGCAAGTAAACCTTAATTAAAGACCAACTAAGATTACCGTTGAGGAAGACCTTAATTATTTGTTATTCTATGTCTATATAACGTCAGTTTTAAGTAGACGGCATAATTTATTCGTCGGTACATGCAAGGCAATAGGTTTGCACTTGGAATATTGAGGCGGGCGAGAATAATGTTAATCTCTCGCCGGCAGAGCAGGGAATACCAATGGATGTGGTAATGTGGTCACGTAGCTTGACGCCATGCTGTTACGAGACTTCGTGCGAGGTAGCGGATGGCAGCTGAATTATAGATTCGATGATGCTGATGGCATAGATAGTGGATTCATGAAAAGTAATCGCACAGTTTCAAAGGATCTATGACTTAATACTCGTAGGCTTTCTGATCGTTTGTCTATGTAAATCGTGTAAGAAGATAATAAAAGTAGATGAACATTGACAGTGGCAATTCCTTCAAACGCTCTTATACGATTACATTAGAATTTACTACACAAACATGATTATTTGACGACGTGGTATGGTAGCAATGTATGACCAATTATCGGGTCGTAGGGTTTCTCATCATAATAAAATTTTTCTGAAACAAACATGTTGGACATCGTCTGGAAAACTGGATATTTAACATTATTTACCATAGATGTAAAAGCCGTGGAGCTTAATCGCGTTTCGGTTTCAGTCTGTGGAATTCCAAATATCCAAAGCCAAAAATTGGTCGACAGCGCAACGTGTTTAGATGCTATAGGCTGGAGTATATCACCTACCATCAAGTAAATCCCACGTTTGTCTGCCGTCTCTATCATTGAAAAAACCCACTATAACTGTCACCCACGACGTCCGTTGCGCCCCGTCGTTCTCTGTGTTAGTGTCTCGTTCTCTCATTTTTTTTCTGATCGTTTAAAGAGGAATCATTCTTTCTTACATATTTTTCTGATACCTTGAACCGTTTTCGATTCCCAATTTTTTTCACATTTCCCGTTGTATCTTCGCTCCTATTTCAACATTAGCCTAGCCTTCCTCGGTAAATGATATAACCAACTTAAAATCATTTTTCAAGTAGAACTAGTAGTAACTGAGATTAGCTTTATATATTAGTATAGATTAAATGTGTCTACGTTTTAAATTCAGTTGCGCAAGGGCGACTTCCGATCACTTCCACTAGCTGTTTCCACATCCGACGGGTTAATCGAGTTGTCCCTAAGCTCCTCACGCGCCAAACTCTAGATTGTCTATTGATTTTCAATAAAGCTTTTCTCGGTGTAGCAGTGGATGGTAGAAATGTTAGTTATTATAAACATAACATGTTTGTTAAACAGGGTTTCGTACAACGTTTTTAATTCGTTACTTTAAAATGGTTTAATTGGAGTTTAAAGTTTTTTATTTATTTAAATAAAACACTTTAACGGTTTAAAACGCGATATATTACGGAGAGACTCCTCGTGACCAAGGCTGCTGCAAAGCATCCGAAACGTCGGGTCGAAATTAAAAATCATTTCCAAATAAGTTTAACTAATATATCGCGTTTTAAACCGTTAAAGTGTTTTATTTAAATGTGTACTACTCGCGTAAACTATAGACAGTATTTAGTTTTTTATTTCTTATTTATCTAAAGACTAGCTGTGTCAGCGACTTCGTCCGCGTAGAAAAGTTATTTTGAGCATGAA